AAAAATGAAAATATTTAAGTGGATAATAAAGTAATTGAGAGGTAAAGACAGGTTAAAGGGAGGAGTGTTCGAGTGCTTCTTCTTAGACCCAATGGAAATTCAAAATAAATATTATTATCATTAAAATTTAAAAATTAAAATTTCAAAAATTAAAATATTCTAAGAATTTTATATTCGAGGAAAAAATTATTTAATTCAAAATAAATTAGGTAATTACTGGGGCCTGCATTTTAAAATATTTTTTTATTTTTACTAAAATATTTTGAAAATTTCATAATAATTTTAAGAAATTATTTTTAAAATAATCAAGGTATTTTTAAATAATTCAGGAATTTAAGGAATGAAGTAAAAATATTTAAAAAATATTAAAACTAAAAAAGGAAGTAGCGGTGATTGAAATAAAATTAAAATTAATTTTAAAAAAGCGAAGGGTGACTCAACAGAGATTTTGTTAATTAAATTAAATTATTAAAAAACAGTTGCGCAATATTGGAAAATTAAAAAAAATTTTTTTAATTTTTTTCTGAATATTAAAAATAAAATAAAATGTTCGGCATTAAAAAATGATTAAAATCTTTCCTTTTTTAATTTTGCGCAATTGTTGCGCTAAGCACACGCCTCCCTTTTCACCTTTGTTTCAGGCGAATACAAGGAAAATTTAATGGCTTAAAGGAAGAATGGTGACATGAAAGAGATTAGAATTAAAAGGCATAAAATGATAAGCGGTATTTTTATTTAGAAAAAGTTTCTTTGAAGGCAAAAAATATTTTTTTTGAGGCATTAAAGGGTAGGAAAGAAGCTTGAGAGAGGTTTTAAATGAGTGTTGAATCAGTGCCTTTCCCCATTCGGAAAAGTCGAAGGGTTCTACTGTTTAGGTACCTTAGCGGTCCCAATACTTAAATCTGAGAAGTATAAGCTCCCCAGTGATTGTAAATGGCACTACGTTTACTGTAAGGGGGCTGGAGTTGAAGGAGGTTTACTGGAAGGAGTTGAAGATGGAGGGCTTAGGTAATCTTCGGAAAAGTTATGCTGTTCAGGCACCTATCGGTTCCGTTACTTAAATCTGATAAGTCGGTTCCTATAATTAGCTCCCCAGGGATCGAGAATGGTAATATGCTTACTCAAGGATGTGGGAGTTGAAGGATAAACGAAATTAGGATGGAAGGCTTAGATAAGACCTGGGCAATAAAAAAGGTAATAAAATAGGTAAGTAATAAAAAAGCAGAGTTGACGTGTGCCACATTCATGTTCCCTCTCTTAACAATTATTAATTTTTTTTCTTATCAGTAAATATTAAAGTCGATAATTCCGCAATAAATATTAAGCAGGTATGTGTGTTGATTCTTTTATTAATAGATAAAAATTAAAAATAAAAAAATCTAAGGACAATGCAAAAATTAAAAGAAAAAAAGTGGCGGTCATTGAAGGATTAAAAAAAGCTATTGTTCTCCTCAAAGTTGTAATAGGCAAAAGAAAATATTTGAAAAATGAACGGAACTAAAATAAATATTTTTATAATAAATATTAATCCTTGAATGATTTTAGAAGGAAAATAGTTAAAAAATAAATTTTAAAGGAATTTTGAATTTTGTAGGTCATTCAGGCTTAAATGCAAGCAGTTAGTGATTAAGTTTAAACGCAATAAGGCTTGCGCGAGCGCCTGTAAAATAGATAAATGAAGACTTAGGGCCATGAAAATTTGCTCCAATATCTTCAAGGTAGTTAACTTACTGCTCTAAAAATTTCAGAATTTTTGGTAAATTATTTCAGAATTTATGATCAAATAAGCAAGAAAAAACGGGCATTTTTAACAAAAATTCTGATTTTTTGCCCATAAATTCTGAAATACTAAACAGAAAATTCTGAAATTTTTAGAGGAGTTAATTGACATATTTTTAAATATTTATACAAAATTTCACAATCATCCCTTTTTATTTAATTGATTTATAAAGTTTAGCGCCCTACCATGATTGCGCCCAAACGTCCAAATAAATTCTGTTTCTCCCTTGTTTTTTACCGTGTCTCTCATGTTTTAGATATTGTTGTTAGTGGCCTTTGGCGGCAAACACTCGACCTTTCTACATATATTTTTTAATTCCCTCACACTTTTTTTTATTTCCCTCATTTTCTTCAAGGTATTTGTATGTAACAACAACAATGTTCATTTCACAGTTGTTGCGCGGATGAACGGATTGAAAAAAGGAAAAAAGAAAGAAATAAAGACTTTGGCGGTAGGAACAGATGAATAAATGGGTTTTTGTTTAAGTGGCAAAAAAGGGAAGAAGAATAGTTTTGAATGTGGGGGGAAGGGATGGCTGGAAGGAATGGAGAAGAGGAGAGAAAGTGTTTTTTGATGAACAAGGAAGAGAAAGTTTATGTAGTTTACAAAAATGGGAAAAAGGAGATTTTATGGAAATTAAGAATTTGAGAGAGATATGTAGTGGATTTTAGACACTATGGATTAACAAAAATAAGGATAACACTCATTATTGGAGACATAACTGACAGATAGGTTTAGTGTGTTTTTAATGAGATTATTATATAGTTTAATAAACTTAAAAATTAAAATCAGAATTAAATTACAACAAGGAATAAACAAATCAGAATATCATCCGAACATCCTTTATAAAATCAGAATTAAATACAAACTTTAATTAATATTTATTAGGAAAAAACATCAGAATTTGATCTGAACATTATTTATTTTTAAAATCAGAATTTAATTTAAACAAAACTTAATAAAATCAGAATTAAATATAAACACTAATTTAATATTTGTTCAAACAAAACATTAAATCAGAATTTCATCCAAACTTTATACATATAATCAGAATTTAATTTTAATAAAATCAGAATTTAATAGAAACATTCAAATACAAAATCAGAATTTAATAAAAACATTTAATATTTTTAGAATAAAATATAAAATCAGAATCTCATCCAAACATCTCTTTATATAGGAGTCAAAACTATTAATAAAATTAAAAATTTTTTCCTCATTAAAAATCCATTTAAAAACACGAAAAGTGTCTGTGGCAGTTAATTTATTGCATATTTTATTATTTTACCTGCGGACCCGTTCATTCATTAATTCGGCATTTTGTTCCCTCAGTATGTATTACACGCGTAAAAATAAAAATATTTAACTGTGTGTGTCATCATTAAAAAAGGCGATTCTGTTTTTAGTGGATAAAAAGAAAAATTTTCTTTGCGCAAAAAAAGACATTCTTCTTTTTTGTTATTTCTCAATTTTATCGGCCGAAAAGATCTGTTTCGACCCAAAAAATAAAATTTATGTAGATGAGGGGAACGAGGAGTTTTTGGAATATTTAATAAAGTGTTTTTGGAATTTATAGGAAAAACAATAAAAAAATGTTTGGAATGAGTTCTGATATTTGTTTTTATTTTATTCTGAAATTTATTTAAATGTTTTGTTGATATGTTTGTGTTTTAAAGAATTTCTGGTTTGTTTAGTCGATTTCAGAATTTTTATTCAGAATTATTATTTTAAGTTTCCGGAATTTGAAATATAATTGTGTTTTTCCGGAATTGTAACTGGAAAGGAATGTAAGTGTTTAAGTTTTCCGGAAATGAGAAAATACCTAATTATTTTTAGTTCCGGAATTATAACCGGAAAAGTGATTAATTTTCCGGAAATGAGAAAATTAATTAATTTTATTTCCGGAAATGTAACCGGAAAAGAGTGCAATGTTTTTAAGTTTTTCGGAATTGTAAACAATGTAATGTTCAGACAAAAACATAAAACAAATCAGAACAAAATAAAAACAAAATCAGAATAAAATAAAAACAAATCAGAATAAAATAAAAACAAAATCAGTACAAAACATAAAACAAATCAGAATAAAATAAAAACAAAATCAGAATATTAATTAAACAAATATATTCCAGACTTTATTTTTCTGTTTGAATGTTTTTATAAATCTGAAGGTTTTTCTGGAGAGAAATGTTTTTAGTAAAATAAAATTAATGCCAATGTTTGTTCAACAGTCCCCAACTGTCAGTAAAGGACAAAAGTGTGGAGAAGAAAAAGAGACAAACTAAAACCGATTAACGGCTTCGGACTAGGCAGAGGTGTTGTGGTGGTTGGTTTATCGGACAATTATTGTATTTATTTAATTAGCTAAAGCAAACAGAAAATATTCAAAAATTTGTAGTTTTGAAGGAAAAATTGTAATAATAAAATTTATTTAAATAATAAAAATATTTAGTATTAAAATGGCTAAAAAGCAACATTTTTTAAAATTATTAAAGGAAAAATTGAAGAAAATTTGGAAAAGTAAAATTTATTAAAATTAGTTAAAAACACACATCTGTCAGAATATTATTTTTTAATTATTTTATTTTTTTGTTTAAATTTTTTTTTTATTTTTAATAATTTTTGGCGCTAAATTTTTTAACAGAAAAATAAATAGAATTAATAAGAAAAATATTTTTCCGGCTTAAAAATATTTTTTAAAGTAATTTAACTGTGACTACAAAAGTTGCTATAAATTGAAACAAAACAGCGGGAGAAGATTGCGGGAAAAAAAGATTGTTTTGTACTTTTAATAAAATAGTTAAAATGTTACTGAAACTATATTAAATAAAATTCTGATCAATCATTTATAAATTCTGATATATTAATAAACATTTTTGGGTAATATAAACACAGCAGGGAATTGTTATTTAAAACTTATACACATTCTGTTTAAATAATAAACTAGTATTAAAATCAGAATTAAAATACAACAAATAATAAACAAATCAGAATTTTATCTGAACATTATTCATTTAATAAAATCAGAATTTAATAAAAACATTTATTGGATAATTTTTCAGAACAAAAGGTAAAATCAGAATTTCATCCAAACATTATTTCTACTAATTAAATAAAATCAGAATTTGATAAAAACATTAATTAATATTCAATGACTAAATCAGAATTTTATCTGAACATTATTTATTTAATAAAATCAGAATTAAATAAAAACATTAATTACTTAAAAACACAAAATTAAAGCAAAACAAAAAACAAACAAAATAAAATCAAAATAAACAAATTTTACCAAATTTAATTTCATCCCCATTCTTTGTGTATATTTTCTCCAATAATCACTATCAATTCTTAACAATCTTTCTGCAGCAAATATGCCTTCTTCCATACTTGGTATTTGTCTATCAAGGAATATTTCTTTTAATTTTTTGGATTTTTGTTGTTTTTCTGGTTTTGATAATATCTGAAAAATAAAATCAGAATTATTTTAAAAATCAGAATTAAATTAAAACAGAAAATCAGAATTTCATCCGAACATTTATTAAATTAATTTCGAGTGCTGGATAATTATTTTAAAAAATATTTTATTCTTGTGGACTCCTAGTCAAGAAGTAGGGAAGTGAGAGAAAGTACAGTATACCATAAGGCGAAATGAGGAAATTTTGAATATTATTAATTATTAGTGTCCTATTTTCCTCCATTATTGAAAAATTTTTTTTTATTTTTAGGGCATTCTGATTTTTGACATTTCGACATTTACCAATTTAATACTTTTAAATTAATTAAATTTAATTAAAATTACCCCATCAATTGTTTTATAAACACTTTCTTCAGTTAAAGTAAATTTATTAATAACGGGTGCATGTCCCATTGCCAACATAAGATTGGCGCTAAACGCCTTAAAGTTGAAATATAAATTTTAAAAATTAATTAATTATTCAAACTTGTTCAGCATAAACAGGCATAACAATTATAGGGACCCCTGTACACAAGGCTTCACGTAAGCTACAAAAAAATAACTTGAAAGATTTAATTAAGGAATGGGAGTAAGAATATATTGAATTTTGGACATTTTGAGAATTTTAAATTATATACCGTAGATATTCCAATAGAAGCCCTGGGCGTCTATTTTTCAATGGGTCCCATGGGTGGGCGGGGCATGGGCGTTTGTTCTTTGATACTCCCATATTAAGTGGGCTTCAATAGGGCATGGGCTTCTATTAGAGACCATACGGTATTTATTTGAAATTCATTTCCCACCTTTTACTGCCTCCATGTGAAATAAAAACTTTAGTTTTATGATGCGCGAGAATTTCAAGTTGAGGAGCCCATTTAGTAAGCATTAATTGTTTGCCCAAATTAGGCAAATCAGGTCCATTATAAACAAAAATAATCCGATAATCTTTAAATTGGTTAAAAGCCTTCAATAACGATTCGTAGACATATTTTGGTGCTCTACTCCAATCAACATTTGTGCCAAAAGCTGCATAAATTGTGCCTGATAGGGAAAAAGAGGTGAAGTGATATTAAACTCTATAACTTTTGAATGAATTGATATTTTTAGTTAATTTATACAACATTCGATAGAGCAGAAAATTTGCTACAAAATGAAATTTAGATAAAAATTTTAGGTGACAGATAACAAAAGTTATGGTCAAAAAACAACCAAAAAATGGGCGTTTTTTGCTTAAAAATGTTAGTTTTTCGGTCATAACTTGTTTTATTTTGGCTTAAAAATTATGATTTAAATTGTATTTTATAGCAAATTTAATTCTCTATCGAATAAGCCTGAAAGCATCAAGAAATCTTTTTTTATTCAAAAGTTATTCGAGCTGGGATACATTAGGGTCTTCTCACTCCTGTAAAATTACCTTTCGACTCCGGCGCCTCGACAAACTCGGCAAATTTTTTAGGTAAAGTTTTGGCAGATTTACAATGTGCCCCCACATTCTTCATGTCGGTTCCAACTATTTTTAAAAAAATTTGGAAAATTTTCTTAATAAAAAATAACCGGCAGCAGGCCACCCCAGACTATCAAAAGAATCTGAGAACTGAAGAGACGTTCGCGAATAGAATTCTGACCAAGTAAAGTCATTTACTCCAAGTTTTTTCATGTTAACCATTTGATGGGGTATAACTGGGGATTGAATTGAAATTAATTTAAAAATTTTTAAAAAATTTGAAATTTTACTCAAATCGATGTAAACGAATTCTATAATAGTTTCGTAGAAAGCAATGATCCGGCTTGTAAATTTATTAGGCGAATAGACATCATCTTCGTTGGTAGGGTAAGGAGGGCAGAAAGGAGCACGGGAGACCCAATTCCTTCCTAAAAATTTTGTAATAATAATTTTTAGTATTATGATTTGGCCATCTCTTTTTAGAGTGTAAGTTAAAGGATAAGGGGAGTAGTAATTAATAGATTCCTCAGTGGAAATATTTTCAATTTGAATTTTTGAAGAATTATGAGTTGTGCTGGGTATGGAGAGCCAGAGTGAGGATCGCTTTATCATTTAGCCGTTCAACCCTCAAGTCTCATTTGGCATTCAATCCAACATTCCTAGTTCTAAGGGAACCTCGGACCATCAACTTCACTCTCAATGGGAGCACCAGAGTTGCACTAGCTCCAAAAAAATAAAAATTTCCATTACCAACACTCCTAGTCGACTCTGCAGATATTAAACTAGAAGCAGCAGTAGCATAAACAATAATATGAGGTTGGTGTCTTTTCCTTCCATTTAATTCCCATAATCTATGCTTTAGGGTAGTCAAGGCAAAACCAAAAGACCAGAAAAGGTCGTCGATAACAATAAAATCCCAGTCTTCGTTTACGATATCTACAACCTGATAAAGGAGAAAAGAATTAAAAGGCGATAGCCGAGCCGCCATGACCGCCATGACCCTCGCCATGACTCCAATCACTAGGCTAGTTCCCCTCTAAAATCAGGCATTAAACCAACTGTGTCTGTCCCATTTGTCAATAAAACATCAAGTAATTTATCCATAGCAACAAAATAATGCCCTAAATAAAGGGACGTTAGCCTCTCATGCCAAAGTAAATGTGCCATTCTATTCTTCCATTCCTCATCCTGCCTTCTGGGTAAGGGAAAACGAATGGCACGAAGTTTGGGCGAAGCCCCATCCATGGGGATTGTATCCAAAAATGAGACAGAATGCCCCTTCTCTACCAGCCTTGAAAAAGAAAATTTTAGGAGAAGGAGGGAGAGGTGAAGGTGAAAGAGGGAGGGAGAGAGAGGTGAAGGTGAATAGAGGGAGGGAGAGGTGAAGGAGACTGGGAATGATTAGGAGAGAGAAATGATACCGGAAGCAACAGTTACAACTGTTTCGCTTTTCTTTTGTGTTCCGGAAACATTCCGGAAAATATTTCCAGTGTAAATTATACATGTACTAAATCGACAACATTAATTCCTTTAGCTCCCGTTTTGTTAAAAATAATTTAAAAATTAGGAAATAATTCTTTTTAAAATTTTGATTAAAATTAAATTAAAAATTCATGATTAAAACACAATTAAAAAAAGGAAAATAATAAATCATTAAAATATACAAACATTTCCATAAGGGGACGCATAGATCCAAAATGACTGCCGTTATCATGAAAAAATGTAAAAAGAAACTTGGCCCCTTCGCAGTGTAAATTGATCAAAAGAAATAAAATAAAGATCAATAGGGAATAAAATAATTTCATTTTAGTTGCTATAATTAATTGGAATTGTATTTTTGTATTTTTCTTGTGTTTTTGTATTTTTAAAAAGTTTCCGGAAAATGTTATTTCTCACTGTGTTTTTATTTTCCGGAAAACACGAAAAAGGAAAACACTTTCCGGAATACAGTTAATTGTGTTTTCGTTTTTGTCTTCCGGAAAATGTATTTATTCTGTGTTTTTGTATTTTTTAATATGTTTCCGGAAACTATGTATTTTATTTTTAACTTCTCCGGAAAATGTTTATATTTTTTGTTAATTAAAAATATGCAGTAATTTAACGTAAAATTTTTATTAAAATTGTAACAGTCTGTCTATATTTAGAATTTTTTTATTATATTTTTAGAAAAAATTAATAAATTGAGCAAACCAAAAATTGCGCAGATTGAAGACTAAAAAAATAAAGTTTTACTAAAAATATTTATATAATTTTGGCAATTAAATAAATTAAAATAAAATATAAATTTGCTTTAGAATGATGAGAATGAAGACTGATAAGAAAATGATTAATGAGTTTTTTTTAATTTTTATCAGAAAGGGAAAAATGTTCTCATTACTTTATGGAGTATTAAAATATTATTCTTCTGCTACATAGACATTTTTTAGGAATTTATTTCTGTATTTATGTATTTTTATATTTTTCCGGAAAAATGTACAAATACGATTCCGGAAAACACATTTTTATTTTTTTTCTTTATTAAATTTTCCGGAAAATACAGTCGTTTCCGGAAATATTTAGAGATTTATAGATGTTGTGTTTTTCTTTTGTCTTCCGGAAAGTTTCCGGCAAATACTTTTAGTGTTTTTCAGGAAAATACTCGCTAGTTTTTTAAAGTATGTATTTTTCCGGAAAACATTTCAGGTAATTTCTATTTTTCTTTGTATTTTTCCGTAACTAAGTTGTATTTCACTGCTAATCTTCTCTCATTTTTTTCAAGCTTTATTCTTTCCGGAACAGATTTGCAAGTATAAAAGCCTAATTAAAACATGCTTTATTCACTCTTCAATTTTCTACCATCATCGTTATGCATTGCTACATTCCTTTTGCGCGTCCAAAGACGGGAAGCATGCGCACAGCTCGAGACGAAGAAGACAATACAATATCAGAAGCGACCGCCGAAACTTTAACTGAAAAAACTGCCGAATTGGAAGGTGAAACAACTGCTGAATTGGAACGGGAGAATACCGCCGTCAGTGCAGTGCTACGGGATGACAAAACACAGATTGAGAAGGAAAATGAGGATTCTACCGTCGTTAGCGATACGCATACTGAACAATCGTTGAGGGCGGGGCTTAAGGTGGGGTTTTGTGTTTGTTTAGGAACACAGGAGAAAATACAATATTTTCCGGAAAAACACACACTTCCGGAAAATACAAAAACTTTAGGTTTAAGAAAAATACAATATTTTCCGGAAAAACACACACTTCCGGAAAATACAAAAACTTTAGGTTTAAGAAAAATACAATATTTTCCGGAAAAACACACACTTCCGGAAAATACAAAAAATATAGGTTTATATTTCTCTTGTATTTTTCCGGAAAATACAAAGCGAAAAACACAAAACAAAAACACATGTTACAAATTTTCCGGAAAGCTATAGAAAAATACAAAAGATCACAACATAGACTTTTCCGGAAAACACTTCCGGAATGATTATAGGGAAAATACGAAATCAAGCTCATTTATTTTAAGGGTGTCTACACACTTCCATTGGTTCTCAGCATATTTGCTTGCTGTTTCGGTAGCAGTTTTCAAGTGGGATTTCATCTTGGCGCTCTAAATACTCCAGGTATCTTGGAGAAAACTTAATTTTTAAGCTTTTTTAAATTCCAGCAAAAATACTTATTGAATGGCAGAGAAGTTCATATAAACGAATTCATGGCCTTGATTCTGTTTACAAAGAGGAGATAATTTGGCTAGTTTTTATGGCTAGAAGGGGATAATAAAGAAAATTTCAAATCAATTTTCAGGTCCTTAACTGCTTCTATTCTCCTTCTAGGCGGAATTTTAGCAAATGCCCTCCTTGCTTCTATCACCCATCGTTTTGGCCGTAAAGGGACGTTGATGTACAACAATGCTTTTGTGGTTATTGCAATGATATTGCAGCAAATGGCTAAAAGTTTTGATAATTATATCTACATGATGATCTCAAGATTTTTCATTGGCTTCAATTCTGGTACTTTTTGTTTAGTAAATTAATGCGGGTAAACTAAGTTTGCAAACTTAAGTTTACTAAATTAAAGTTGGTAAACTTATGTTCTTAAAATTAAAGTTGGTAAACTTGTGTTCTTAAAATTAAAGTTGGCAAACTTAAGTTTGACAAAATTAAGGTTGGTAAACTTAAGTTTACTGAAATTAAGGTTGGTAAATTTAAGTTTTTCAAATTAAAGTTGGTGAACTTAAGTTTACTAAATTAAGGTTGGTAAACTTAAGTTTGACAAAATTCAAGTTTGCAAACTTCATTTTCTAAGTTAAAGTTGGTAAACTTAAAAATCATTTCTGAACTTGAAACAATTTTATTTTCAATTTTCAGGAATCAATATGGGACTAGCATCAATATATCTAAGCGAAATTGCTCCAATAAATTTGCGTGGAGCGATCGGATGTATGTCCAATGTCTTCCTCTATACAGGCTTTCTTTTCGCGTTGGTTGTTGGCCTGCCTTTTATGTTAGGGGATGAGGAGAATTGGCATTTAATATTTCTACTTTCCTACGTAGATTTCCTTGGATTTTCCTTCAAAAAAATTTTTAATTATTTTAGATACCTGTAAGTGTTCAATTAACTTTGTTGGGCTTCTTCTGCCCTGAATCACCCAAGTACTCCTACATTGTTCATGGAAATTTCATGGAAGCTGAGAGGAGTCTGCAATTGCTTAGAGGAAGGAATGATGTGAATAAATTATTTTTTAAATTAATTTTTAAGTTTGCAAACTTAAGTTTGATAGGGAGAAGAGTTTTTGGAGAGACTTAAGTTAGTACAATTAAAGTTGGTAAACTTAAGTTTGTACCATTAAAGTTGGTAAACTTAAGTATGCACAATTAAGTTGGTAAACTTAAGTATTGACAATTAAAGTTTGTAAACTTGAGTTTGCAAAATTAAAGTTGGCAAGCTTAAGTTTTTCAAATTAAAGTTGGTAAACTTAAGTTTTTACAAGTCAAACTTAAGGCTGTACAATTGAAGTTTGCAAACTTAAGTTTAGCAAATACTCCTTATAAACTTAAGTCTAACAAATTAAAATTGATAAATTTAAAAATCATTTACAATTTTTTATTCAGGTAAAAGAAGAGATGGATATGCTAGACAAAGAAGCATCCACAGCCAGATCAACTTCACACCAAAAAATTGGTTTTTGCCAAATGTTAGAAAAAAAGTATTTACGTTGGTCACTCTATTTGGGCATTTATTTGGTCTTTTCTGTCCAAACTAGTGGAAGTGCTCCAGTTGGTGTCTACTCCACAAAAATATTTGAGGAAGCAAAACTTTCCCAACTTAGTAGGAATATTCTTTTAATTTTTAAATAATTTATGTAATTAAGATGCACAATTAGCAACATGTGGAATTGGTGTTGTTAATGTTCTCTCAATTCTTGCCTGTGTCTATTTGGTAAAAAAAACTTGAAGCATAAACTGAAAACTTAAGTTTACGAAAACAAGCAAGTTTTTAAAACTTGATTTATTTTCAAGTTTGCAAACTTATTTGTTAAAACTTGAAACTTGACTTAAGTTGAATTCAAGTTTACAAACTTGATTTTCTCGTAAAACTTGTTTCTGCAACTTAATTTATATTCAAGTTTATAAACTTGGTTCAATTAAAGCTTGACTTAATTTGAATTTAAGTTTGTAAACTTGTTTTCTCTTAAAACTTGTTTTTACAACAATTCAAGTTTGAAAACTTGAATCCCTTAAAACTTGATTTCTTTAGTCTTGCTTTTGTAAGCAACATTAAATTTTGTAAACTTAAGTTTATGAACTTAAATTTGTGAACTTAAAGATAGCTAACAATAATATCTTTTTTAGGTTCAACATCCAAGTATTGGCCGTCGTCTATTATTCATAACATGTACTGCTGGTTGTTGTATATCTACTGCATTAATTGGAATCACCATAATCATCGCCGAGAAAGGCAATGTTGAAGCTAATATAACAACAACAGAAACTACTACAACTTTTACCACTACTATAGCTACAACAATTGCTTCTTCTACTGCTTCTGGAGGAAGTCTGGCTGCGTATCTCAGTATTGTCTTCATTGCGGTTTATGTTGTCTTCTTCTCTATTGGATTTGGTGAGGAATTTTGAGGAGTCTTGAGTCTTTTTAATTTTTTTCCGCTTGCAGGAGCAATAACCGAAACATATTTGAGCGACCTTTTCCCTTCGGAAGCCCGAGCCGCTGGTTGTAGTGCCTCAACATTGGCCTCCCTTCTATTCCGACTGGTTGTACTCTTTAGCTTTCCGATGCTTAAGGTGAAAAGCATTTTCAGGCAAAAAAAATTTTCTTTTTAGAAATTAATCGGCCCTTCTGTCTTCTTCACTTACTCTGCCTGTCAACTATTTTGTTCTATACTTGGATTCATTATTCTGCCGGAGACTAAAAATAAAGAACCTGAAAGGATTTTGAGGGATATTAAAAGGAGAAGGATGAGTGTTACTTCTAGGTGTTGTTGTAAAATTTGAATTTGATTCTGTATATTCGATGCTTTATTGTTAAAATATACAAAAATATTGTTGTAAATACGATATAATTTATAATATTTCATTTCCAAATAAAATATTTGCCAAATTCAAAATATTGGTAATAGTCGGTTTCGTACCCCCCCCCCCCCCCTCCTTCTCTTTTTTCTTTCTCAGGGTATTCAAAAATCGAGCTGCATCGAATGACCACCCCAAAATCAACGTGATTTGAATGCCGGGTTTCGGGTATTGGGGTTTCGAAAACTCGTGTAGGGTTTCGGGTAACCCGTCCCATAACTGATGCACATAAAAATTAAATTTTTAAAATAGTCCCTTCTACAATTTACAAAAATTCCCTTTTTGACCATTTTTAAATACAACGCGCTGTAGATATTTTGTTTATTTTAAGCAATTAGTTATTGTGAAAAATTATAAGAACTAGTAAGGAGAGAAGAAAAGTAAAGGAGAGAGAGAAGTAAGGAGAGAAGAAAAGTAGAGGAGAGAAGAAGAAAAAGAGAAAAGGAATGCAAGAATAAATGCAAGAATAATTAGTGTTCTCTATACCTTTCTATTAACCATCTAAGAATTACTTATGCACAAATCTTTTATTTTTGGGAATTCTTCTACAATTTACCCATGGGCCGCTTCGGCGGACTGTCTTCAGTAGAAGAAAGCTGGTTAGCTGTGCACTTCGGTGGCTGTCGACCAGTGGACACTGCTGGTAGATAGACATCAGTGGCTGTGCGTATTGGCAGACACTATTGGTGGCAGTGCACTTCAGTGGCTGTGCATCCAATAGTGCTTTGTGCAGTGGCAGTGCACTGGTGACCATGGGTGAAATTTTGGAGTGTCCATGTGCCGTTTTGTACATGGGACCGGCCCCTGCTTAGGGGTCATTTAATGGTTAGAAATGTTGGTTTACTCATTCAATGCAGTTGATGAGTATAATTACTATTTCTCAAATCTGAGAGAAGTAAGGAGAGAGAAAATGGTTCTTCTGGACCATTTTGAAACCTAGAGATGGAAAAAAAGGGGGGTACGAAACTGACTATTACAGTTAGCGCCACTTAAAGTTACATTATAGATCTAATTTAAACAAGGACTATGGCGCGACCATTAATGGCGCAGGTCTTTCAAAGGATCAAACACTATATTTAAAAATACTTCAAAGATTTCCTCCTTTTTTTATTACTTTTGCTTATAATTAATTTTCTTAAGTTTATAAATGTTTATTAATCACATTCAAGTTCATAGAGGCAAAAGCAAGTTTAATTAATTTCCAATCACAATTTGTGTTTAAAATTTGTAATTTAAAAAGTTTATAAGAAATTGTAAATTTTTATACAAAGCAAAAACAAATTTTATATTTACAAACTTGAAAGTTTACAAACTTAAGTTTACAAAGTTTACAAAATACTCCATCTTCTACTTTTCTTTGTTTTACACAAATATTCTTTGCTTCCAACCCAATTTAATTCCAACGTTTTTGTTTCATTTATGGAGCTTGTAAAATCTTCCCCAAACTTTCTTTTTTCCTTAGAATCATAACATCCCATACAATCATACATGTAGCAGCAGGAAATGATTATTAGAAGCAAGACCATTAGAACAGTAATTAATCCGAAGTAGGTGAAAGCGAACATATAAACCTGCAAAAAAAGAATAAGGCTGATTGGAATTGAGAGGCTGAAGCTTTATCAGACAATCCCGAGCTTTGAGGAACGTGCTTCAACAACTTTGAGAAAGATTGTTTGAAAATGTTAGCATAGAAACTTGATTCAGTAGAAGTCTTTGAAGCACGCCTTAGAAAACTGCTTCAGAAGCATAGAAACTTCAGAAGCATCAGAAAAAGCTTCAGAAGCATAGAAACTTGAAGCATGCTTCATAAAAAGCTTCAGAAGCTTAAAGAAACTTAAAAAACTAAAAACTTGAAGCATGCTTCAGAAAAAGCTTCAGAAGCATAAACTTGAAGCACGCTTTAGAAAACTGCTTCAAAAGCGTAGAAACTTGAAGCATGCTTCAGAAAACTGCTTCAAAAGCATTCAGAAGCAATTTTTTAAAGTTTCAAGTTCCCAAATCTTCTTAGGCTTGCTTCAACTTTCAGTCAAAATCATTTCAAATAATCTACCTCTTCTCTAACTGAATACATTTCCATCCAACTCCAATGTCCCGTATTATAACGCATATTTGCTTCAGTTTCTGCTTTAGTTTCTTCAATTTCATAATTATTCGCGATTTTATTTTTATTTTCATCTTCTGAATTTAAATAAACTTTGTTTTCTTCCGAATTTGGTTGTTGAAGAATTGCAAATAAATTTTTATTTATTATTTTTTGGCTGTGGACTGTATGCCGTCTAGCCTGCAATTCTTTGTTTCGTTGGTGGTGTTGACGGAAGGTGTTCATTGACTGAACTAAAGGTGTTGATAAAAGGGTAGTTAATGAAGCGAAGAAGAGCCAGTCGGAATAATTGAATTGCATGATTTTTATTATTTTTATTTATTATTATTACTAAAATAAAAAATTTTAATGAAAAATTTAAAAAAAAATTTTTTTTTTGAATTTTGTTTTTTAAAGGAAAAATACGCTTGATTCAAGTTTATTATATGATTCAAGTTTAAGATTGTAATTTGTAAAAAGCTTGATAATAAAGTTTAATTCAAGTTTGTAAAATATAATCAAGTTTAATTATACTCAATTAAACTAAGTTTTACAAAATTACAAACTTAAAACTTTAATTACAAAACTTCAAGTTTATTTATTCTACAGACTTGAAAACTTGAGGAAATTAAACTTGAAACAATCAGGTTTATTTTTACAAACTTGAAACTTAAAAATAATTAAGGTTTGTTTTTACAAACTTGAAAATAATTCAAGTTTATTTATTTTCACAAACTCAAGTACTTAAATAAATTAAACTTGAAACAAGCAGGTTTATTTTTACAAACTTGAAACTTAATCAAGTTAATTTTCATAAACTTGAAAACTTAAAAAAAATAAAAAAATCTAAATAAATTTTAATAATAATTAGAAATATTAAAAATTCTTAAATTTTTATGAAATAAATTAAAATGAATATTGTAAAAGGAGTAAATTAAAAAATTGCCCCAGTGACGCTATATTACGGAAAATCGGCTTTTCGTGTATTTATTTGATCAAAATTCCCGTATATGAAGAAAATCTGAGAAAAAGCTTCTTATTTACTTTTATGTATTTAATACTCTTTTGCTTTATATGCTTTAAATAATGGCAAAATCGTTGAAGAATGTTGACTATTAGTGATTTTAAGGGAACGGAAGGATCAAAATTAAAATCGTCATTTTAATAATTTTAAAAGCATATTTACAATTATGCTTTTTAAGGGTTTTAATTAATATTGTTGAAAGCTAATTTAGTTGTTTAAGAAGCTTGCTTCATCTTTTCTTGCTTCATGAAATTTTTTTCTTGCTTCAAAAAACTTGAAGCAAATTTTATTTTTTTCGTAAAGCAAATATCAGAAGCAAGTTTCAAATTTTCTTGAAGCAAGTTTAAGGAAACATGTTTCTTGAAGCAAGTTTCAAGAAACAAGTTTCTTGAAGCAAGTTTCCGGAAGCAATTTTCAAAAGCGAATTTATGAAGCAAGCTTCAGGAAACATGTTTCTTGAAGCAACTCCCCATGAAGCAAATTTCAAGAAGCATGCTTCAAAGGATTTTTTTAAATAAAATAATTTTTCCAAATGGTCAGCTCCTCAAAAATAATATTTATTTAAATAAATAAAATCTTGGCAAAGCTAAGCAACTAAAGGACATAAAAAGGCGTTCTAAAGGAAAATAGTCGTAAGCAAAAGGACGTAAGCAATAAAAGTGTTTAAATTGTTGGGAATTAGTTTAAATTTCTACGTAATAACGGCTCTTCTTTTTTCATAAATTCTTCCTTATTTTTAAATTTAGTACATTAATAGATAATATAAGACTAAATTTAGAAATGAATTTAAAGAACACTTTGGCAATGTTTTTGTTCTTTTAAGAAAGTCAGCTTTATTTTAAATATATTTAACGTCAATGCTGATGCAACAATGGAGGATAATTTATTTTAGAAAATCAGAATTTGTGATTTTTTAATAAAAGGTTTGCAACGTTTAAAACCAGAATTTGTAATTACAAAGGGAAAATTCGCAATTCTTAAGACTAGAATTTGTAATTAATTTACAATTATTAAAATCAGAATTTCAGAATATTTAATTGTAGAAAATCAGAATTTGTAATTACAATTTTTAATTAAAATCAGAATTTTTATAAACCCAGAATTTGTAATTTATTTACAATTAAAAAATCAGAATTCCTAACAACAATTTTTAATTAAAAATCAGAATTTTTAATTAAAATCAGAGTTTTTTATAAACCAGAATTTGTAATTTATTTTATAATTTAAAAAATTAGAATTTGTAAATTTAATTTAGTTGTTCACTACCCATAAAATCAGAATTTGTATTTTTTAAGAAAAGGTTCGCAATCTTATAATTCAGAATTTATAATTAATTCATAATTATTAAAATCAGAATTTCAGAATAATTATTTAAAATTCTCTTGAAAATCCGATTTTCTTGTTTTTATAGAATTTATGTGGGAGAGATATAATACATAAAATTAATAGGAAAATTAACACTATTACATAGTAGACTGTTTATGTATAAAATATTAAAATTCCAGAAAATTAATGAGTGAGCGATAAGCAGATTATAAATATAAAGGTGGATTTATTACTGTAGAGAGATTAAATTTGCAGAAAATCAGAATTTTAAAGGAAATCGAAAATATCAGAATTCTGAATTTTTAGAATCAGAATTAATAAAATCAGAATTTCTTAAAATCAGAATTTCCTTAAAAATCAGAATTTTTTAAATCAGAATTAATAAAAATCAGAATTAATAAAATCAGAATTTCTTAAAATCAGAATTTCCAAAATCAGAATTTTCAAAATCAGAATTTTTTAAATCAGAATTAATAAAAATCAGAATTAATAAAATCAGAATTTCTTAAAATCAGAATTTCCTTAAAAATCAGAATTTTTTAAATCAGAATTAATAAAAATCAGAATTAATAAAATCAGAATTTCTTAAAATCAGAATTTCCAAAATCAGAATTTTCAAAATCAGAATTTTTTAAATCAGAATTAATAAAAATCAGAATTAATAAAATCAGAATTTCTTAAAATCAGAATTTCCAAAATCAGAATTTTCAAAATCAGAATTTTTTATACCAGAATTTTTTTAAAATCAGAACAATAAAATCAGAATTTCTAAAATCAGAATTTCTTAAAAAACCAGAATTTAAAAATCAGAATTATCAAAATCAGAAATTTTTAAAATCAGAATTTCTTCTTTTCACAATAATACCCAAAGCTTATTATTAAAATCAGAAGATTATTTGTAATAAAAACAGAATATTAAAATAATCATTAAAAATAACATCATTTTAACACCAATCGCCTTAACTTGCTTACAACCGGATCAGAAGAAGGTTAAATATATTTTTTCTTTTTTTCTCTAAATTTATTATTTAACTAGTATTATTCACAGCATTTTCTGAATAAGCTCAACACGTCCATTTTTATATTCCACGCATTAAAAATAAACGTTGAGTTGCGATTGATGGGTAAATTTCGTGTTTTACGCGCAGCTGTGAGAGTAAAAATAGGGGGAAAATAGAGGGGAAGGATTGTGAAAAGCCATTTATTTATTTTATTTTTAAGCCTGCCTATGAACTAAGAAGCGTTGAATTTTTGAATTTTTATTCCCCCAAATTTTTTGATTTTTCAATAATTTTAAGGGTCAAAAAAATTTTTTTAATGAATTCTAATGTGGTCTTTTATTTTTTATTTTTGTTGTTAATTTTGCCTATAATACCTAATAATGCCCAACTATTTAATATCCCAAACACACAGGCTTTTGCTTGGCAACAATTTGAGGGCCAAAAACATCAAAGGAATGATGGTATTTGTAAATTCTGATTTTTAAAAAAAATTCTGATTTTTTAAATTCTGATTTTTAAAATAATTCTGATTTTTTAAAAAAATTCTGATTTTTTTTAAATTCTGACTTTTTAATTCTGATTTTTCAAAAAAAAATCTGATTTTTCCGAATTCTGATTTTAAAAAAATTCTGATTTATAATTACAGGAAACCCAACGGATTCAACAACCTTACGTTTAATTGATGAACTTCTCGGGATTTTTGCTCCCCCACGTTCTTTTGTCAATACGGAAAGAAATAATGATTTAATAACTAATGAATATTCAAATGATCATTTAATGCCTAGAATGGCGCGTAGTGAAGATTATAAAACTGAACGGATAGAATTGGATGTTGGTAAAGGAGGGGAATTATTGGGGATCTTTGGAAGTCCTTAGGGGCTTTGGGGGTAAAGGAACGTCCTTGGGGTCCTTGGGAGGTCTTGAAAGGTCTTTAGGGTCTTTGGGAAGCCTTATGCTTTAAGTGAGTCTTTGGGAGGTCTTTTGGGATTTGATGGAGTCTTAGATAGTTTTTGAGGGGGTTGTAGATCCTCGTAAGGTCAGTAGGGTACGGGAAGCCTTTGGGAGGTCTTTAGGCTTTAGTGGATTCTTAGGGAGGAAAACAAAGATTCAAATTACCTAGTTAATAATTTAAAGTCACCAACTAACAACAATAATGACGATAACCAACCTTGGGCACACTTGGCTCGAGGAGTGATTGATCTCTTCAAGTCAATTGAAACTACAACACCTACCACCACCACCACTACAACCACACAATTATCACTTCTCGAGAGGGTAAAAATTGGGGAAAAATTTGAAAAAAAATTTCATTACTTCTCAGATATTACCAAAAATATTCAACCCTTTCGGAGGGGAAACAACAACAATGACAACAACACCAAGCAGTACATTTCCCCCACTGTTCCCCTTCTTCGCAAGGACGACCACAACGTAAATTGACCTTCAAACTTATTTTCCCCCAAAATTTATTTTTAAGTGCCCAACCTTCGCTTTTCTCTTTTTTACGTAGAGAGCAGCCTAAAAGGGAAGCAGAGAATGAATTATTAATGCGCCCAAATGAGCTTTTGGTGGAACAAGTTGGGAGGCTTTTTGGGGTATTTTAATAATGTTTATCCAATCATTAATCATAATTATGTAGAGATAGAATGAGTAGAGATCTCAGTGAAGAACAGAAATCTCAGTGAGAAAACCGGGAGAGAGAATTTCAAGGATTACGGAGCTTGATGGATCCTTAAGGCCTTGTGACTCGAGTCCTAAGACTTGACTTAGCATTTGACTAGACACAGGACCGGGATATCCGTGAAAATCTCCCAATCCATTTCCCCGTACCCTTGAGCAATTTAATGTTTATTAAAAAATCGTTTAAAAAAGGTTGAACGAAAAGCAGTAGAAGAGGGTCGCGCACAGATAGACACAGGCGGTCCGAATTTTGATCGTTTTGTTGTAAGGCAAAAATCAGCATCTGATAACCCCTTTGCTTCTATTGTTGGTGGATCCAAATGGAATGAACGGGGGATTAAATGGGAGGATGGGAATATTCGTTTGGTGGACAAGAATGGGAATAGTCTGCTTGGGACTGAAGTTGGGGTTAATGACAGATCTGTTGATATTCCGTTGAAAAGATGGTAGGGGCAGAAAATTATTTGGACTTCATTTTGATTTTTAGGCTTGAAATAGCCAATGGAATAGTCAACATGCAACAAACTCAACGAGATTATGTAACCAAAAAATAATTAATTAAGCAGAAAATAATTAAATTTTTATTTTTAAATATCTCAGGAATAATATTATAATTATACCATAAATATATTTATGGTATAATTATTTACCATAAATATATTAAAAATTTTTAAAAAATTTTTTTCATATTTAAAAAATTAAAATGACAAGCATTATATCAGTAAGCTTCACTTTCTTTAAAAATATTTCGCGTAGATTTTTGAAGATTATCCTTGAATGGGCTGAGGGATAGGTTGCAAAATGCTTTGACCTTGAGGGAAAGGTTGAAGAATGCCTTGGCCTTGAGGATATTGGGGTATTTGAGGAAATCCAAGCTGCGGACCATAAACTTGAGGTCCACCATAAGGGTTGGTAAGATAAGGCTGAAATATATATTTTTAAAATAATAATATAAATAAAGACTTCCGGTAAACACATTATATAGTTTCCGGAAAGACATATAAAAATATAAAAGGATTTCCGGAAGAATATAAAATTATATAAAACTTTCCGGAAAAACACTAAAATACAAATGTTTTCAGAAAATAAATTAAAAATCTTTCCGGAAAACACAGAAAAACACAAAAAATTGTTTTCCGGAAAACACATAAAAATACAAAAAGAAAATTGTTTTCCGGAAAAATATATGTCTATAGAATGTCTTTCCGGAAGAATAATTCCTTCCGGAAAACACATATAGTTTCCGGAAAGATGATATATTTATTTATTCCCTTGCCTGTATAGATGGATATTGAGTAATCAACGGGCTGGAAGCAAGCGCATATCTTTGATCTGGCGTTAACATACCAATAATTAGAGGGATATATTGCGGATACTGATTAGCAAGACTTCCATATAATGGAAGTAATTGAACTATTTGTTGTGGAGGCATACTTAAATTTAGAAAAAAATATTAAAAAAAATATTAAAGACGTTTGAATCATTCGCGGCAAATCTGGATTTTGCAGGATAGAAGGGTTAAATGGTAAACCTCCAAGGCCAGTATAACCTCCAAGGCCAGTACAAGACTAAAATAGAAAAATATTTAAAAAATACAGGCGTGAGCCTATGAAAAATTCTGAGTTAATTACAATTCCGGATTGGTTGTAAACCTTCAAGAAATTATTTCTACAATTCCGGAAAAAATGTTTAAGATGCTGAAAAATTAAAATGGTTCCGGAAGGGATTTTTAACTCTAGAAAAAAATTCTCTTAACTTTCCGGAAGAATTGTAGACAATTCCGGAAGGATTGTAAACACTTCCGTAATTTTTTAAACCTTTCCGGAAGAATTATAAGTAATTCCGGAAGCCCTTCCGAAATTATTTTACAGTTCCGGAAAAATTATATTTTATAATTCTAGTAATATTCAGTAAAATTTAGTTATACCCAAATCTCCATAATATTAATAAACAACACAAACAAGGCAAAAATTATTTTAAAAATTTTAGAAGTAACCATTACAAAGTTTAAAAAATGAATTTTGAGTTAATTTAAAATTAGCAATTTTTTCAAATAATGCTCAAACAAAAATAATTTCCAACCCAATTTATACGTCCTAAATGTACAAAATTTGGGTCTGAAGCTTTGTTTAAAATTCAAAAAAAAAATTTTTGTATTGTCCTCTTTAAGAAATGTCAAAAAAAAAACAAAAAATAATTTATTTATTATTAAAAGAAAAAAATGTAACAATACTTTTAAAATGAATCATCGAAAATTTCTTTAGAATTTTTTAAAAAAGTAAAAATAAAATAAAATTAATTTTTACTTTTTTTCCTGTTAAATTTCATAATTCTAGCATGTATAAGTATTATGATATTAAAAAATTATTTCAAAAGTAGAATAAATTGGAGAGAAATTATTCTTTCCTGGATTTTTAAAAAATATTCCGGAAAGATTTTATATATATGATTGTCTATATAAATTCAGGAAAAATTATAGACAATTCTGGAAGAATTGTAAACCTTTCCGGAATTGTTTTACAATTTTCAGAAATAATTATTTATAATTCCAGAAAGATACCAGAATTATTAATTTAATTTTACAATTCCGGAAAGACTGCAACAGAAATTCAAAGAGCATTCCGGAAACATTTAATACTATATAAATAATTTTCCGGAAATATAATTTTATTTTACAATTCTGAAAAGATTGAAAACACAATTCCGGAAAAATATAATCAATTCAGGAAAAAATTATATACATTTCCGGAATTATTTTATAGTTATACATTTTCCGGAAATATTTTATTTTAAAATTCCGGAAGAATATAAACCTTTCCGGAAAAATTGTAAACATTTCCGGAATTATTTTTACATTTCCGGAAATATTTTATATGTATGCATTAAATTTTCCGGAAACTAATCAGAATCTAGACAAATAAACAAACTAGGCAATATTCAATAAAAGTAGGAAGTGTTTTATAAAATCAAAAAAAAAACTTTAAAAAAATTAATTAAGTAGCTGAACAATAAATTAAATTAATTTCAAAAATTAAACAAATAAAAATTCAAAAATTTGTTTTGTCTTTCTCATCATCAAAAATTTTTTAAAAAATTAATTTTCACCTCCCTTTATTCTTCCAAAAATATTTGTATTTTATTTTTTCTATCAGTCTTCTTTTCTTTCATTTTTTCAATAAATTTAATATTAGCAATACATTCTTGTTGATCCATTTGTTTAGTTAATGTAGAAAATGAATTGGTTAAAGCACTAAACATGTCTACCTATAAAAAGAATTTTTAAATTTAGAAGGATCTCAGAATTAAATAAATAAGGACAAGGGACTTGAGGAACGATAGGAATTCTCGAGATATCTAGGAAAATCCAAATGTCCTTCAAAAATTGGGATTTTGGGCCAAACGAATTTTTAATAGGCTACCGGATTTTCTCGATTAATTCCATTGGGGAATTATTTTTTCAACCCTTCCTTGGCATGGGGAAGGGGAATCGAGGAAGGGGAATTATTCGAGGAAGGGGAATTAATCGAGTTTTAGCATTTGAACGTGCGGTAGGGTATTTGGGGGTGGGGAATGAATTATTGTTTCAATCCAACTCTAGCATGGGGTATCAATCGAGAGGGGGAATGAATTATTCGAGGGAGGGGAATTAATAGAGAAAAAAGGGTAATCTTGTCTAGTTAGTATAACCCTATAGCTTCTGATTTCGTTCGGTCCCCCAAAATAGCCCCAGTCTCAGATTCCCTTTAACATCAACCAGTAGCCCCATGATGAAGCCTGAGGTCTGACACAGCATTACTCAAAAAAGAACAAAACTCACAATATTTCTCATATTAATTGGAGCAATATTAAAATAATCTGACTGAATATTTTGCCAAGTTCTTCCCCTATCCCCACCTATACGCATTTCGTCTAATTGATCATGTAAATCTTCACGTTCCAAAGAAAATAAATTTGCAGCTAATTGAGGTAAATAACAATTGGAATATTTCACAATAACTCCCCATTCTTGATTACCACATTGGCCACATAACCATTTGGCACATTTTGTAAATAAATGGTCTTTCTGAAAAGGAGATTTATTTATAGGAGGGAGAAAATTAAGAGGGAAATTTTGCCAGTCAGAAATGCTTCAGTAAAAAAATTTTTTTAATTCAAAAAAAATTTCGAAAAAAAATATTTTTCCTCACCGTCGGCTTTTCCCGAACGTCAATTTTTGAACGTTTCCAAACAGTAGGATCACAAACGACAAAAGTAGAATTGGCAATAGAACGGATATGTGTACTCTTACAAATTAAATTATTACAAGAACGACAGCTTAGTTTATAACTGAAAATTTTAAAAAAATGTTTAAAAAAGTAAAATTGTACCGTCTATTATTAAGTTTTAAACGTTTAACTTCCAAAACTTTAAGTTGTCTTTCCTCAATCCTCCTTCGTTCTTCACGTTTTGCATTAATTTGATTTTTAAGATTAGTTTCGCTAGTTTCTTGTAAATTTATTAGGCAACGCATCATCTGTTTAAATAATTTAAAAATTTATTCTGATATTTTAAACAAATAGGAATTGGGGAAGGAACAGCCAATGAAAAGCTAATGATATCTCAATTTAAGATCCGTTTTTTAAAATGTGGTTACTCTACAGACGAGAGAAGGAGGAGCAGTTTATGCAATGCTCTAAGTCTACGTTTTATAAATTTGGCTGTTTTCAGAGTGGGGGAGGAGGAGTCTAGGATCTAGTCTAATTTAAGTCCCAATGAAGACAAATCTCATTAGAAGCTATATTTCAAGGGGTGTATCACGGGGGTATACTCTAAAACAAACAAAAAATCAGACCATAGCCTCTTTTTGCATATTCAAATATTCAGCCTGTTCAACTCCCGTATCCAAAGCTAACAAAATTGATAAACTATTTTTCTGTCTAGCACGTCCTCTTCTTTGAATCATTGAACGTTCAGATCCAACATTATTATATTTTATAATTAAATTACAAGCAGCAATATTAACACCTTCTTCAGCAACTGATGTTACTACCAAAACTTTTACTTTTCCAGAATCAAAATCTCTAATCATTTGTTGTTGTTCTTGTGTAGATTGTCCACCAGCTGATAAACTTTGATTTGAACTAACCATATAACCAACATTCTATTTTTTGAATAAAAAAAATTTTTTTAATAGGTGTTAGATATAGGGTCGGGCAGTCCTCGGAAATCCCTCGATAACTTGACCCATATCCGAACCAGAAAAAGTTCGGATATCAGGACATTCTTCGGATACGAACATACGATCACAAGCCATATTGTCGGATGCTATGTTTTCGATTTTTAAGGGTATTATGTACATATTTATAGGGCTGTTGGTCCGGAATCGAACTGAAAATTAAAAAACTGAAAATTTTCCGGCTGAATTCTCCGAGTCAGTTTTGGATATCCGAAGATTTAACAAGAACTGACAACCCTCTTCATTCATACAAAAAATTCTATAATAAATTTATTTCTCTTTTTCCTTCTCAACCTTAACCTTCCCTCCATTATTTTTTACAACCCATAGAATATTATAAAAAATATTTCCCTTCTTGTATTTATATATTGTGAAACCAAAATAATTTTGGGGCGATTCTAAAAAGCTGCCGTTTCCCGTTGGGGATGGAAGTAAAGGATTTTGACCCACATCCTTCCTTCCCGAAGAGAACTTTTAATTGTTTCTATTGTTTCTTGGACCGGAAACCATTTAATAGTTGGGACCGTCCCTGAATATTAGTTTCAATGGTCTCGCCCAACGGTTGTATTCGGTTGGAGGCTTTTGATTCGCTCCAAAATTTTTTTGAAAATTTCTATGGCCAAAGAAACTCTTTAAAAAATTTTTCCGGGTCCAAAAAAATTTTTTGAAAATTTTTTTACAAGTCTTTGACGTTTAAAAAATTATAAAAAAAATTTTCACCTCTTTATTATAAAAAATTGGAAGTTCCGGCACTTTTTTAAGATGATCGGCAAGTTTAGAAGCACAATTTCTTGTAGCAACAAAAATTAAACAACGAGAATTTGGATCAGATTTGAATTGTTTTTGAAGAATCTTTTTTAAAATATTTTAGTGAAAAAAATATTTAAAAACTAACTTCATGTAATTTTTTAAGAATTTCTTTATTTTGAAGTTTTTCGTTTCTTACACATTCGATTAATTTCCTTTGTAAATCTGGAAAAAATTTTTTTAAGAGAAGTCATTGAGGAAATTTTTCAAAAAATTGTAAAAAATTTCAAAAAATTTTTTTTGAAATTTTCAAAAAAATTCGAAAACTCCACCTTGATAATAACCAAGTAATCTTTGATTAATTACATCAATATGGCTGGAACCACCAGAATTTTGCTTATAATCGCTCATTTTTTCTTGTAAATAATAAAAAGCATATGAACTTGGTAATAAATCATTAATTAAAATTGAGTGGAAGTAATGCTGAAAATAAGGAGAGATTAAATTAAAATTCCGGAAGAGTAATATAAATAGTTCCGGAAAAAATATAGTATAAAAGGTTCCGGAATTATTTCGATTGAAATGATTTAAATATATTTCCGGAAAATACATTTGAGAAAATACATTCCGGAAAAGAAATATACATTCCGGAATATATTTCCGGAAAAGAAAATACATTTTGGAAAAGAAAAATATATTCAGGCAAATACAACAAATTCCGGAAAATATATTTCAAAAAAGAAAAATACATTCCGGAAAATACTTCCGGAAAATACATTCCAGAAAAGAAATATACATTCAGGAAAATATTATACATTCCGGAAAAGAAATATAAATATTTATAAAAAATATATGAGAAATTCCGGAAAACACAAAATTCCGGAAGGAAAATAAAAAAAAAACTTTTAAAAGTAAAAATACACATTCCGGAAAATAATTCCGGAAGTTTCTATTAAATAAAAATTCCTCAAAACTCACAGACAAATGATCAATCGATCTAACCAACAAAAATCTCATTTCTGAATCCTGAACTCTTTGAGCAGACTTTTTAAGAGTACCTACAACTGTTTGATAACGAGAATTGTTTGAATGAAGGGGAAATTCAATTTCTTCCTTTAATTAAAATTTAAAGTTAAATTTCAAACCTTCTTTTTGAAAATTACCTTTTTCAATTTACACATTTCTGCCAATTTTGGCAAGTGCGGCTTCATTTCATTTTCAATTTTATACATTACGCGTTCGACATAATCGAGGAATGGGTCATTTGCAGGGCGTTTAACACGTGTTACAACTAGAAAAAAAAATTTAAAAAATTTCGAAAAATTTTTTCCTGAAGAAATACTTCCGGAAAATTTGTCAATTTTTTTTCAAAAAATTTCAAAATTTTTCAAAAATTATTTTTCAACCTTACCATCAACCGGAGGCATAATATGACTCTTCAAATTATCCAATTGATGCCTAACTGTACTAATCGTTTCCGAATGTAAATTAGAACATAAATTAAGCATATGTTGATAACAAGCATTAATATCCAAACTTGTATCTCCTACACCCATTGAAGCTGTTAGGCCTACAATTTGTGGTTTTTCTTTTATTTTGCTTTTTTCGAGCATTTCCATAAGTACTGAAAAAAAATAAAGAATAATAAATATTTTCCGGAAAACACAAATAGAAAAAATAAGTATTTCCGGAATGATATAAAACAACTCCCGGAAAATAAAGTTAAAAGAATATATTTTCCGGAAATAAAATATATTTTCCGGAAACTAAATATAATTTTTCCGGTAATTTGCAACGAATATATTTCCGGAATAAAAATACTTCTAAAAATAAAAACACAAATTTTCCGGAAAAAAACAACAAGAAAGATAAATATATTTTCCGGAAAACACAAAAATATATATTTTCCGGAATAGGAATAAAATACTTCTAGAAACAAAAATACAAACATTTCCGGAAAAAGACAAATAAATATTTCCGGAAAACACAAACATATATATAATTTCCGGAATTGTAATACAAAACACTTCAGAAAAAACACAATTAAAACTTTCCGGAAAATACAAATTAAATATTTTAAAAATACATAAAATACAAACTTTTGTATGGGTGTAGTTTTGTCTAAAAATACAAGAAATGTTTGATAAATTGTAAATTATTTTAAAGTTTACCGCATGGTGGCATTCATCAAAAATCATTAAAGTAAAATCAGCAAAATAAACACGTTCAGAACGTAAAATGCTTTCCAACATATTTCTAAAAAATAATTAAATTTTTAAATTGATGAAATTTTCAAAAATTTTCGGAAGAAAATTTCAAAAATTTTTTGAAATTTCTTTCGGAAAGAAATTTCAAAAATTTTCCGGAAAAAAATTTCAAAAATTTTCCGGAAAAAAATTTCAAAAATTTTCCGGAAAAAATTTCAAAAATTTTCCGGAAAAAATTTCAAAAATTTTCCGGAAAAAATTTCAAAAATTTTCCGGAAAAAATTTCAAAAATTTTCCGGAAAAAAATTTCAAAAATTTTCCGGAAAAAAATTTCAAAAATTTTCCGGAAAAAAATTTCAAAAATTTTCCGGAAAAAATTTCAAAAATTTTCCGGAAAAAATTTCAAAAATTTTCCGGAAAAAATTTCAAAAATTTTCCGGAAAAAATTTCAAAAATTTTCCGGAAAAAATTTCAAAAATTTTCCGGAAAAAATTTCAAAAATTTTCCGGAAAAAATTTCAAAAATTTTCCGGAAAAAATTTCAAAAATTTTTCCGGAAAGAAATTTCAAAAATTTTCCGGAAAAAAATTTCAAAAATTTTCCGGAAAAAAATTTCAAAAATTTTCCGGAAAAAAATTTCAAAAATTTTCCGGAAAAAATTTCAAAAATTTTCCGGAAAAAATTTCAAAAATTTTCCGGAAAAAATTTCAAAAATTTTCCGGAAAAAATTTCAAAAATTTTCCGGAAAAAATTTCAAAAATTTTCCGGAAAAAATTTCAAAAATTTTCCGGAAAAAATTTCAAAAATTTTCCGGAAAAAATTTCAAAAATTTTCCGGAAAAAATTTCAAAAATTTTCCGGAAAAAATTTCAAAAATTTTCCGGAAAAAATTTCAAAAATTTTCCGGAAAAAATTTCAAAAATATTCCGGAAAAAATTTCAAAAATTTTCCGGAAAAAATTTCAAAAATTTTCCGGAAAAAATTTCAAAAATTTTCCGGAAAAAATTTCAAAAATTTTCCGGAAAAAATTTCAAAAATTTTCCGGAAAAAATTTCAAAAATTTTCCGGAAAAAATTTCAAAAATTTTCCGGAAAAAATTTCAAAAATTTTCCGGAAAAAATTTCAAAAATTTTCCGGAAAAAATTTCAAAAATTTTCCGGAAAAAATTTCAAAAATTTTCCGGAAAAAATTTCAAAAATTTTCCGGAAAAAATTTCAAAAATTTTCCGGAAAAAATTTCAAAAATTTTCCGGAAAAAATTTCAAAAATTTTCCGGAAAAAATTTCAAAAATTTTCCGGAAAAAATTTCAAAAATTTTCCGGAAAAAATTTCAAAAATTTTCCGGAAAAAATTTCAAAAATTTTCCGGAAAAAATTTCAAAAATTTTCCGGAAAAAATTTCAAAAATTTTCCGGAAAAAATTTCAAAAATTTTCCGGAAAAAAATTTCAAAAATTTTCCGGAAAAAATTTCAAAAATTTTCCGGAAAAAATTTCAAAAAATTTCCCAGACAAAAATTTTCAAAATTTTCCGAAAAAAAATTTCAAAAATCTTTCCCAAAAATTTTTTTAATTAAAAAAAAATCAAACATTAATATTTGAGGTGTCATAACAACAATGTCCGCAGCCAACAAACGATCAGCCCTCCCTTCAGGAATATTTTCACAACCACTAAAACCATCAACCCAGTAGGCTATATTTGGACGATAATTGTCTTTGTAATCCATAAGAAATTGGACAAAATGAAGAGCCTGTTGATCAACTAGAGGAACTGTTGGGACGAGCATTACACACTTTTTGGAGGGGAAGGGAAGAAAATTAAATAATTTTGAAAAATTTTTTTTAATTCTGAAATTTTTTTTCGAAAAATTTTTAAAAAAAAATTTTCGAATGGAATTTTCAGAAAAAAAATTTGAAGCCAAAAAAATTTTTCAAAAAAAATTTTTTTTAATTTTTTGGAAATTTTTTCCAAAAAATTTCCAAAAAAATTTCAAAAAAATTTTCAGAAAAAAAATTTTTTTAATTAAAAAAAAAATCAACTAACTCTTCCAATTTTCCCATCTCTATGTCTATTAGACAAATGATTTTTAATTATATCAACAGCTACCAAAGTTTTTCCACTTCCTGTTGGGGCACATATTATTGTGTTTCTTCCACTAAAAATTTTTTTAATATTTTTTTTTTCTAATTCCAAATTTTTACTTATTTGCATGCAAAACCAATTCGTTTTGATATGGACGTAAATCATATTGTTCAGGTTCATAAGATTCAATACTTGCTAAAAAAATTATTTTTGGAAAATTTATTTGGAATAAAAAATTTTTTTCGAGGCCTTAAATCGGTAATAAAAATTTAAAAAATTTTCTAAAAAATAAATGGGACAAACTGTCCACTAAAGCAAAAATTTTAGAAAAAAATGAATTAAAAAAATTTTTTTTTTCTTAAAAAAATTTTAGAAAAATTTTTGAACTTTTGACTCTTATGAAAATCGTTTAGAAAAATTTTTAATTAAAAATTATTTCAAAGAAGCCCAAAAACCACCCAAAAAATTTTACACAAAAAAATTGAAAATCCCTAGCCTCATTGTCAGAAAAAAATTTTTGAAAAAAATTAAAAATAAAAACTTACAACTTCTATTATTTAAATAATTAATTTGATTTCTAGGTTCAGTAATTTCCTCCTCATCTCCAATTAAATATTCAAGCAATTCTGGTTTCATAATACCTGCCGCTACCATTTTCTTTGCTTTCCATTTATCTAAAAAAATTTTGTAAAAAAATTTTATTAGACAAAAATCTCCTCAACTGAACCAGAAAAAATAAAAAAAATTTTCTTCAAAATAAAAATATTAAATCTGGATGACAGAATAAAAAAAAACAAAAATTTCAACTCTAAAAAAAATAAAAAAAAACCTAAAGAATCAGCATAATTTGGATCAATCAAACGTGCAAAAAATCGGCAGTCTCCATGACTTAACAAAGCTTCAATAAATTCGTAATACCAATCCTTTAGAGAGAAAAATGTTTAAAAAATTAAATATAAAACGATACCCCAAATTCTAGCGTTGAATTTTCAATATCAGAACAATGGGCCAATCCACGAATGAACAGACAGGCAGCAGCTTCGATTTCTTAAAAAAAAAGAAAATTTTAAAAACTAATTGAAAATATTCCAAGCAAACGAAAATGGGTTGGGTTATTCTAGCAGAAAAGGGATGATCATGGGATGGATAGGAATGGGAAGAATTAATCGACATGGACGGTCACCCCTTTTTCCAACCCGAAAAAGATTTTAAACCTCTTCCACTGCAAACTTCTCAAAATACAAGCAAAGATAGGGGATATTCACGATCGGTTTAAAACCCGAAAATTTTAAAAAACGAGTTTTTTAAATCCCCACAAAATAAAATTGTATTTAAAAATCAAAGCAATTTTTGAACAACCGAAAAATAAAAAAAAACTGAAAACCAAGGGGTTTTTAAAATTCTGTTTAACCGAACCAAGAGGGACTGGGTCATAAGGGCGCGGGGCCATTAGGGCGCGAGCTTATAAAACAGTGAGTTGCTTATCAAAAAAGATAAAATTTTGCAATAATAACTCTCATGCCTTTATCTACGTTCTCCAAAAATTTCAGAATTTTTGATCAAGAATTTCAAAAATTGTGGCCAAAAATGTTGATTTTCCGAAAAAACCCTAATTTTTCGCGGTTTATCGACTATAACTTCAGAAATATTCGATGAAAAATTTTGAAATTTCTGGAGGAGGTAGTCTAGGATGTTAAAGAAATTTGAGAGAATTTTCATAAATTTCGGTTTCGCCTAAGTGTCAGTTTCAAGTGCTGGCGCCCTAATGGCCCCGCGCCCTTATGACCCCAACCCAACCAAGAGGATATCGGGTAATAATATTTAATGAATAAAATACTGAAAAAATAAATCAACAAAAAAATATTTTTATAAAAACCTCTCTTCGCCTGATTTTGAGCAACATAAATCATTTCAATTCTTCTCAACAAATCCTCATATTCACTCATCCCTTTATTTTTAAACCATTCAAAAATATGTCTTGGTTCCAGTACTGCACGTATTCTGTCCACTTTAAAAGGGTCGTCGCCGGAATAAAGTTGAGAATAAAATTGGGTAGAAGTTAAGTTGTTTAAGTGAAGCTCAGCAAAAGATTGAGGGTCGTCTTAAAAATTTAAACTTTTATTTTTAAAAAATTCTAAAATTATTTTTGCGGACAAAACTTGCGGACTTTTCAAATATCAGTAATTTTAGAAATTTTTGGGTGAGGGAAAACTCCGCAAGTATTGTCACAAAAAATAATTATTTCAACATAAATCCTATCAAGAAAATTTTTTTGGTAATATTAAACCTGACAGACCCCATTTTCCTCCCCAACTTCTTCCTATATATCTACAGATTCAAAATACTTAATTTTTATCTATCCTCGATTGAAGAAAAGAAAATTGGAATGAAAGAAGGGAACAAGTCTGACCAATCTGCAAATATATAGGAAGAAACTTGGGGAGGAAAGGATGGGGGGTCTGTCAGTTCAAATTTAGTTTCTGCTAATTCAGAAAATAAACAAGTAGGTTTTGATTGAAAAAAAAATTTTTCCAAAAAATTTTTGCGGACATTAAATTTAAATTTGCGGACAAAAAATAAATAGAAAATTAAATTAAAAAATTTATGAAATAAAACCTTCTTTACAACGAGAAATAATCGAAAGCAGCCAAGGAAGAGCATCAGGGTCATTTGAATGCGAAATATATTTAAACAGGTCAGACTTCACAATAGCCAAAGCCTCTGTATTTGCACGGTCCAATTCTTTTCCAATAGACAAGGCTTTGTCTCTTTCAAAATCTAACCATTTATGGACTTCTTGAATTCTATCACCTTTAAATTAATTGTAAAAAGGAAGGGGAAGTGAAAAGTCCGCAAATTTTGTCCGCAAAAATATTAAAATTTGCGGACATTTGAGTGGACGCAGTGAATAACAAGAAAAAATCTTGGAAAAATATCGAGAGAACCCTCAAGAGAATGTTTAGATCATAACAGAACAAATAAAAAATCATTCCAAGTCCCCAGGCCCGTAGCCAGGGAAGGGTAGGCGGGGGAATTCCCCCCCCCCCCCCCCGAAATGGGGAAAAGGGAAAAATTAGGCGAAGGGCTGGGGCAAAAAAAGTGAATTTTTTTGGCCTACGGGCTTCAAAATTTTCGCCTGCGGCGCTGAAAATAAAAATTTTTCCCCCCTTGGCCCCCCCCCCCCCCGAAAAAAAATCCTGGCTACGGGCCTGCAAGTCCCCCTTATTTGCCCTATTTTCCCTTTGGAATTGCTTCAAAATTAATAATTCCTTAATTAAACCCCTTATTATAAAAAAAATAATCAAAAAAATACCAGCAAAACGTTTAACCAAAAGACTTGTATCATTCCCCACATATTTAACAAATTCATAAACAAACAGCCTAATATGTGATTTTACATTAATTCCATTTTTTGCCAAATCGGTCATCCAAAGTTGCAAAAGTTGGGTTTCCGTAGCTGTTGGAACTGTTGTCGTTATATTGGGGAATTTGGCTGGAAAATAAACAATTTTTAGAAATAAAAGAATTTTTAAAAAAATAACCTTTAATTTTCATTTGAATCATTTCCCCTCCAAGTTGAGAAAAAAAATAAAATTTAAAAAATTAATTACTTTACTGAAAATAAGCTTGGAATGACCAATAAAAAATTAAACTTGGTCAAAATACTAAGAAATTAAAATAAAAAATTACAATTGTAAAAATAAAGTTGGTAAATTGTAAAAAAAGTTTTAGGGATTGTAAAAATAAGGTTTTATTAAAATTACAAAGAAAAGGTTGGTAAAGTTGTAAAAAGTTTGTAAAAAAAAATAAAGTTGTATTAAATTGTAAAGAAAAAGTTGGTATTGTAAAATAATCTGATAAGGTTGCAAAAAAGTTTGAAAACTTGAAAAAGTTTTAAAGTTTTAGGATTGTAAAACGCCTATACGCTAAAACGGCGGCGATGAAAGGAAGTGAGAAAAAAATTTTTTCAAAATGTAAACAAGTGAAAAAATGTCAGAATGTAAACTTGTATAAATTCGTTGAGAAGGGACAAGCCCACTTTGTCGCGCGGCCACATTGTCGCAGAGCCATAACTTGCTAAAAAATTTCTGGCCCTTATCAATTTTGGTACCAATCTATTTAGCTCGATGAGAGGAATCGTTTAATACTAAAGTTGGTAAGATTCGGAAAACTTGAAGGAAGTTATGGCTCTGCGACAATGTGGCCGCGCGACAAAGTGGGCCGTACCCTAGTGAAAGATTAATAACGGGACACGCCCTCCTTGTCGCGGGCCACCTTGTCGCGACCACCTTGTCGCAGGCCCACCTTGTCGCAAGGGGTGAAAATTTTTTTGCTGATATGGAGAGTAGGAAAAAGGCATTCTGGGCACGATCGGGGTTTTCTGGAGTAATCTGGTTCGGTTTTACTCTGTCAAAACCTCCGGAAGAATTTACCCGGATAAGAGAAAATAATAAAAGGGAAAAAACACTCAAAAACTTAATCAAAAAATTTTTAAAAAAGCCATTGTCGCGCTTCACTAATTAAATTTGTGACCCTAAGCAGGGCAGTTTGGGTTTGTTTTTCTTGTCAATGTTCTCTAATTTAAACATCTTCGTTCCTTCAGAAACTTCGAAATTGAAAATCGCCAGTCAGAAACTGACGGAAATCAACTAAAAAATTGAAAAAAAAACTTAAAAAACAAGATAAAAATTCCAAACCTTTCTAATTTTCCCATCGTTGTAGCCGTGGCATGAAGTATGGCACATGGCGAGCAAAGTTTGGGCCAACCTTAAAAGAAAAACCAAAGGAAAGCTTGCGACAAAGTGGCCCGCGACAAGGTGGGCCTGCGACAAGATGGCCTGCGACAAAGTGGTCGCGACAAGGTGGTCGCGACAAGGTGGCCCGCGACAAGGTGGGCCGTACCCATTAATAACTGCTACAGGGTACTGTATGAGAGAAATTTAAAGAATAATGCTTTTTTGCTTAAGAGAAAATTGTTTTTCTTGCTGAAGTTTGAGCTGATTTTTGATTTATTTAATCCCTTAAATCTATTTTTAAAATTCTATTAGTAATCATAAATTTTTCCAAAAAAAAATTCCCATTTCCTAAACTGTAATTTTCTTAGAATTACACATTTAAGCCCCATTTTTTGAAATTTTCCTTTTTCGAATTTTTCACATATTTAAATAAAATATTGAAAAATTTTTTGTGAGAATTTAATAAATATTTAAAGAAACATTTTTTATTTTTTTAAAATTTATTTAACAATTTTTCTCACATCAGAAAAATTAATTTTGAACATTTGTGAACCTATAAAATCTGTAGTCATGAATAAATTATTTAATTTAATTTTTAAATATCTGTTTTATGGTCTCTATTAAGTTTATGCTTTTAATTAAATTTTTACAAACTTAATTTTTATTATAAACTTTCAAGTCTTTATTTCAAGTTTTATTTATTTGTATTTATATTCAAGTTTGTAAACTTGTATTTCCGGAAATTATTAATTAAATAAGTTTCAAGTTTATTTATTTTCCGGAAAGTTTTCAAGTTTTCCGGAAATTATTTAATAAAGATTTTCCGGAAAACTTAAAAACTTTCCGGAAATAAATAAACTTGAAACTTTATTTAATTAATAAGTTCCGGAAATTCAAGTTTACAAACTTGAATATAAATACAAATTAAAAAATCATACACTTAATTTTATTTATTTTCCGGAAAGTTTTCAAGTTTTCCGGAAACTCTTTATTAATTAAAGTTTTAAGTTTACCACAAATAATTGTTTTCCGGATTCTTTTATTTGTTATTTTTCCGGAAGAAGTATAATAGAATTTTCCGGAAATATTTTAATAATATGTTTTCCGGAATTTCAATTATTTTACTTCAAGAATTGTTTTAAGTTTTCCGAAAATGTTTTAATATAATGTTAAGTTTCTCCTACTATGTTTTCCGGAATTTATTTTCAAGTTTGTAAACTTGTATTTCCGGAAATTATTAATTAAATGAATTTTTAATTGGTTACCCATTACAATTTCGTTTATTCCCTACTCCTTTTTTAACATAAAAAAAATAAAAATACAAATTAAATTTTTAAAAGTGTAAATTAATAAATTCTCGTGTTTGCTGCTAAGGAACACGTATATGCTTCGTCTATTAAATTATAAATTTTATTTTTATTGAATTAAGTAACAAACCCTTTTTTTAAAGTTTTTTTCCCCTTTACACCTGTTAATAAAAAATAAAATAAAAAATCAAAAGTTTTAAGCAAAAATTAAATAATTTTCAATAAATTTTATTGCAGTACTATTTTTATTTTTAAATGTTGAAAACAACAACAAGTTTTATTATACAGACTTGAAAATAATTTTCATTAAAGTTTCCAAATATTAGCTCTCAATATAACTATTATAATGGGAAATAGTTGTCTTATTCCCGGCGCCACAACTATAAATTCAACTAAAATTGGCACTGTGTTTGTTATACACCCAGCAGGTAGAAAATATTAAATTTCTAATGGGGATTACAAAAGGAAATCCGAAAGTTTGTAAAATTGTTTTTACATTTCCGGAAACCTTAATTTCCGGAAGCAGCCCATTTTTTAGTTACTTTTCAATTTTCCAAGTTGGAAATGTACCACATACTTAAGTTTGTAATTTAGTAATGTTTATTTGCTTCCGGTATATTTCCGGAAACAGTTTATTAACAATTTATTTGTTTTTTCCGGAAAACAATTTGTTTGTTTCTGGCTTATTCCGGAAACAATTTCCGGAAAACAATTTGTTTGTTTCTGGCTTATTCCGGAAACAATTTATTTGTTTCCGGTTTATTTCCGGAAAACAATTTGTTTGTTTCTGGCTTATTCCGGAAACAATTTCCGGAAAACAATTTGTTTGTTTCTGGCTTATTCCGGAAACAATTTCCGGAAAACAATTTGTTTGTTTCTGGCTTATTCCGGAAACAATTTCCGGAAAACAATTTGTTTGTTTCTGGCTTATTCCGGAAACAATTTCCGGAAAACAATTTGTTTGTTTCTGGCTTATTCCGGAAACAATTTATTTGTCCGGAAACAATTTATTTGTTTCCGGTTTACTTCCTGAAAAAATTTATTTGTTTCCGGTTCATTTCCGGAAACAACCAGTGTTTTACTTCCTTTCAAGTTTAAATTGTAGCACAAACTTAAGTTTGTAATTTCTCAAAAAAGTTTATTTGTTTCCGGTTTATTTCCGGAAATTTTAAGTTTACATACTTGTATAAGATTACTGTTTGTAATTCAAGTTTATTTTTATATCCAAGCGTACGACGCTTGTAAACTTGAATTGTTTATAGGTTAATAACGTGTTTTAGTCTATTATCTATTTTTCTTATTTTCAATTTTAAGATAATGATGATAAAAGTAATGGTCTTAAATTTTTATTGTCACGTCGCAATAGAATTTTTTCTCAACCGGAAATATCTCAAGAATTATCTAAACATTCACTCACTTCGAGGGATAAAGAATTGTAAGTTTTCCCATAGTTTTGTTCTTAGTAAATATTACAATTTTATTTTTAATAGAAATTCCCACCAATTCCCACCCAAAAAATAAAAAATAAAAAATAATTAATTTTGGCATTTTTCGATTTGTATTTTACAAAAAAAAATTATTTACCAAGAAAAACAAAGGAAAAAATATTTTTGAAATTTAAATGTCAAAATTTGGAATTTTGCAATTTTTATAAGCCTAAAAATTATAAATCAAATTTTTCTCACCGCTATTTTAAGAATTAATCGTTCCTGGCGAGAACAAATTGCTACAGGTCGAAAAGACATTTTCCACAGGACCATGCTCTATTGCATCGAAGCTAGTCCCAAAATGAATGAAGTAATCGCTTGTGGCCGTTATTGCTACAGAGACTTGACTAAATGGCCAAAACTTAACAGGATTTGGTAGGGGAAGGAAGGTATAATTTTAATTTTTTTAATATTTAGTCAAGCACAGTTCCATTTTTATGAAAAACTCATTTTTGAATTTTCCTTGGATGAAATAAAGATGCATGAAGCTTGTTGGAATTTGGGAGAAATGCATGCAAAGTATGCACAATATGGACTGAAGCCGCATTTTCTTGATATTTATCAACAACAATTTTTAAGTGAGAGCATTTTCTAAAGAGATTTTTTACAAACTTGAACCTTCCTGAAAACTTAGGAGAGACTTACAAACTTGAAAAGTTTCCGGAAAGTTTAAAGTTTATTATTTTATAAACTTATAGGGTTTCCGGAAAACTTATTTTCCGGATAACCTAAAAACTTTCCGGAAAACCTAGTATCCTGAAAACTTAGTTTCCGGGAGACCTAGAAACTTTCCGGAAAACCCTAGTTGAGCTTTACAAACTTAAAAAGTTTATAAACTTTAAATAATTCTTTCCAGAAATCTGTCCCTTTACGGAAAAGTTTTATTTTTCTTTGCAAACTTAAGTTTGAGGCCTATTTGCAGTTCCTTCTTTTACTTATTCTAAATATTTAAGCAATTCTTGCCAAAATGGAATTGCCTGATAAGGCAGAGACTTGCATTGCTTATACACACTTAACATCATTTGTTATTGATGTAATGAACCAAGCTTATTGCCAAAAAGCTGCAGATATTCGAATGGCAGGAAGTCCAATGCTTAGAAGAAAGAATGTTTAAAAATCTAAATTTATTTTTAAAATTTTGGTTAATAATTAACTAATGCCTTATTCCCTAATTTTATATAAATATTTTAATTGATACGATTATGTACATATATAAAATTTAATATTTATGTATTTTCTACATATTTTTTATTTTTTACAATATAAAAACTTTGATTTTGAATAGTTCTAGTTTTCCTGAAATATACCTGAAACTAGTGTTTGGCAAATGGATTTTTTTGGTACCGGTACCGGGAGTACCGGAAAATACGGACTCGGTATTTTCGGGAGTACCGCGGGAGTACCGAACCGTGCCGAACACTATTTGAAACTGAAATTTACAACCTGAACTTATCAGGAAAACATAAATTGCAAACTTGAACTTTTCGGGAAAACTTGAAATAATATTACTAATATGTATAAGCTACAAGATTTAAATTCCTCAATTAAATTTCTTAAGTATTTACAATCCTGAATATTAAATAAAAAATAGTATATAATAATGTGTTCATTAAATTTTATTTAATTTAGTCATGCTCATTGTCAGTTTCATTTCCATTACTCATCTTTATGTCCCCCAAATCATCATATAGTGCAATTTCCTCTTCCTCTGTCCTATTCTTTCCTTCCTCAATTATTCCATCATCCAAACTCATCATAGTTAACGGAAATGAGTATTCAGAAGAAATATGAGAAGCAAAAGCTTTTTTTGAGGCAACGCAGAGGTATTGGCATTGGAACTGTGTAGCAGCATTTCCATCTATACCAGCAACTCCTTGTGCTCCAATCTTGCCCTTCATTCCCTTCTAAATTTAATTTTCTAGAAATATTTTAAACATTAAAAAGACCTCTCCAGACATCCCCTTAGGGCCCTGCTTTCCTTGAGTTCCAGGCTGTCCAGCAATATTTGAAGGGCGTCCAGGCAAGCCAGTCAATCCTCTTATGCCTTCTTGGCCTGGAAGACCTTGAGGTCCTTTTGTACCTATTCCACCTGATTTTTAAATATTATTTTTTAAAGTGTTTCTTCGTCCACCTATTCGTTTTTCGCCGGCCGGCCCTCGTTCTCCATTCCTTCCTGCTTCCCCACGATTTCCAGTTGGTCCAGGCTCGCCCCCACGACCATTCGGCCCTGGACGGCCAGGAATACCTGAATTTCCGGTCCTTCCTGGGTGTCCCAGAAGGCCTCTTTCGCCCTGTAAACCGTTTGGTCCAAGTGGACCTTAAAAATTATAAGACTGATATCCAAAGTTCCCGTAGAGTACAAACCGGCAGGGCAAACAACACAAGGCAATGGTGGAAGAGGCCCTTGTTCAAAATCGTAGCCATCATTTCCTGGCTTTCCAAAAAGGCCCAAAGCTCCAGGCATTCCATCTTCGCCTGGAACTCCTGGTTGACCTATAGGACCCGGTAAGCAGTTCAGTCTAGCACATTCTGTTTTTATCTCAATAAAAAATATGAGAATTAAGATATACTTTCACATTTGCTGACTGCCTTAATAACACTTTCAATAGGTTGATTAATTCCTACATCTCTTCTGAAGCGAGTGGATTCAGCTTGAACATGTTGCATTTTATTCCATACATTATTTGAGATTTTCTGTAAGATTGCGATAAATAGTATTCAAGTTTATTTATTTTAAGTTTACAATCTTAAGTTTACTTTGTTTATATTTCTTTCAAGTTTATTTTCAAGTTTATTTATATTACAAACTTAAGTTTACTTGATTAATATGCTTCCAAGTTTATTTATTTAAAGTTTGCAAACTTAAGTTTACTTATATTTATTTCAAATTTATTTTTAAGTTTTCCCAAGTTTATTTTACAAACTTAAGCTTACCTTCCAAGTTTATTTATTTTAGGTTTACAATCTTAAGTTTATTTTCCAAGTATTTATTTCAAGTTTATTTTCAAGTTTATTTATTTTACACACCTAAGTTTACTTGATTAATATCATTACAAGTTTATTTATTTTAAGTTTACAATCTTAAGTTTTCTTGTTCTATACTTAAACTTATTTTTTAAATTTATTTGCCTGGTATTTAGCCGAATACAATTCAGTCTCAATTCGTATCTGCTGAACTTTCCAGGTGAAAGCATTATAAGAAATAATTAAACCGATCAAAGAAAAAATGCTAGCACAAATGCTAAATTGGGCTAAAAGATGGAAAGCATCATGCCGAATAAACATTTTTAAATTTAAGTATTTTTGTTGAGTAACCAAGTTAATAATTTAAATAATATGAAATAAAAATTCCCAAAGGTTGGATATAAAAGAATTTGGGTTAAACATATTTTCCGAGAAACTTATTTTGATAAACAAGTTTAAAAATAAATTATGTAAGATATCTGCAACACTTTGTTGATATCCCTTACGTTGGGGTCTTCCAGCCTCCCTTTAAGAACCCATCCTCTTCCTTTTTCATCTTGCGTACACCCCGTTATACCGCGAGCCCAACCTACCGCCGAGGCTATAACTTCGTTCAAAATTGTTGAGTCTGAGACAATTTGGTATGGTTGGATTCAGCTCGTCGAGGCGTATCGAACCATACCAAGGCGTCCCGGATTAGACAATTCTGAAAGAAGTTATAGCCTCGGCGGTAGATTGGGCTGCGGTAGGTTGGCCTGCTCCCAAACCCATCCTTTTTCTCTTTCATCTTGATCATTTATTAATTGATCTTCTGCCTGATCTACACTTTCAGATTAAAATATAAACGTCATTCAACAACTAGAAAATTCGAGAGAGGGTCCGATAAAGGAGAAAATACAAAGTCCATCTTAGCGATGAAGTGATAAAAAAAAAGTCCGAGAGTCACAGAAACGTGACGAGGAATTATTTACTTTATTTTTTACTATTTATGTATATAAAAAATAAACATGTGTTTAAAAAGAACAAACAACAATTTATTATCTTTTTTAAAATAGAAACAGTTCAATTTCTTAAATAACCTTTTTTATTTTAAGAACAGACTAGAGTGTTTCCGGAAAACATAAAAACTTGAAACTTATTTTATTTATATGAAGCTTTCCGGAAAAGAATAAACCTTAAATATACCTATTTTTACTATTTCCGGAAAATACATACAAACTTTAATTAATTTAATATTTAAACTTTTTCCGGAATTTTGTATTTTTCCGGAAAATTGTAAACTTAAACTTTCTCTTAAAATTAGTAAACTTGAAACTTTTCCGGAAATTTGTAAACTTAATACTTCTTTCCGGAAATATAAAATATTTGAAGGTATGAAACTTTCCGGAAAAGAATACACCTTAAATATATTTTTACAATTTCCGGAAATTACAAACTTGATCAAATTTAATGATTAAACTTTTTCCGGAAACTTGTAAACTTAATACTTCTTTCCGGAAATATAAAATACCTTAGTATGTATATTTTTAAGTGTATGATTTCGTTTTTATTTCAAGTAAGTTCTTTTTATTTTTCTTTATAGACCTCCCACCCAAAAAATTTTTCTCCAATTTTCAAAAATATTTTATTATATTCCTTATTTAAAATCATAAATCAATTTAAAATCAATTTTATGTTCTTCTTATTTTGTGATTTTTAAATAAATTTTTCTTCCCTTTTTTATCATGATCATCCTTTTACGTTTTTAAAAAAGAATTCTTTTTTTATTTCCATATAAAGTAGAAAACCATCTCCCCAACTATTAAACAGCTCGATAAATAAATTCTTGTTCCTCTCCGCTTTGCTCCTTTTTCTCCTTTTTTCCCATTCTACACGCACCAAATTATAGAGGTTTTACAACTTTTATTTTTGCGGATATTTTTTATTTTAACTGTAGTTCTGTTCAGACTTGATCAATTTTTTTAAGTTTAGTATCATTTTGTAGCTAATTTTCTCCTCTACAATTTAAGCCTAAAATTATAATTTTTGATCCATTACAAGCTGAGTTATGCCTTTTTAAAGTGCCGTCGTTCGCGTCCGCACAACCTCCAATATTTGTCCGCAAATATTTTCCTCTCCCTCACGATAATATCGCTTTCATTGAAACCGCTTTTTCGATTTATTTTCCTTCTCTCCAGTCATTCACTTCCATTATTTATTTTCTATTTATTTTCCATATAAGGGTGACGTGGCCATAAATTATCCAAAAAATATTTTTTATTTATCGACCTCTCCAACACATTAAATAAAAAATATTAATATTTATTGTGTATTTTATCAATTTTAATCAAAAATGGTTTTGTGACGTTTTAATTTATTTAAAAAAATTTTCTAGTTTTATAAAAAATTTAAGTGATTTTTATTTAATGTTGTCTTCAAAAATATTAATTTTTACAAATTTGAATTTTAATTAAACTTAAATTGAAAATTTTTCTAAAGTTTTCAAGTTTACAAACTTTCCGGAAAAGAAAGTTTCAAGTTTTTATAGTTTCCGGAAAATGTTTATTAAAAGAAAGTTTCAAGTTTGTATTTATTTTTTCCGGAAATGTTTAGTTACTAATATTTAAAGTTTGTAAACTTTCCGGAAATTTTGTATACTTTCCGGAATTGATATATTAAATAAAGTTTCATTTTTATTTATTTTTCCGGAAAGCTTTAAAGTAAATTTATTGTCTTCCGGAAAACTTTACAGACTTAAGTTTTCCGGAAAATAATTTAAAAAGTTTCAAGTTTGTAAATTTCCGGAAAAGTTTGTAAATGCTTCAAGTTTATACATTTTCCTTCAATTAAATAAATTATTAAAAGTTATGATTATACACACACTACACATTATTAACTAAATTTGGGCATTTTTAATTTTAATTTTTTTTTCCTTTTTTATTCATTTTACACGTTTTTTATTGCATCATGTGTATGTAATTTTGTGTGGTATACCCCCAAAAAGAAGAATAGGCGGCAGTGTAGCAGTTGGTATTTTATTGTTATGTGTGGGTTCCCCTTTTTTAAACAAATCAAATCATTCCTCCTTCACCAGACAAAAATTTTCTAAAAATAATTATTTTTTATTATTTTTAAATGATTTGAAAAACATTTACTTGATTAAGGGTTATGTAATAAATAAAGTTTCAAGTTTATTATATTTTCCGGAAAAGTTGACAGAAAATTTGTATATTTTCCGGAAAAGTTTATATTCAAGTTTCGAGTTCAAGCTTAATTTATTTTTCAATTTTTTCAAGTTTATTTATTTTGGCTACAAAACACATAATAATTTATTACCTTTCCCCGTTAATCTTTATTCTTTGGATAAAAACTAAAGTACCAAAATACATATTTTTTAAATATTTTTCTCGAACATTCATACATATTCTCTTTTCTAAAACACAACAATTTTTTCAAAATTAAAAAAATAAAAATTAAATATTTCAGAAAAAGACTGCCATTTAATAATTTAATATTTATTAAAATATTTATTAAAAATAATTAAAAATGAAGGCTAGCCAACGATTATGTACTGCATTTATTCAACAATATACTGGTGCTAGCAGTTCGATAGAAAGACCGTTAGCTTATTATAGGTTGGAAATTTATTTCAGAATAATTCTGAAAAATTGCCAGAATATTTCTGAAAAATTCTGAAAAATTTCTTAAGCCAATTTCGCCCAGCTTCCCTTACAATGAAGCAATATTTGGATTTCGGCCGTAATGGGACTGACCAATCCTCTTATCTCTTCCTCAAGACTGAACTGCTTGTAAGGATGGCTAACATCATGCAAGAGCTTAACTTATTACCTTCTAAGCTTTTACAAACACAAAGTGGCCAACATGTTTCCAATTTGTATAAACAAAGTAAGAAGAGGGCACTTTTGGGCATTTTGTCCATTTTTGCTTTTATGGGCATTTTGTCCATTTCACTTAATTAAACCCCAATTCTCTTATAGGCTTCTGCGAACTTCTCCAATTTGAAGGGATCAACCCCAGCACCTCTGTCCTCCAAAAATTTAAAAGCCAACTACGCTCAATTCTCAGACGACACAATACCGTCGTTGAAACAATGGCTGAAGCTTTAATTGAATTAAAACAAAGCAGAGGTATGGACTTCTCCTGTGAGCAGAATATACAAGTGAGGGGATTTTTAAGTATTTTTGAAGATTTTTTTGGTTTTTAAGTATTTCCTCGACCGTTTCTACCTCAATCGAATATCCATTCGAATGCTTCAAAACCAACACTGTGAGTAGTACAGTATCCTTTATATTTAATCCCTCTCACTTTTAGTGGCCATTTTTGGTGAAGGCCAAAGACCTGTTGATCCGGCTGGACATGTTGGACATATAGGTAAATATATTTTTCAGTTGTTTTCCGGAAACATCTTCCGGAAATTTAGAAGAGAATCTTAAGTTTGTAAAAGTTTCAAGTTTGTAAAAGTTTCAAGTTTGTAAAAGTTTCAAGTTTGTAAAAGTTTCAAGTTTGTGATTGCTTCAAGTTTGTAATTGTTTCAAGTTTCACATTGGACAGCTATATGTTTAACATTTAATTTTTCTTTAACAGACCCTAATTGCTGTGTTAGAGACATTCTAATAGACGCCTATGAGAACGCCCTTATTCTTTCTGAACAACACTTTTGTGCTGCCCCTTCATTAAGCTTGGAATGCTTCAACTCTAAAAATCCAGGACAAGAAATACGAGTTCCTTTAGTGCCCTTACATCTTTATTATATTGTTTTTGAATTACTTAAGGTATTTTTTGAATTCAGAAAAATTTAAAAAAAATTTTTCTTCATTAGAATTCAATGCGTGCGACAATAGAACACTTTTACCGGACAAATAAAGGAAATAAAATTATCAATGACGAATTGCCTGCTATAAGAGCACAGTTGGTTTTGGGCCCAGAAAATTTGTCTATTAAGGTATTTATGGAGGCGTATCCCAATAAAAATTCAAATAAATATTTTTATCAGATAAGTGATAGAGGTGGTGGTGTTCCAGCAGAAAAGCTCGATCATCTATTTCGTTACTCATACAGTACAGCACCTAAACCTACATCTCAGAAAGATGTTACTCCCTTTGTAAGTCAATTGTGAAAATTTTCAAAAAAAAATTTTTTATTTTTAAAGGCTGGTTATGGCTATGGATTGCCTATTTCCCGGTACTTTAATTTAAAAAAATAATTTAAAAATTATATTCAACTTTAAAGGCTTTATGCTCGTTATTTCCTCGGTGATCTTTCATTAATTTCTATGGACGGGTATGGAACTGATGCATTGATCTCTTTAAAGGTGACAATTAATGAAGAAAGAAAGGGGAAATTTTTAATAAAAATATTTTAAAATATTTTATAAGGTCCGAAACTCGATATTCTTAAAAAAACCAAAGACCAGTACCTCAAACTAGACCCTCACTAAAAAGACTGAAATAGAAAAGGCTTTCCGGAAAATACATACTTGTTAATACAAGTTTACAAACTTAAGTTTATTTCTTATATTAAGTTTCCGGAAAAATAGATTATAGAATATACCTTTCCGGAAAAATACATACTTAACAAACATAATAAGTTTTCCGGAAAGAAACACAATTAAATTGTTCCTAAAAATAAACTTTTCCGGAAAACACATTCTTATTAATACAAGTTTACAAACTTAAGTTTATTTTTTATATTAAGTTTCCGGAAAAATAAATTAAATTTTCCGGAAAATAATATTAAAATAATTTCCGGAAAATAAACTAGAATATACCTTTCCGGAAAAATACTTAACAATATATAATGTTTTCCGGAAAGTTTATTTCTTATATTAAACTTTCCGGAAAAATACATTATAGAATATACATTTCCGGAAAAATACTTAAAAATACATAATGTTTTCCGGAAAGAAACACATTTAAATTGTTTCTAAAAATACAAATAAAACTTTTCCGGAAAACACAAATTAATTAGCGTAACTATAAATTTCCCCCAATTTAAAGGCAATACCCTCAGAAGCTTGTGAATTACTCCCTGTATTTGGCGCTTCTTCTCGCCGTTTAATCACTATGGGGAATCAAGCACCCGATTATTGTTTCCAGACATTTGGGGGAAATAATAATAAAACAGCAGAAGGAGAAAGGAAATGGGGAGAATTGTTAATTTCAAAAAAAGAGGAAAACAATAAAGGAATTATTGAAAATTTGAGGGAAAATAATACTAGAAGAGCATTAATTCAATAACAAAAAATTAATTGTAAAGAATTGTGTAAATATTTATTTTTAATTTTTGTTCATAAATAAACAAAGTAATGTTATACCTTATATTTTAGTAACAGAATTATAAATCAGAATTTAATATATCAGAATAAAAATCAGAATCCCTGGAAAAAAATTGTTCAGAACATGAAAACCAGAATTATAAAACCAGAAGAAAATCAGAACACCAAAAAAAAATCAGAACTGCATCAGAATCCTTTCAAATCTCTTTTTTCTCTTCATATAGTAATCATAAAGTAATGAGCATTTGGATACAACACATTGTTTAATAGCCAAGTAGTTGGTGTGTATTTGTAAAATTGGTCGAGAATCCTCTGATATTTTATAGAAAATTTTAATTAGAGTATAATATTTATTAAAATGTCCCTTTCACAGCCTTTTGAGTCAAATGACTTGAGACTCAAAATCAGAATAAAATCAGAACAAAATCAGAATAAAATCAGAATAAAATCAGAATAAAATCAGAACAAAATCAGAATAAAATCAGAATAAAATCAGAATAAAATCAGAACAAAATCAGAATAAAATCAGAATAAAATCAGAATAAAATCAGAACAAAATCAGAAAAAAAATCAGAACAAAATCAGAATAAAAATTTCAGAAGTTTAAATCAGAAACCAGAATATTAAAAATCAGAATATTCTGTTCTGATTGGTTCTGATTGATTCCTTGACCTCCTTAACTCTCTACGGAACTTAACAACTCACCAAATAGAAGGTAAATTGTTGCTGACTGAAAGAAGAATAGAAGCTCCTTGTCTCTTTTGATATTGTTTTTTGCCTTATTCCACCATCCATTTCCTTTATTCCCTCAAAATTACAAGTCTTCCCATCATCCAGTAGGAAGTAATATCCTTCTAAGCGCATTTTGCCCAATTTACCGCCAGAGTCAGCATCCCCATCGAATTGGATTAGGGAAGGGTTACATTCTGGTAAATAGGAGGGGAATTAAAGAGGGATGTCTCTCCCTCGCTCACCATTTTTATCAGTTGTAGAAACATAATTTTGTAACCAAAGCCAATTAGTTACTACACAAAAAGGGATTAGTCCACAATTTATTGAACTAGAATCTGAACACAAACTAGTCATTAAACCATTATCCGGGGTATAATTATTTAACAAATTGGTAGCTAATTTGGCAAAAAATTGAGTAGAACGGAAAGTTGGCCGTGCAAAGAAATAGCCTCCAGCAATTAAATTATTGGCTTCTGCGGGGCTGGAACGGTCGAAAAGAATATCGGCAGATTCTAAGAATATTATGTATTTTAGGTGTTTTATAGTCCTTTCCGGAAAAATACATCTTTTATTCACTAAATTTTTCCGGAAAATACATAATGTATAAAAGTTTTCCGGAAAATATTTATTATTTCCGGAAAAATAAAAAGATGAATATATCTATCCGGAAAAATACGTAACAATAATTAATAAGTTTTCCGGAAAGAAATACACAACATAAAAATACAAATAAAAAAATACAAATAATTTTTTTTCCGGAAAACACATTAAAAACACAATTGCTACATTTCCGGAAAAGTTTATTTTATTTAATATTGCAATCTCAATATTTAATAAGTTTTCCGGAAAAAAATACACGACATAATTATTTTTTAAAATAAAATTACAAATAAACTTTTCCGGAAAACACATTAAAAACACATTCCTATATTTCCGGAAAAGTTTATTTTATTTAATATTGCAACTTAAAACACTTACCATTAATATTTTCCAAATCAAGTTTTAGCAAGTTTTCCCTCCAATAAGTATCCTATTATTAAACTTTTTTAAGTTTACAAACTTAAGTTTCCAAGTTTATTTAATTTACTTGTTGTATCATCCAAAAAGGTTTGCCCAAACTTGAAATTAAACTTGCCAAGTTTGCTCTAAAAACAGTGAATAAATGGTAGGGGCCGTCTAATAGAGAGGGGGAAAATTAGAAGAATAATTTTAGAACCTCCATAATTAAACGGCAAATGAAGAGAATTAATATTAATTTCTAAAATACGTAAATTGGGCCATCGTTGAACCACCTTCTTTGAGGCTATTTTGTCTATAGTAATTAGAAGGGTGCGCGAATGGACGCCTTTAATGATTAAATTAATTTAGCATTTTTTGAGGGATTTTTTTTATAATGTGAAAGATCCGAGAGATCCACTAGAAACAAGGAATATTAAATTTCCTATGATTATTTTCTTGATATGGAAAATTCATTTTAAAGGGAGGATTGACTAGAGAAATAATGGAAGAGTTGGAAGACGGAGAGCTGGAAGAGCTCAAAGGAGAATCCCAGGGAGAAATTATTTTTAAAAATTGCCTTCCATATGTTGAGTATTGCATAACCAATTAAATGTCATTTGAATTATATGTCTATTCAAAAACATAATTAATGTAGACTGATTATTAGGTAATGAAGTAAGTGTTGCTTTAACATTTGGAAGTGATAACTTTAAGGGAGAAATTTAATAATTTAATTTTAAATTTTGAGGGGGTTCTAAGAGATTTTTAAAATTAAAAAAAATTTTCTGCTGAATAATCAAAAAATTCTTCAAATTAAAGATGCCGCATTTTTTCGATTAATTCCACTGGGGAATTATTTTTTCAACCCATTCGTGGCATGGAGAATTATTCAAGGGAAGGGGAATTAATCGAGAAAATACGGTAGGTGGAGAAAGACCAAAAAAATAATTATTTATTTATTTTTAAATTAAAAATCCCAACCAAACGTTCAATATTGACTTGTTCAGAATTATTCTTGACATAATTTAAAACATTCATTCCTAGCCATATTTTCCGAAAAACACCAAAAAGCAAAATGATTAAAAATAAAATAATCCATTTTTTGCAAAACATTTTTTATTTAAATGATGAATTTTTAAATAAATTTAAAAATAAAAACAAAAACAAAAAATTTAAAGTTTACTTGACTCTATAAAATATTTAAATAATATTTAAATTATTATTTTTATTTGTTTGGTTTATTTCAAAAAATAACCGGGTGGCATATTTGTTAGTCTGAAATGTCTGGTCCAATTAGGAATTATGTCACGCGTTTTTTTTCCAACTTTCAAAAATTGAAAGGTTCCACAGTTGCGGTTTGCGAGATTTCCAAAATTTTAGAGTTCAGTGGTTCGCTTGTATGTATTTTATAATTTTTAGGTTCCCCTGCCTTGGGTCTATCCGAGCTTTTCAAGAAAAGGTTCTGCAGCTAAGGTTCCGACAGGTCAAAATTTTAGCATTTCTATGGTTCCCCTGCCTTGGGTCTGTTCGAGCCTTTCAATGTTTGAGATATGCTTAGGTGGTTACACCTTCATGTAGGACTCTGGAACAGATTCTTGAAACTAGGCACCGCTGAATTAAATCTTAGACGTTTCGATGTTCTTTTAGGGCTCCAAGTTATCGCTCCAAGGCACCCAAATAATGTCTGGATCAGTGATTTTTTTCCAATTTTTCCTTCTTAATCCCTTAAAAGTCCCTTAAAAGCCCCCTGCCTTGGGTCTGCCCGAGCTTTTCAAAGTTCTAGATGTATTTAGATGGTCAGCAAATTTGTTCTAGACCTAGGCAGCTGAATTAAATCTTAGACGTTTCGTTGTTCTTTTAGGGTTCCTAGTTATCACTCCAAGGCACCCAAGTAATGTCTAGATTTTTTTAATTTTCTAGATTTTTTAAAAATTTTTCCTTTTTAATCCCTTAAAAGTCCCAAAAATTAATAATCAATATTTACAAAAAATATTTAAATAAATTTAGAAATTTTTTTTTAATTTTTATCGTCGATTAGAATATTTTTTATGTGAAAGACACGTGAAAAAAATTTAAAAATCCTTTAACGCATTAACATACCACCCTGAATAAATAAATAAATAAAATAAAAATTCAAAGTAAATTCCACGTCTTAAAAAAATTTCTAAAAAAATTTCCTTAATTATAATTTTTAAATAAATTTTTATTTGTTTTACAATTGCGTAATTGTAATTTGAAAAAATTTGAGAAAAATTTTATTTAAATGCTGTAATTCACGCCTCTAACGCATGCGATACCTCAGCTTATTCTAAAAATTATAACTTTTGAATGGATTAACCAATCTGGCTAATTTATATACCATTCGATAGAGAATTAAATTTGCTACAAGATGGAAATAATTTTTAAATTTTAGATTAAATTTAGAAAAATTTTGAGGACGAAAAATAAGCATATTTCTTAGAAAAATATGTATTTTTGAAGATTTTTTTGATTAAATTAATTTTATGGGGATACTTAAAATTTTTATTTTAGTCTTAGTTTGTAGCAAATTTAGTTATTTATAAAATTCTCTAAATTTTAGAAAAATTAAATTAATTTTAGTTAGGCTAAATCCCCGCCAAAAGCACCTGACAACGTTGTAAGGTTGATTTACTTAAGCAAACTTATACCCTAAACTATTAAACACAAATATTTTTTATTGCTTTCTTTTGTATTCTTTATTCTTTAAAATACAAACAAAAAATTATTTTATAGTATTTTTAACTATTTGCTAACAAAAAAATTTTATTTTGTTAAATTATTTATTTTAAATATAGGTAATTGTGGGGTTGGGGTTGTTACCAATAACTTTGGGATGCGTGAACCTTTTTTTTAAATTTTTTTTATCAAAAAATAGAGCAGAGAATTGGCTACAAAATGGAATTTAAAATATAATTTTAGATAGTAGTTAAATCAAGTTATGGTCAAAAAACTGTTATTTTTAATGAAATAACCGAAATTTGGCAAGTTTTCCTTCCAGAACTTTTTTTCCTTATTCAGAATCAAATTAATTTTTATTTTATTTTTAGCCAAGTTTTTTCTCTATAGAAAAAAATTTAATTTATACAAATTTGTCGATCTATTCAAAAGTTATAGGTGTTGGCGTATAGCAGGCTTAACACCTTAGTTGACGCAAGCAACGCTTCCGAAAGGCAAAAAAGAGATAAGCAGCTTAATTTTTTAATTTTTAAAATTTTTTTGTTTGGTTAGCTTTAAAAATTTTTATTTGTAGGCATTTTTAAGTATTTTTATTTTTCAAATTAATTTTATTATTCATTCATTCTAGCTTACTCCGCATATTTTTTAATTTAATTTTCTCCCAAAATTTAAATAAAAATTTTTCCAGCAAAAATTTATCTAAATTCACATGTTTCTGAATAAAAAAAATACAAAAAAAAAACAATTTTTTTCTGGCTAACAACATCATAGATTCTCGGTCTAACCACTCATTTTCCTTTTAGTAATTTAGTCTTCTTAATTAATCCCCTCACCCAATTAATCAGTCTGCTTATCCTGATAGGTAGAAATAATTAACCCTCTAGCATGTTAAGCTTATATAATGTCTGATTCTCATAGGAATGGAATAAGTTTGAGTGAAAAAATAATCCGAATTTGATGTTAGGGTCTATGTTAGAGACCGGACTGGGAGGGCCATACGAAAATCGAGATCTCGAAAATATCGATCTCGAAAACTGGGATTTTTTCTTCGAGATTTCGTCTCGGTTCGATCTCTAGTCTGGGTGAAACAAAGGCTATTTCAAGCCAAAAAATATTCGAAGATCGAAATTTCGGAAAAACTCTAATATTAAGTGATCTAAAATCCAAAAAGAAACAATTTTTGGGTATCCTATATATTTATTTTAGTTGTTAATTGGGTTTAATAACCCATCTAATATTTCAAAAAAATTTTTTAGATTTTTTAAATTTATTTCAAAAATGTTTTCTATACCCTTAAAACAATTATTTTGCTCAATATGCCTATTATTAACAGTCACAATTGGAATTGTAAAATTAAAAAAAATATTTTTAATTAAAAAATAAATTTAAATTTTAGGTTTATTTATCTTATAATGACCAAATAATAGAAAAAGATGCGGAATATTTCTTTTCAAAAGTTACTATTAGAGAAGTAACAGAAGAAACATTGGATGAAAGGAACAATAAATTGAGGTATTAAAATTATAAGTTGAGAAAATACAATTACAACTTTCCGGAAATGACTAGTTTATTATAATTTTCCGGAAACTTTAATTAAGTTTACAACCCTCCGAAAAATTTAATTAATTTTGCAAGATAGAGAATTAAATTTGATACAAGATGGAGAGAATTTTAAATTTTTTGATTAAATCTTCCGGAAATGACTACATAGTTTATTGTAATTTTCCGGAAACTTTAATTTAATTATTTTACAATTTTCCGGAAACTTTAATTTTATTTTACTTTTCCGGAAAATTCCAGAAAATTAATTTATTTCACAATCTTCCGGAAATAACTATTTAGTTCATTATAAGTTTCCGGAAATATTAGTTTACTTTTCCGGTTTTTTAGGTTTACAACCCTCCGGAAAGTTTAATTAATTGTGCAATTTTCCGGAAACTTAATTTATTTTACAGCCTTCCGGAAAGTTGATTTTATTTTATATTTTCCGGAAGTAACCTAAAGTGATATTCAAGCTTGAATTAACCGGAAATAGTTAATCATAAACTTAAGTTTGCTAGTATGCAATTTCCGGAAAGTATTTCTTTAATTTGCTTATTTTTGCGAATAAAAAATACAAAAAATAAATAATATGTAAATATTATAAAAAAATTTTTTTTTAATAGAAATGAGCTAAATTCAACATTTTATAATCTGATTGAGGGCATGCCTATTCAAGATGAGCATTGGTGCGAAAGAATGATTAATGGGGATTTAAGTATTAACGAAACAAAAAGGCTGAAAGAATGGAAATTCAACGAAGAAAATTTTATTGTTGAACCGCCCCCAGATGAGGATGAATTGAATGACGGAATTGAGATAACAGAAGAGGATGATAAGTAAGGGATTATTTTTAGAATTTATTAAATCAAATAGAATTACAAATAAATATAAAATTGTAATTTAGAAAATAAAACTTAAAATTACAACTTTTCCGGAAACTTTACAATAACCTTCCGGAAATGCTAGTCTATCATAATTTCCGGAGAATTAAATTTATTTTACAATTTTCCGGAAAGTTTCCGGAATACAAAAGTCTCAGTTTTAGGTAAAAGTTTTCCGGAAAAGTTTACAAATAAAACTTAAGACTACAAACTTTAAAAATACTAACCTTAAAACTTAAGATTATAAATTAACGATTCCAATTGTAATCGTTAATTTACAATTGTAAATTTTAAAATTTACAAAAAAAAAGTTTTTACAAATACAACTTTAAAATTACAATTTTCTAAAATTTTTTACAATTATAAATTACCTAGTATTTTACAATTGTAATTTTAGAAAATTTACAAATTTTCCGGAAACTTTACAATAACTTTCCGGAAATGGATAATTAATATAATTTTCCGGAAAATTGTAATTTACAATTGTAATTCCATATTAAAATTAAGCATTTACCATTCTAAAATATTTACAATTCTCACAGATGCTTAAATCTCCAAAATCTCTTCCTCTTTCACAACAAACCATTATCTGAAGAAGAAAACGAATATCCTCTAGCTTATGCAATGGTAACACATAAATCGGTAATACAAACAATGACAATGGTCAGTTCTGTTTATCAACCTCAAAATGCTTATTGTATTGTTGTGGATGATAAATCTAGTGATAAATTTTTGAAAAAGATACAGATGCTGGCTGATTGTTTTCCGAATATTTTTGTTTTGGTAAATTTTATGGGGTTTTTGAAAATGGGCGGAGTTTATTACAAATGGGCGGAGCTTATAAAAATGCGATGAAGGGAGATTTAAAACTGGGCGGGAATCTCTATCACTTCTAATCTTAAAATTAACTGATAGGCGTGAACTATAAAAATGGGAGGGGCGGAGCCTAAAATGGGCGGAGCCTAAAAATAAGAATTTAAGCTTTGAACTTTAATTAATTTTAAATTCTTTATAGAATGTTGGCACAATTGAATGGTGTAAATTTGGTGTTGTACGTGCTGTTTTTTCTTGTTTGAAGTATTTAACAGAAAAAAATCATAATTGGAGATATTTACAAGTGAGGACAATTTAAGCCATAAGCCTATTTTTATTAAAATATTTCCCCAATTTTTAGTATCTCAGCGGTGTTGATCTTCCTTTAAAAACAAATTTGGAGGTAAATAATCGCTAGATAATTAAAAATAAATTTAAAAATATTTTAAAGATGGTGAGGATATTTAAACAATTAAACGGCACAATAAACGCGGATGTTTTGCCCTTTGAAAGGTACAGAGTGAGATTGACTAAGGGTTCGATAAAACCTCCACTAACCCTTTGGAAGTCAAGCCTTTCCGCTTTAATCAGTAGAGAAGCTGCTGATGTAATGGTAAAGAGTGATAAAGTGAAAGATTTGTTAAACTATTTACAATATACTTGGTGCAGTGATGAAAGTCTATGGGCAACTATTGCAGGGAATCCGGAAGGTGAGAAAGGGTTATTAAAGTTTGTAAGAGGTTGAAACTATTGAAACTTAAGTTTGTAAAGAAGAAAAGGGAAATAAATCAGTAGGAAAACTTTTTACAATTTGTAAAACTTGTCTATATTTATAAGGGTTAATATTACAATCTGTTAAACTTTTTACAATTTGTAAAAAGTTTTTCAATTTTTACAATTTGTAAAAAAAGTTTTTAAATTTTTACAATTTGTAAAAAAAAGTTTTTAAATTTTTACAATTTGTAAAATAAGTTTTTCAATTTTTGCAATCTGTAAAATAAGTTTTTAAATTTTTACAATTTGTAAAAAAGTTTTACAAATTGTAAAACCTGATTATTTATAAGGGTTTATTTACAATTACCGAAAAAGTTATAAATTGTAAAACTTAAATTCCAACTTTTTACAATTTGTAAAATTTAATATACTAGAGAAACCTGTTTTATTACAAATTGTAAGCTTTTAAATTATTAAAACTTGTGCAAATTACAATTGTAAAAATTATTATGAACCAGTTATTGTAATTTATCAATTTTCAGAATTAAAAATTCCTGGAGGTTTTGACGCCAAATTCTTTTACTATAGTTTACTAAGAGAATCTGAACGATGCATTACTACCCAAAAATCAACATTTAAATCACTAGAACAGCAACAACAAAAGAATAATAAAACAACCATAAAAACACCCCTTCCGCCTTTAACAAATTCGTTCCAACTTTCTTCCTTTTACATTTCCCGTTATCAAATTTGGAATCAAAAAAGGTACAAACACCCAATTACTAGAACAGGAAAACAATTGGCTAGATGTAATGGCAAATTTGTTAAAGAATCCTGTGTTTTTGGTGTTGATGACATGCCTAATCTTATTAGGAGACCGGAGCTGGTAGCACATAAAATGTATATGGATTTTGAACCTGCAGGTAAATAATAAAACATTGAGATAAAATTGCAAACTTTATTTGTTAATTGTAAAAAAGTTTTTACAATTGTAAAACAAAAATGAGAAGACTTAAATTTAATACAAAATGTAAAACTTATTTTACAATTTGTAAAACTTAATACAATTTGTAAAATTATAAAACTTTTATTTTACAATTTGTAAAACTTGTTATTACAATTTGTAAAACCTGGTTAAGTTTGTAAATTCGTTTAACTAATAAAACTTATTTTACAATTTGTAAAAGTTGCTCAAGTTTGTAGATTTGTTTTTAATTTGTAAAAACCTAATTTTAAACTTAAGTTAAAACTTAAGTTTGTAAAATTACAAAATCAATTAAAAAAACATTTTTCAGCCTACTTCTGCCTGTGGAAAAAAGTTAGAGAAAGAGCTTTAGATTGGAGGGAACAGAAGACATTCAATGCTCAAGTTTATTCACAATTGCCATCAGTAAGAATAGCTAGAGGCGATCCAGAAGAACAAATACAATACTTTTTTGACGATATTTGTCATTTATCTATTAGTGGGTAATAAACAGAATTGTAAATATTTTTTAAGCTTAAAATTTGAAAAAAACACCTAGTCTCCTCAAGTCTAATTTGGAGGGGGAAAAGTTTGTAAAACTTGAATTAGAATTTGTAAAAACAATTTTTCCATTTGTAAATAGCCATACACTTTAATTAAAACTTTAATTTCGAGTTTTCAAGTTTACTCAAGTTTAAACTTAAGTTTTCAAGTTTATTCATAATTTTTAAGTTTAAACTTCAAGTTTTTAAGTTTATTTATAATTTTTAAGTTTAAGCTCAAGTTTTCAAGTTTATTTATAATTTTTAAGTTTTCAAACTCAAGTTTAATTTTATTCCAAGTTTCTAAACTATCTTGTAAAAGTAATGGGATTTTTATTTTTTTGTATAAATTAAAAGAAACAATTATTGCAATAAAAATAAAAAAAAATCTTTAAAAAAATAATAAAAAAATTCCAAAACAAATCGACATTAATGGCATCCCTTAAAAAAGACTAGCACATTAAAAAATCTTTTTTTTTAAATAAAATTCAAATAAAAATTATCAAAGGCGAGAATAGTTAGGCAAGTAAAAACTGTGAAATAGGCAAATAGTTCTCAAAAAAGTCTTCCCGAAATAGGCAGAAAAAGGCGCAAATTAAAAGTCATGCTAGAGGATGAGGAGTCTCAGTCTCAGACCAAGCTAAAAACACGTTTTTGAACGTAACAGGCATTTGCCTATATAAATCCTCGCCTTACTTATCGCATTAGTACATTAGTCAAGTAACATTCTAACATCACTAGGGGAAGATTTCATAGTTGAAACATGAATAGGTTCTTTTCTTCTAAATAATTCTTCTCTTCTATTTGTTAATAATTTGGGTTCGTGTTCTATACTTTTTACCTTTAAAAAAATGAATTTTTTTTGAAATTTTTAAACAAGCCCACATACCCTATTATAAATTAAAACACCAAAAACTGAAATAAACATTCCACAAACATTTAATGTTGTAACTGGATTTTTAAGTGTAATTAATGATAATACAATTACAAATATTCTTTTTGCTGCGCCCTTCGTCAAAAGTTCGGCTTTCTTTGGTGTTTCGTCCGCTTTTAAAAATGTTTCGGCTCCCGATGTATACTAGCTTGGAGCCGGGTTAGTCGAAAGTCGAACTCCAGACCCGAACCCCAACCCCGGCTTTCTTCTAGTTTCTGAAATACCTGGTGAATCAACATAAAAGCACACAAATTTGAAAAAAATGAGCATAAACCAGAAAGTGCTAATAAAATCAAAAAATAGGAGTCTGGTGCATGATTGTTATTATTTTGTTGTTGGTGTTGTTTAGAATTTGTTAAATGGGCTAATTCCCACATTCGACTACCATCTGTCCAAGCCTTTTAGAAAAAAATTTTTTTTACTATAATTTTGGAAAAAATATTTTACTTAATTATTGGAATTTTTTTGGAAGAACATTCGTTTATTTAAATTTATTTAAAAAAATTTTTTTTAATTATTAAATTTATTATACATAGACCCCCAGAAATACTTGGACTACGAAACTTTTAAAAATAATAAAAATCGAGATAAAAAATTTTCCAAACCACAAAAAACAGACTTTAAAAAACAGGAACAAAAAAATAAAAAAAATTTTAGTCAAAAACATAATTTCCGTTAAAATAAAAATTAATGTCGACCAAACGGATTCGAACCCACGACCCCCCAAATAAGTCAAAAACAAACATTAACCAACTACACCAAAAAAGCCAAAAAACATAAAGACAGACAAAAAAATATTTTTTAATAAGAAAACATCATTTCCGTTAAAATAAAAATTAATAGCAACCAAACGGATTCGAACCCACAACCTCACACAAGTCGAAAACAAGAATTTAACCGACTAAACCAAACATTACAAAAATTTTTTTTACCCAAAAAGGAAAGAGAAGCAAGGATGCCAATTGAGAATTTAAAGCCAATAGACTAATTGGATGCATTCCAGTTTCATCAAAAACTTTTTTGGCTAGCACATTTAAAAAGGCAAATACTGCTGTTGAAATAAATGAAGAACATAAACCAAATAAATTAAAATGAATTTCTGTAACTGAAGCAATAAATACACCAACAACAACAGGCAACTTAATAATTTTTGTTAGAATTTTAAGACAAAAAAAAGTTAAAAATAATTAATTAACAGGTAAAATAACAAAAATCGAAATTTTGACCATTTTGAAAATTGGACGTTTGGAAAAAAATTTTTTAGTATAGTGAAAAACAGTTAAAATACAAACAGAAACACAAGAAAAAATTAAAAAATAGGCTCTTGTCCAGTTTATGCGTCCCATGAAAGTATATGCGTCCCATCAACAAAAAATTGGATATTTCTTAGTGTTGCAAAGTAGGGGTATGGTTCCAAAGCATTTCTTCATGTTCGGGATCTACGTCCACTGGGTCTGGGACCGTTCCTTACCCTATACCTCGAAATTTCTGAAAGTTATAGCCAATTTTTAAAAATTTCAGAAAAACGATTTTAACTTTCAGAAATTTCGAGGTATAGGGTAAGGAACGGTCCCAGACCCAGTGGGCGTAGATCCCGAACATGAAGAAATGCTTTGGAACCATACCCCTACTTTGCAACACCAAGAAATATTCAATTTTTTGTTGATGGGACGCATATACTTTCATGGGACGCATAAACTGAACAAGAGCCAAAAAATATAGTTAAAAATTTGTCTACTTTAAAATAAAAATTAATGTCCCTGACTGAGATTCGAACCCACGACCCCTAAAAATGCAAACAAAAAATTATCCGACTAAACCAAAAAATTTTTTTTCTTATTTTTATAATGTTAATAAAGAAGGAGGATGAGTAGCAGTTTTTGGTTAGTCTTTCAAAAAAATTTTTGGAGAATTTTTAAGAAATAAAAATTAATAAAGGCCCCCAAGCCTGCGGAATAAAAATAAATTTACAAAGAAAAATCAACTCACAAGTGAAAAATAAAGTTTGAGTGACTGCCTCTCTCCAAGCAAAACTCGAGAAATTAGAACCGTAAAAATAGGCATTGTGCCCTTCACAGTCTGAGCATAACTAACAGTTACTTTCCATAAGGCAAAATATGCACTGGTAATTCCAACAGCTCTTCCAACCTTTAAAAAATAATTTTTTTACATTTAAAAAAATTTTAAAAATTCAAAAAAATTTTTTCAGTGTCTAAATTCATTAGGAACACTTTAAAAATTTTTTTCCTTAAAATAAAAATTATTTTCCAAGAGTGGGATTCGAACCCACGACCTAAAATAGGGGCAAACAAAAAATTATTCGACTACACCAAACTAACAAAAATTTTACTGGGTGTGGGCAAATCAAAGAAAAATGCTGGAAAATATTTTTAAAATTTTGAAAAATTTTTAGAAAAATTTAAAAAATTAAAATGAAACCGAAATTGGAAAAATAACTCGAAGCAAATAACCAGTTGAAATATGAACTGTTGTAATTTTGAATATTTTAATTAACGGAAGGGCATACAAGGCATTATTTAAACAAGCAGAAAGAGCAATTGTTAAAGGGTAGGGATAGCTCTGAAAAATTAAAAATTAGAAAATTCTGAAAAAAAATAAAAAATCAGAAATTCTGATTATTTTTAAAATTAAAAATCAGAATTCTGGTAAAAAAGTTAAAAATCAGAATCAAAATTAATTTCAGAAAAAATCAGAAAAAAATCAGAATTAAAAAATCAGAATTAAAAAAATCAGAAATTCTGATTTTCGAATTAAAATTCTGATTTTGTTCCTAAAGAATAAAAATCAGAATTTCTGGTTCAAAATATAAAAATCAGAATCAGAATTAATTTTAAAAGAAATCAGGATTAATCAGAATTCTGATTTTAAATAAATTCCGATTTTTAGAAATTTTCTGATTTTCGGATAAAAATCAGAAAATTAAGTGGATAATCAGAATTCTGGTAAAAAAAAATAGAAATCAGAATCAGAAAAAAATCAGAATTTTAATTTTTAAAGGAAATTTTGATTTCTAAAAATTTAAAATCAAAATTAAAATAAAAATCAGAATTTAGCCTAAAATAAATTAAATTAAAAAATAAACCTGTAAGGCTAATTTATTTAAAATACTTGAAACTAAAAAATAAAAAAATTTAAATTAATAAAATTTAAAAATAAAAAAAAACCTGAACTCGAACTCCACCAGCAAATACAAATTAAAATTATTTGAAGGCCAAACCAAAAATCTTTTGGGGGAAATTTCATTTGGAAAAATTTAGTCAATAAATTGGGTAACTAAAAAATTATTTTTGGGGCGTTTTGGGTGTTTACTTACAGCGATAAATGAAATTTTGCCACGCGACAAATGATGTGAATAAGGATAAAACGTGAAATTGAAATGAAATACACTGGTTGTATGACTATTCTGCTTCTCTAGTTGTTGAATAAAATTAATTGACAGAACGCCAAAATTATTTTTTTAATAAATAAATTAAATAGAGTCGAAAAGAGACAAGCGACCTCACGTTGGTTTTCGGCCCATAATTTTGGGATGGTTGGATATTTTTTAAAGATTTTTGCACCATTCGATAGAGAATTGAATTTGCTACAAGATGGAACCAAAATAAAAATTTTAGATAAAAAATAAAATAGCAAATAAATTCAATAAAGTCGAAAAGGGACAAGCGACCTAACGACGCTTTTCGGCCCATAATTTTGGAATTGGTAGATATTTTTTAAAGATTTTTGTACCATTCGATAGGGAATTGAATTTGCTACAATATAGGACCAAAATAAAAATTTTAAATAAAAAATAAAAAAACGTTATAGACAAAAAACTGACGCTATATGTGAAAAAGTTGGGGTTTTTGGAAGGTTTTTCGACTCTAACTTTTTTCGTTACTTAATCTAAAATTTTACAATCTAGCCTATTTTGTAGCAAATTTAATTCTCTATCGAATGATACCAAACTTGAAACAAAAAGCTTCGTATTTCACCGAGTTATAACGGCTAGACTCAACTGTACCCCATTTTCAGACTCTAGCGTCTTTCAAAGCCAAAAAATTAATTTTTGGCCCACTCACGCAGAAACTTTTTTTCTTGTTTATTTTGTACTTTGCAGTCACGTAACATCTTAAAACAACAAACGCACACATATTTTTTGAATGCATTTATCAGCTTTGAGATTGACAGCAATTTATCGACTGTCTGTTTCCACTTGTTTTCCAGCGCAACAACAAGGTGAATATTTTCCTCTTTAATAAATTTGTATTTATATTTTATAATTGGCATTATTTTTGGAAGGAAAGAGCAAAAATGTATCTCTCCTTTAATTTATTATTCATTCCATAACATGCCTTTAAGGACCAATTTACGTTTGTCCGCAAAAATTTTTTTGTCCGCAATTCTTTAAAGGTTCTTGGGTATTCATAATTTTATAGGGAGAGGTGGAAAATGTCTTTCCTCTTATTTATTATTTATTCCATAATATATGTTTCTTATACGAACCTTTAAGGGCAAATTTACGTTTGTCCGCAAAAGTTGTCCGCAAAAAACTTTTTTTTTGTCCGCAAAAAATTTTTTGTCCGCACTTCTTTAAAAGTTTTTGGGTATTCAATAGAACAACCGATAAGCAGCCTTTTTTTAAAGTTAACAAGGAATCTTTGTTCATTGTCAAGGCTCATTCAATATTTTGTGGGGGACTTCCATAAGGGGACCTCCGTCTCTTTCCTTTTTGCGGACATCCGCAAGTGTCCGCAAAATTTTTTCCGCAATAGTTAAATAAGCGCCGATTCCTTGTAGGAATATAACCTTCTCATCAAATATTAATTGTAAACTTTAATTTTTATTTTTAGACTTTCTCAATTTTTTGATTAAACGCAATATGTCTACTACTTCCAGTCCAAATTCAGCGAGCAATCGTGTTCTTACCGTGGATACAATCAATCCTAACGTGATAACTATGGTTTGTAAAATTTTTATAATACCTAATTAGTTCTCTTGCTCAAGTCAAATCATATAGGATTTAGTCCAAGAAGAATTTGTCCGCAAAATATTTGCGGACATCCGCAAGTGTTGTCCGCAAAAATTTTTTTGTCCGCAAAAATTTTTCTGTCCGCACTTTTTGATTTTCCTTCGCTCCTATTTTCTAATGCTAGAACTTTATTTTTCATTTACGTTTTTAATTCTTATCAAGCTTTATTTTTAAGGAGTACGCAGTTCGTGGGCCTATTGTTATTAGAGCTGTTGAATTGGAGAAGGAATTGGAAAATGTATTTTTTTAATTTTTTTCTAAAATGTTTTCTTGTTTAAAAATAATTATCTTGTCAATTTATTTAATAAATTAATTTTTTAGGGAGCAAAGTTGCCCTTCGATAGAGTGATTAAAGCCAACATTGGGGACGCTCATGCAATGGGACAAACACCAATTACTTTTATTAGGTTAAATTTTTGTATTTTTTCTTTGGCTGTACTTTAGCCGGTTGCCCACTCCGTTTCTTTTTGCTATAAATGCAGCTAAAATTGTTTTATGATGTCAGTTTTTTGTGGGTTTTTTGAACAAAATTTTGTCCGCAATCATTTGCGGACAATCCGCAAATGTCCGCAAATTTTATTTTTTTTTCTATTTAAGAAAAATTTCGTAGTTTTGAGGTTTTGTCTTGGGGAAAAAATTAAAAAAAATATTTTTGGGATCAAATCTCCAGGATTAACCAAATTTCTCTTTTTCAGGCAAGTAATTGCGTGTACAACTGATCCTTCTTTGTTAAAGACTAATTTGTATCCAGAAGATGTTAAACAGAAGGCTTTGAGTCTGTTGGGTGCTTGTGGAGGAGGGAGTGTTGGTTTGTGATTTTTCTTTTCAGAGGAAAATTTGTCCGCAAAAAAATTTGCGGACAATCCGCAAAAAATTTTTTTTTAAATTTTTTTTCTCAAAGATTTATAATTTGTAGTTAGGCTTCTAAAATCTAAAAATTTTCTTTAAAAAATTTTAATCTTTCATTTTTAAAGGTGCCTATACTCAAAGCAATGGAATCGAACTTATCAGAAAACACATTGCCCAGTTCATTGAAAGACGTGATAAAATTCCTTGTGATCCCGACAGTATTTGCATTTCTGGCGGTGCTTCAGAAGCTATTCGGGTTTCTTTTCTTAAAAATATATTGAAAAAATAATGTCCGCAAAAATTTGCGGACATTTCGCAAATTTTTTTTCGGACAAATTTCCGAATTCAAAAAATCTTTTTCTCTTTTAGAATGTTCTCAAATTATTTATTCATCACGATTCATCAAAAAAGAAGGCAGGAATAATGGTCCCAATACCTCAATATCCTCTTTATTCTGCTTCCATTGAAGAATTCAATCTTGGACAAGTTGGGTATTTTTTGGAGGAAGAAAAGAATTGGGCTTTGGATTTGGTAATTTATTAAATTTTTTTGTTTAGAAGGGCTCGGTTACTTTAGTGATGTCAGGAATGGTATTCCTCAATTTTTTATTCTCGTTTCCTTATGATGTTCCTCTTCCAGGGAACTTCATAAAACTTACGGGCAAAGTTTGCGGACAGACACCTTCCTGTCCAGAGAGCTTCACAAGGATGTCTCGAGTTGAAAAGAAAACCGGATCGAGTTTCTGCTCAGGGTCTAAAGTTTTCTTTGTATGGGGTTGGAGACGAAAAAAAGTTCGGGTGGGTATCCTGTTGCTGATTATTGCCTTCAATGACGTTTAGAATACCTTTTTGGCTCCTTATCTTGTTTATTGGTCTTTGTCCGCAAATGTTGTCCGCAAGTTTTAATTACGAATTAATTTGTCCGCAAGTTTAAAAATTTTTTTATTTTCCAGGAAGAATTGGAACGTTCATTAAAAGAGCATCAAACAAAATTTGACGTCAAAGTAATTGTAGTAATTAATCCTGGCAATCCAACTGGACAAGTTTTAACAAAAGAAAATATTGAAAATATAATTAAATTTGCTTACAAAAATAATTTGTTTATTTTTGCGGATGAGGTTTGGATTTTTTTAAAAATTTTTTAGAAATTATTTAAAGGTTTATCAAGAAAATGTTTATGCAGAAGGAGCAAAATTTTACAGTTTTAGAAAAATTATGAAAGAAATGGGAAGTCCGTATGATAAATTGGAGCTAGCGAGTTTTTATTCGTGCTCAAAGGTTTTTCTTTAAATTAAATTTTTTGAAAATTTTTTTTATTTAGTGGAGAGGTCCTTAAATAAATTAAAAAGGAGATTTTATTTGTTTTCCTCATTAAATTTGGATTTTTTATATTAATTTATGAAAAATTTAATTGAAACTTAAAACTAGGGGGAACGTTTGTCGGTTCGGTCAACCGAAGAATTGTATGAAACCGACAACCCTACTCAAAATTGTAAAATTCATTCTGAATATTCTTTGTAATTTTTTTTTGCATTTCAATGGCTTTGATGAGTTGTATTTTGGGAATTTCGGAGGGGGATGTGGTTTTTCGGCATTTTGGCATTAATACGCGCTACGATTTCGTTATTATAAAACTGTTTTTTGAAGTATTATTTTTATAATTTTTTAGGGTTATATGGGAGAATGTGGCTTACGTGGTGGTTATGTACAATTTGATAACTTTGATCCCCAAGTTTATGTCCATTTTAAAAAGATGATTTCTGCAAAGCTTTGTTCAACTGTGCTGGGACAGGTTTTTTGTTTTTATTTTTTAAAAATTTATGGAAAGATGACATTTCGTTCTATCATCTTTCATGTCCTATAGGAGGAAGTGGTGGGCTTCTAACAATAAGCAAATATAAATTAAATTATACTAGACCTATATCAGAGGGCCTGACTTATCTCTGTAAGATTAGTGTGTGAAAGCCTTGCCAGCATTTTTTCCCTGTAGTCAGAGATGGGTGAATCCCGATTTCCAACTTTTTTTCCTTTCGATTTCCGAGTTTCATCTGTTGAGACAGTTCCGATTTCCGGCTCTTCCGATTTCCGACTCTGACTGTTCCGATCCACCTCGGTGACTTCTTTTCTTCTTTGTGGAATTTTTTAATTTCACTGGCCTTCCGTACTTTTAAACTAAAATTTGAATTAACTCAAGAAAATTTTTTTAGATAGCTATGGATTGTATTGTTGATCATCCACAGCCTGGTGATCCTTCATATAATCTTTGGTTTGAGGTTTTTTTAATTTTTAAATTCAAGCTTAAATTTATTTTTAGGAAAAGAACGCAGTTTTGTCTTCCTTAAATCAACGTGCCAAATTAGTAACTGAATCTTATAATAAAATTGAAGGTGTTCATTGTCAACAAGTCCAAGGTTCTTTGCTTTATCATACTAAATATCCTATTAAAAACCTGAGGCTTTTTTCCAATCGGGCTTGGATAGATCTTTAATATATAGGGCAAGGATTGCATTAGGATTAGTGACCGGTAAAATAGATTTTTCCGGATCCGGATTTGGACTCCAGAAAATCTGGCTGGAGTTCGGTTAGGATATATACTAATTAGAATATTTACGATGCATTTTTGGTTCATTTCGATGAAAGTTAAAAATGTCGAAGTGAAAAATATTTAAAAGTGTCATTTAGGGGAGTTGAGTAAAAAATTTTAAAAATTCAGGTTGATCGGGTATTCCGAATGTCGTGTAATAATTTGGGTCTTTTATACTTCTCGGATTAATCCTCACTGGATCCTGTTTTAGGATTAAGTTCTAAATTTGAATTTAAAAAATAACTAATTTTCGGACCCTGTCTTCATTATAAGGACAAATTATTTGTACATGCTTTTTTATTATTTAAAAAAATTTTTTTTAAAGGAGCAATGTATGCCTTCCCTAAAATTTGCCTTCCTGAAAAAGCAATAAAAGAAGCTCAATTACTTGGAGAACAACCCGATTTTTTCTATGCAAAAAAATTATTGGAGGAAACTGGGGTATTTTTTTATTTTTAAAGAAGAGGATTTTGGGTAAAAAAATTTTTGAGAAAATTTTTTCAAAAAAATTTACAACAATTTTTTGAAAATTTTTGAAAAAGGAAAAAAAATTTTCTTTTACTAGATTTGTATTGTTCCCGGCTCTGGCTTTGGTCAACGTCCCAATACTTGGCATTTTCGAACTACAATATTACCCCAAATTGAATTATTTAATGAAATGCTGGTTCGGTTCAAAACTTTTCATGAACGCTTTTTGGCTAGGTAATGAAATTTATTTAAATTTATTTATCAATTTAAGGAGTTTCTCATTTGTCCAAAGCCCTCGTTGTTTTTTGTTACTTTAAAGAATCACATGGATGGGTTTTCCGCCATATTTTAAAATGCGGAAGAGATCCCATCCCCATTAAGGTAGTTTTCCGACGCGAGGGGTCTCGGGGAAAATCTTCGGGGAGGCAGCGCCACGGGAGGAAAGGGGACCGGAGTACAACCCTAATTCCTAGTATGTGTCTTATTGTTAGTTATCCAATACCCTGACTTTTTTTCTCGACCCAAACTTGTGATTGAAGTTAATTTTGAAAATCCGACTGAAGAAACCTTGCCTTGACTCAGAGTTTTTGTGACTCTGTCTATCTCTGATTTTGAATAAAAATTTTATATATTAAAAAAAATCATTTTATTATTTAGTTATAAGTGAAAAAAGAAGATGTGCCTTTCTATAGTCTAATTATGTGTGCATATCAATAAAAAAAATAACAACAAAACTTCAATTTTGTGTGTGTTTGTGGGTGCTAAAATTTTTTTTAAACTTAAGGAAGGAAAAAAAGGTGCTAATTTTTTAGATATTAAATATATAAATTTTTATGTAAAATTGTAAAAATTTAGCCAAAAATCCCCTAGTCTTTAGTGTATATGTAAAGGGATAAGTTAATCGCATTTTTAAAGATACATATTTTTTTATTTTGAAAAAATTATAAAGGGGCCTTTCCAAGATTTTAAATTTTAAGGACTTTTTTCGGAAAATGAGATTGCTGGTGTATTTTTTAGAAGGTTTTGTAGGATTTGATGGAAATCGTTTTTTAGATAAATTTATTAGATTACCCAAATAACACAATGTCAAAGAAAAACAAACTTAAAGTCCCATTAATTGTTTGTGGGTGAGGGAGGGGGAGGGGGGGGGTGTCCATCTTTACAAATTCTTTCACAGACACCGACAGCTTTATTTTTGGTGTCTTCTAGTTAAAATAGTATCTTCTTTTTTGTCATCTAAAGAATTATCACCTTTTTCTTCCGGAAAAAATGAACCATACACATCTCTGATGTTATTTGCAAAAACGGCCAAGATTCCACATTTTTGTTCTTCTGTCAGTTTTTCGTATTCTTTCTTCATTTTCATAGGGAGAAGGATTCGAGCCTTTCCCATATCTGCAGGATGCGGCAGCGCTAGGAAAAACTAGATTAATTCTTCTTTCTTCTTTGGAGGGAAGATCTTGCTCTCTTATGTCTTAAGAAAGAATATTCCAACTGGTGATTTTTGGTGGGGTCTATTTTGCAAGATGGGACTATGGGAAGAGTTGGAGGCCTTCCATGGAAGGTGCAGGCGGCTTCCATGGAAGGTGCAGGCGGCACTAGGAAAGAAGCGAATTCTGCTCCCTTCCAGCATGAGGGAGGACTTTGAAAGTATTCCCATTGAAGAACGTTACGGAATTATTGCCGTTTACGCGGAGAATTTCCGGGAAGTTTTTAAGATAATTTTTGGTGATGCGATAACCGAAAATAAATAAATTTGTAAAAATAATTTTTGATATGTAATTAACTATCAGGGCTAAATTTTCTAGATTTTTAACCAAGGAACTCGGCACATAATCCCTGATTCTAACTAAAAAATTTGAAAGTTCGAACACAAGAATCAAATAAATATTTTAATTACATATCAAAAATTATTTTTACAAATTTATTTATTTTCGGTTATCGCATCACCAAAAATTATCTTAAAAACTTCCCGGAAATTCTCCGCGTAAACGGCAATAATTCCGTAACGTTCTTCAATGGGAATACTTTCAAAGTCCTCCCTCATGCTGGAAGGGAGCAGAATTCGCTTCTTTCCTAGTGCCGCCTGCACCTTCCATGGAAGCCGCCTGCACCTTCCATGGAAGGCCTCCAACTCTTCCCATAGTCCCATCTTGCAAAATAGACCCCACCAAAATTAACCCCAAAATCAGATAAATCACCAGTTGGAATATTCTTTCTTAAGACATAAGAGAGCAAGATCTTCCCTCCATAGAAGAGGGAAGAATTAATCTAGTTTTTCCTAGCACTGCCGCATCCTGCAGATATGGGAAAGGCTCGAATCCTTCTCCCTATGAAAATGAAGAAAGAATACGAAAAACTGACAGAAGAACAAAAATGTGGAATCTTGGCCGTTTTTGCAAATAACATCAGAGATGTGTATGGTTCAATTTTTCCGGAAGAAAAAGGTGATAATTCTTTAGATAACAAAAAAGAAGATACTATTTTAACTAGAAGACACCAAAAATAAAGCTGTCAGTGTCTGTGAAAGAATTTGTAAAGATGGACACCCCCCCCCTCCCCCCCCCCCACAAACATTTAATGAGACTTTTAAGTTTGTTTTTCTTTGACATTGTGTTATTTGGGTAATCTAATAAATTTATTTAAAAAAGACACTGGTCCTGAATCATTCTTTTTTTAAAATTTGCGGTTAACTTTCCTTTGACATTCGTAGGGTTAAAATAAAAATCCTTTGACATTTTTTAAATTATCGTTAAGTCGCAAATTTATCTATAACAATTGGCCTTTTTTCTATTATATAAAGTCAAATTTGGCATAAAATTATTTTAAAAAATATATTTTTATTTAATTTTTTTCGTAGGGTTAAAATAAAAATTAAATAATTTTTAAATTAAAAAAAAATAAAATTTATTTTGAAAGAAAAAAATATTTTAATCCAAACATAATACAACCAGAAAATACTCCAGATAACGGGAATGTACATATCCAAGCCAAAAAAGCTTTTCGAAAAAGTTGCCAGTTAACAGGGACAGATCCGCGAACAGCTCCTACAGCGACTATACTGCCAACCTTTAAAAATTTGAAATTTTAGTATTTTTTTTCAGTAAATTTTTTGTCCGAAGTTTATGTCCGCAGATTTTTGTCCGCAATTTTATGTCCGCAAAATTTTGTCCGCAATTTTCTGTCCGCAAATTTTTTGTCCGCAATTTTATGTCCGCAAAATTTTGTCTGCATTTTCTGTCCGCATATTTCTTCCGCAATTTTTTCCGTCCGCAATTTTTTGTCCGCAAGTCTTTGTCCTCAACTTTTCCGTAAATATTAACCTACATAAACATTAATAAATTTCGTCGACTATCGTATCCGTAAATTCACCTAAAGTAGTCTATAAAACTTACAATACAAATAGTCATTGATACAGGTATGCCAATCTTTGCTGCACACAAAACAGTTATTGCTGCACCCAATTCAACAGTAAATCCGCAAAAAGAATTAATTTCTGTAAATTCTTTCCCAACAGTTTTTATCACACGATGACCTAACATCCAAAATCCGATACAGGCGGCAAAAGAACCATAACAAAGAATCCATAGAGGGGTCTCGCCGGGTGAAGGAACTTTGGCTGTAGAGAATACGGCAATGAGAGTAGCCTAGAGGATAAAAAGTTTTTGAAAATTTTTTTGAAGAGTCTGATTACTCCCTCTAAAAGATAGGCTGAAGCGAACATGTACCGTTCGGACTAGGATGATGAGGTGATTATGTACCGTTCGAACTAGAATGGGGTAGGCTGGAGAGAACATGTACCGTTCGGACTATAAAGTAGGCTGAAGAGAACATGTACCGTTCGGACGAGAAAGTAAGCTGAAGAGAACATGTTTCATTCGGACTAGGAAGTAATCTGAAGGGAACATGTACCGTTCAGACTAGGAAGTAGGCTGAAGGGAACATGTACTGTTCAGACTAGAAAGTAGGCTGAAGAGAACATTTCGTTTGTACATGTTCTCTATGAAAGATAGCTCCAGTGATGTTAAAAAATTAATGGAGAATATTTATGAGAACTACGGTATTCTTAAAATGCTAATTATTCGGCGGTACGACAATTGAGGATACGCACTTGAGGATATGACAAATGAGGACGACATTTGAGGACGACAATTGAGGATCTGACATATGAGGACGACAAATGAGGACGACATATGAGGATTTGACAAGTGAGGATAAAAATGAAAAATAAAAAAGACTTGAAAGATCCATAAAACTCGGAAGACCCCCACATGGAAGACAAATAATGAAGAATTCTTCTCTTTCCAGCGCCGCAGGCGAACATTTTTGAATTTTAAAAGGTCAAGGATCACCGTTTTTTATTATATTTTAATCCTCAATTGTCGTCCTCATTTGGCATATCCTCATATGTCGTCCTCATTTGTCGTCCTCATATGTCAGATCCTCAATTGTCGTCCTCATTTGTCATATCCTCAAGTGCGTATCCTCAATTGTCGCAACACCAATTATTCAACTACTGTAAATTTCAATATCAAATATTCCCTCATTAATTTACTTACCAAAGGAGCAATAGTATTAGGAATGTCTTTAGATCCATGTGAAAATCCAGTAAAACACCCTGTAAAAACTTGAATGGCGCTGAACAAGCGTAAAGTCTTTGGGTCATCCCTACGCGTTCTATTAGGCAAAAACCAGAAGCGTCTTAGACCTTTAAAATTTTTTTAGAAATGATTGGAAGACAATAGACCTAGATCAGGATCTCCAACAGTAACGGCATTATGAGCAAAACTGGTCTCTAGTGAAGTAAAGGCACCATTTGCTGGGGTAAGACGGGGTGCTTTAAAAGGAAGAGGAATTTTTTTTCAAGAAAAAATTTTCTTCTTTACCCCCATTCTTTTCTTCAGAAGAATCTCCTCGTCGTACCCACTTCAAGATAAATGGCCGAAATATAAATTGAAAACTCATGGAAGCCAATGAAGAAACACCTAGGCTGATTAATAAAGCAAGCCAGAAGGGAGTAGTGTCCAATCCAATCCCTGGAATATTTTGAGGAGTTTAAGGATTTTTAAGGATGTTTAATAGTGCGTAGGGAACATGGCTTGTAGTGCGAAAGGAACATGCTTTAATTTAGCTTTTATAACTCTTAAATTAATGAACTATTCTTGAGGCTCTTGGTACTACTTTCTACAGGGTTTAAGTGTGTTTTTTAGAAAAATTCGGAAAATTTTGGCAAAGCGGAAATTTGGGCAGTATATCAGAAAATTGGATAAAACCCCGTGGAAGACCTCAAATCCACCGACTATTCTCCCGTTTACCTAATATTTTCTAATTCAAAAGAATTTTTTTGTGAGTATATCCTTCTCTTACATTTAGATCCATGATACACAACCATAAACGTATTAAAATAAAACACGCAAAAATAGAATATCGGCATTGCGCGTAGTCCACATTTTAATGAATCTCTCTATTTTTAAAATTCAAAAATTAATTTTCTTTTAGTTAAATCGAGAATTACCCACTCTTCTGAAAACCGCAATGTCGAAAATGATGTATAGAATTGCAGAGACTAGGCCGGAAAGTGCCTGGAAATTTAAAAAAAATTGTGGTTGGTAGGGGAAGCTGAGGCTGCCTTTAACTTTAACTTCCCCATATAATTTAAATTTTTGTTGAAATTCAATTTAAATATTAAATAAAGGCCTTAGATCGTGTAAATTAAAACAAAAAATTTTTTACAGGCGAAACAATCCACGAAGCCATGATTAAAAACACTTTGTTCAGATGCAATCCTTTAGGTCCCCTCATTACCATAGAAAACCCGATTATACTCCCTATATGACTATGAGTGGAAGATACAGGCAAAGCACAAAAAGTGGCCGTCATCATCCACATTGCACAACATAAAACAAAGAAAATTAAAAAAATTTTTTGGAGAGGATATACCCCCAAGAATAGCAATTTGCCCTAAAAGAAGTTCGTGGGGTGCTTCTGCATACATCTCTAGGTCAATAACTTCAAAGCGAAGGGTTTGTAAAACTTTGTAACCTGAAAGAATTAAAAATAAATTTTTTTCAAAAAAATTAACCAAGCAAAATAGCTCCAGCACTCTCTATTATAGTAGCCAAAATATAGGCTGTTCTAAGCTTTATAGCTCCGGAACCAACGGAAGTTGCAAAGGCTGTAATTTTGTATTTTTTCTGTGTTTTATTCGAATAGTTTTGTATTTCATTTATATTCCGGAAAGTTTTGTATTTATTTGTATTTTCCGGAATTATTTATTTCTTTTCCGGAATGTATTTTACTATTTACTTGCTTCCGGAAAGTTTATTATATGTATTTTCCGGAATGTCTATTTTTTTTACTAGCTTGTATTTGCGTTCAGGAAAGTTTAATAATTTAATACTTTCCGGAAAATTTTGTATTCTTCGTTAATTAATTTATATTTTCCGGATTATTTAATATTCATTATTTTACTTTACCATTAGATACTTCATTAGAACCCATTGCAAAACCAAAAGTAAAGGATAAATGAAAAGCAGTTATTAATGCCCAAACATATTTAATCTTAAATTTATTTAGTAAATTATTTTAAATAAAAATATGTTACCTGAAAACTAGACCCATCCCCAGCATTATCAGGCAAGCTCTGTGTCAATCCAATAAATAACAAAATAAAAATAACAGTTCTAAGGGTTAATGAGGAGCTTGAAGCAGATAATAGCTTCATTCTAATTTTAATTTAAAAATTATGAAATAAATTATTTTAGAAAATAGTACATAGGAAAATAAAACACATCAAGTAAAAATAAAGTTTATTAAAATTTTCCGGAAAATGTTCTATTATATTTCCGGAAGGGTGTTACCTAGTTTTATTTTTATATTTAATTTTTCCGGTTACCTTCCGGAAGTTATATTTATATTTTCCGGAAAATGTTATAATTGTTGTATTAATCAAATAATTTCCGGAAATGTTCTATTCGTATTTTCCGGAAAAGTTCTGTTCTTCTTTTCCGGAAGTGTTTTCTTGCCTTTTCCGGAAAAAAATACAAAGAAAACACAATTTTTGTATTTTCCGGAAAGTTTTGTAAACACTCTCCCGGTTATTTACCTAAATAATACTACACTATAATTTAAATATTGTTTTAATTTTCGTAATGATCGAATAAAAGCAATAAAAATAAAGTAAAAATTATCATAAAATTGAGAAAATATTTAATTGCAGTAATTTAATTGCTAAAATAATATCTTAATTTTAACTGATAAAAATCGAGGAAAAAATAATTATTAGCTGATTATTATAAGAAAATATTAGCAAGGTAGTGTGTACAAAAACAACGATAACTAAAGAATGGATTAATATTTTTTGATAAAAATTTTTTTGAAAATAAGCAATTGATTATATTAAAAATTAAAATTAAAAATAAATTTAAATGTTAAAAACAAAAAAAGTTGTGATTTTTTGAATTTTTGGGTCGCCTCTAAGTAACACTCTGTGTCTGTTTTCTCTCATAACTCTCGAATGGATTAACATTTTAAAATAAATTTGGTATCATTCGAAAGATAATTGAATTAACTACCATAAAAAAATTAAAAATAAAATTTAAAAGGAAAAATCAGGTGGAAAAGAATTTTTGATTAGGCGGGGGCGGTGAGTGTTTGTCCTCCTCTTTTATTCTCGTTAAAAAGTGATTATTGCATTTTTAAATAATTTTTTTGTAAAAATGTGAATTTTTGTTTTCGATTAAAAAAAGGGGTTGTTATTTTATTTATTTTTTTTGTTTTTTTGTTCTTTTAATTAGATAAAATAAGAATGAGAAATAAAATAAAAATTGGGAGGGGTGAAATGTGTCCTCTCATGAAAATGCGCTATCATTAATTTTAATAAAAATTTTTTTCATGATCAATATAGATAATTAAGGTATGTCTATACTATACTTTTATTAGTAAAAAAATATTGAAGGTCTTAGTAATTAAAAGATAATTAATTATGATGAGCTCTATTACTACTAATATATGCTGACGTTAAGAAAATAGGGCAAAAAAAATTTTAAAAAATTAAAAAATTTAAGAAAAATATTTTTTTCGTTAAATCTATAAAAATAAAAAATCTAATGCAATTAAAAAAATTTAAAAAAATTAAAAAATAAATTTCAAAAAAATTTTTTTTCTTTTGTTTGTTTTAAAGTGATTCTTCTTTTACCAACGACATGCTCTCCTCTACCTAAATAAAACAAAACTTAAAATGAGGTATAAATTAAACTTGTTTGTGTATTTTAAAAGAATTTATACACGTTGAATATTTCTATGAATCATTTAAACTTGTTAAAACTTGTGTTTTTACAAAAGTACAAGTGTAATTAATCAGTCTTAATTTGTATTTACTCCGATATATTTATTTGTATTTTCCGGAAAATTAAATGTATTTTCCGGAACTACATTTTAAATCAAAATACAAAACTTGTTTGTATTTTCCGGAAAGTGTTTTGCTTATTTATTTTCCGGAACTACTATTTTAAAACAAAATACAGAAAACTTGTTTGTGTTTTCCGGAAAGTTAAATTTATTTTTCCGGAACTACAATTTACAATAAAATACAAAAGCTTATATGTATTTTCCGGAAAAACCTTATATGTATTTTCTTGTATTTTCCGGAAAAATCTCTTTCCGGAATTACTTTATAACTGTTGTATTTTCTACTTTATTATCATATTCCGGAAAGTCTATAATCTCTTATATGTATATTACTTTCCGGAAAGTTGTATTTTATTGTGTTTCAGGAAGGTTTATTAAATTACAATACCTCCCACAATGCTGGTTCCTGTGTTTGTTGTTGTTGACTAGTTTGTAGTAAAGGTTGCTGTTGCTGATTTAAATTTGATTTTGAAGGGTGTTGACTAGTTAATAAAGAAGTTGGGGTTGTTGTCATAATCAAAGACTGTTGTTGTTGGACACCATTCCCCATCTCAACACTACTTTGTGTTGTATTGGGGTGAACATAAACGCTTTCACATGTATTATTTTTTATATTATTATTACAATCTCCCATAGGGATTGTGGTAATTGACGGTTGAGGATATTTTCGTTGGGTTCGCCATTGTTGAGAATTTGGCGGCTTTCTCAATAGAAAGTCTCCTCTAAAATTAGAGGTGTATTTTAATTGTTTTTGTAGTGTTTTCCGGAGTTTTATATTAAGTTTTCCGGAAAATTATTTTCTGCCTCCGGAATGTTTTATATTGTTTCCGGAAAGTTATATTTTATTTTTCCGGAAAGTTTTATATTATGTTTCCGGAAAGTTTTAAACTTTTGTTTCAGGGATGTTCTATATTCTATTTCCGGAAAGTTATTTTCTGTTTCCGGAAAGTTTTATATTATGTTTCCGGAAAGTTTTATAGTATGTTTCCGGAAAGGTTTATATTCTATTTCCGGAAAGTTATATTTTATTTTTCCGGAAATTTTTATTTTCTGCTTCCGGAAAGCTTTATACTTAAGTTCCGGAAAGTATATTCAAATAATTATATTATTTGCCTTGGGGGAGGAGGCATAATTATATTCGTAGCATTGTTTGTTGCTGCAGAAATTCCCGCACCCGTTGCATATTGTGCTGCAGCAGTACTACTGCTTGTATGCGTTTGGTGTTGTTGTGAGAAGCTTGGAGAATGCGTCATTACGGATTGGAAGAAGAAGCCGCTCTGAAATTTCAAAAAAAAGTTTTTGTGGATTTTTCATAACCCACATGATGTACACCGTTTGGTTGTGCACTAACTAGAGGTACTAGAACACTAGTTTTTCGCTTAAAATTTTGTTGAATAGCATTAGAAACGTGTTTAGATGTTTGTAATGGTTGGAGTTCATCTGACGGTCTGATAAGTGACACTGAAGAATTTTGAGGACTTGAGGCAAGTAGATGGGCTCGTTGTAAACGGCCTGGAAAGAAGATAAATTTAGAGTGTCAGAGTAAAATTTCTGAAGCAATTTCCAATTTTAATATAAAAATACTGCTTACTACTACTCCTGTTAAACTCTTCCCACATGGAATCAACAACTTCAGTACATACCAAAATGCCAGAATGGATAGTTAACATTCTTAGCATAAATACCCCATCCATTTTGATATAATCTCGAACAAACTCGGTAAGTTCAGGTTCATAATTTATTCGTTTAAATTCAATATCTGCTAATTCTAGGCGACGAGCAATAAATCTGTTAAATTTAATTTTCTAATAGTATGTTGAGAAGTAAATACTTCCGGAAATGATATTTCCGTAAAACAATATTATGTTAAATAAATATAGCTATGTAATATTATATAGAAATTTCCGGAAGTGTAATATAAAAAGTTTCCGGAAATTATAATTAGATAGAATCCGGAAAGTAATATTAGGTTTCCGGAAAATAAATACATAAAAAAATTCCGGAAATTAGCAGGTTTCCGGAAATGTAAAAATAATCTCAAAGATATAAAACCGGAAAGAATCCGGAAAGTAATATTAGGTTTCCGGAAAAAATACAATAGAAAACTTTCCGGAAAATAAAAATAATTCCGGAAAGTAAAATAAAGTTTCCATGAAATATACATATAAATACAATAGCAAACTTTCCGGAAATATAAAAAGTTTCGGAAAATCTAAAAATATCTTTCCGGAAAGGAGGGGGGGTTATTTTACTCCGGAAAGTAAAATAAACTAGTTTCCGGAAAGTAATATAAAATACTACTACACCGGAAAACAAGTACAAAATACAAAATCCTTCTTACCTTTTCCTTGCTTCAAAAGGAAAAGAACAAAGTATCCACTTAAAAAGGCTAATAATTGTGAGGATGAATAACAGTGAATACCAAATCCAAAGAAGAATAAAAAATTTCTCGATGAAGATATTAATAACCAAAACACATTGTACTGTGTGCCTTTGAATTGCTCCGAGTACACGAACATCCATATCACAATAGGTAATTCTAGGGAAGTTTCCAGAATCGCTCCAAGCTGTTTTTATTTATTTTGGAGCTAAAACTGAATTTGTTCTTCAAAATGTGTGAGAGAAGTATAAAGAAGGGCAAACTTTCCGGAATAAATATATATTCTATTTTCCGGAAAGTTATAGACAAAAAATACAAAATTTTCCGGAAAGTAAAATAAACTAGTTTCCGGAAAAGTAATATGGAATAGTATAATATAGCCTTCCGGAATTTACAAACAATTAAATATAATAAAATTCCGGAAAAGTATAGGTATAACTCTCCGGAAAGGTACAGACAGAAAAAATACAAAATCTTTCCGGAATTAGAATACTTTGTATTTTCCGGAAAGTTATAATAAATAAACTAGTTTCCGGAAAGTAAAATAAACTAGTTTCCGGAAAAGTAATATAAAATAGACTTATAGCCTTCCGGAATTTGCAAACATTAAATAAAACCTTCCGGAAAGTATAGACATATGCAAATTTATAAATAAAACCTTCCGGAAAAGTATAGACACAAAAAATACAAAACCTTTCCGGAATTAGAATACTATTGTATTTTCCGGAATGTGTTTTTACAATTTAAAGAACAAATTCATTTTATGCTACAAGTTTCTATTGCTTCAGTTAAAAATTAAATAAAAATTCACCCCTTCCGGAAATCAAGTCTTCCAAAACGCCAAAACCATAATAACGATAATTGCTTGTTTGGAGAAACCAATTCATTAAAAACATCTATTTTTAAGAGGTAAAGTGCTTCTAATCTCAATGAAAATTACCTGCATTGAAACATTAGCTAGAAACAAAGTTTTAATTCCAATATATAAGAATGTTAAGTAAGCTTCATAATAACGAAGATTCAAGGCTCTCCTCAATTTGTGGTGATGAGGATGGTGTTTGCCACTAAAACGAAATCTGTGTCGAAAAACAGAACCTAAGTGAGCTGACATGCCCTAGAACGAAAGTGAGGTTATTGGAAAAAATTTTTTGAAGCATGCTTCTGAAGCATAATTTGTGAAACATTTATTGGAAGCATGAAGCTTCTGAAGCTTGCTAATAACAGAACTTGCTTCAAAAACCAAAACTGAAGCAAGTTTCACAGTTACTGAAACATTGTTTTAAAAAAATATTTTGAAGCATAAATATGAAACATGCTTCTGAAGCTTCTAGAAAAATTCCTGAAGCATTCTCTCAAGCTTACCTTAACATTAGCTTCTCTCAATTCTTAATATAAAATTAAAAATAAAATTTAAGAAAAAATTCAAAAATTACTTGGTTGAATATTAGAACGATCATTAGCAAAGGCAACAATGTCTTTAATTCGAATGCCGCTTTTTGTGTATAAGGCACGCCAGACAAGGCATGGGGAGTAGAAGAGAAAGGCACAAATTACTTAAAATATTTTTTTAATTTCTGAAGCAAATTTGTGAAGCATGCTTCAGGGTATATTCTAAAGCTTGCTTCTGAAACATGCTTAGCATTTATATCAAAAACTTGCTTCAGAATATTTGCTTCAGGAAATCTGCTTCAGGAAGCTTCAGAAAGCTGATTAGAAGCATCTTTCGGAAACTTGAAGCATGCCTTGAAGCATGTTGGACAAACTTGAAGCAAGTTCCTGAAGCATGCCTAGCATGCTTAGAAGCTTCTAGAAGCATGTTTCTGAAGCTTGCTTCATAATTTAACTTTAATTTTATCTTAAAACTATCTCTCTTTCCCCTTTCTTCATCTTTTATTCTCCCCAAATTCTCTCCTAAAACAAAGAAACTGTCAGTCACTTTTCTAGGATTTATTGCCGCGCACATTTCTCTTTTATTTTGTTCAATGTCAGCAGTAAATCTTTTTTGCTGTTTTTATGATTATAGGGTTATTATAGTAATAATGGATTGTTAAAAGAATTTTTTGAGCCCAAAAAGGAGTGAAAAAAGGGATTATTTTCTTCTTCACACCCTCCCTCAGTTCCTCCCTCCCTCCCCTCCCTCAGTTCCCCTCCTCCGCTCCTTCCCTCAGTTCCTCTATCGTTTCCTTTAAAAACTCATCGACCCCACATACTTTTAAAAAATGCAAATCCAATTCGGAATGCCTTCCATTCATCATTTCAAGTCAAAGAAAGTCAAAGAAAGACAAAAAGGATTTTTGATAGCGGATATTTCCTTTTTTATTTTGAGGCGCGCAAATGGGGAAAAATTCTTCTTTGGTTTTTGGATATGTATACGATCGGTTTTGTGGTTCTTTGTTTGAACTATTTTTGATTTTGAAAATGGATAAAAAAATTTCTTGATGGACGCAATTTTAATTCGGATATATTCAAATTTAAATTTATGGTCCAATTAATGGACAAAAGGTCATCAGTAGTCACCAGAGTCCTGACACCAGAAAACAAAGTGGCACTAAAGTCCTAGCTCTAAATATTTTTTTCTAAATTTGTTTTATCTTTGACATTCTACAAATTGATTCTCGAATTTTTCCAAGTTTATATGGGGCGAGTCGGGAATTTAATGTAAAACCTAAGGTACCGTCAACACATGGACATGGTTTACATTAAGCCAAATAACTCTTGAAAAAATTGATGAATTTTAATGATTTTGGTATCATTCGATAAAGAATTAAATTTTCTATAAAATAAAATTAAAAATATAATTTTAGGACGAAGCAAAATTAAAATAAAATCAAAAAACTAACCCCAAGAAATATTTTTTGCCTGAAGATACTTTAATTTTAGACCACAACTTTTTTTCTAATTTACATATAATTTTAATTTAAGCTGTATTTGATAGATAAATTTATGCTCTATCGAATGGTACAAATTTCATCTCAATCGGTTCACTAGTTTTCGAGATATTATTAAAAGAGTGAACCCTACTCCTTCTCAATGAGGACTCAAACCATCCCCTTTTAAAAATTATTTTTTCTAAACAGATTAATTTTTTATCCAAAATCCTTGGTTTTCCCTTTCATTGTTGCCTTTTTCATCCTCTCAATAATGCTACACAGCATGTAAAAAATATAAAATTAAAGGGAGGCGACAAAATATGTGTGTGTGTTCGCATGCGCGAGGCCCGCCCATTCATTAGCATTTAGTAAATGTCCCTAATAAAAATCAGAACAATGCGAATAAAAAATAGAAAGAGGGTTAATGTACCTTTAATAAATACAATATTTTTTTTATTTTAATTTTTTCCATAATTATTAAAAAAAATTTTTTTTCTCCCCAAAAATAGGCTTATTTTTGCCTATTTTAGCCTATTTAATTATTAATTTTCGTTAAAAAATCAGAATAAAATCAGAATAAAAATCAGAATAAAATCAGAAACTTCAGAAAATATTCTGATTTTTTTCTGACATTTTCAGATCAGAAAATCAGAATAAAAATATGAAAAATAATAATTCATCAATTAATTCCACTACCAATTTATTAATTAAAAAAGAGTCGAGGAGAATGAAGGCTAATAGCCGTGAAAGAAATAGAATGCATGGATTGAATAAAGCTATGGATAAATTGAGGGTATTTTAATTTTAAATTTAATTTTTAAATTAATAAAAATTTTTATTTCCACCTTTTTTTAATTTAATTTTTAAAATTCCCCCCAAAATTATTTTTATTTATTAAGTAAGTACAGTACCCCCCACCCTTCTCTCTCCCTCTCTCATTTAATTTATTAAAGCCTTTCCCCTTTAATTAAATTAATTAATTATTTCCAAGCCCCAACATTCATCTACATACTCTCAACCTTATCCCTTTAAAATAAAAATTTTTCAAAATTACCCAAACAACCCCTGACCCAAATTAAATTTTAAAAAATGTTAAATCTCAAATACTAATTTTTAAAATAATCTTTAACTTAAATTATAGCTGAAAGTCCCTCTTTTTTGTAACGAAACAAGGCAGAAACTTTCAAAAATTGAAACGTTGCGAATTGCGAGGTGAGCTAACCTATTTATTTCTAAAAAATTTTAAAAATCCGAGGGGGCTTATGGGAAATATTTTTTATTTTCTGTGGCAACTCAACAATTATTTATGAATTAAAAAAACTGAAATATTTTCCCAAATAAATCCAGAAAACCCCTCTTAAGGATTACTTGCACTTGAAAAAATGAGTAAACTTTGAGGGGGAAGGTTGAAGTTGAGCAATTTTATTTGGAAAAAAAAATATTTTCCTAAACCTCTTAAGAATAAAAAGGAAGAGAATAAGTGTCCAAAAAACAAGGCCAAATATTTTTAAACAAAAGATTTTATTTTTTGTTTGTTTAAGAGAGAGATTTATGAAGCGCGACCAACTAGGCGTTAGCGCTCATATCTTTTGAACCAATAAACTTTTCGAGACAATTTTGGTATCGTTCGATAGAGAATTAAATTCTCTACAAGATAGGATTTAAAATAAAATTTAAGATGGATAGGAAAAAAAGTTAGAGGCAAAAAACTGACTGATATCCATGAAAAAGGTCGATTTTTGTAGGATTTTTAGCCCATAACTTTTTCTCCTGTTAACCTAAAATTTTGATTTTTAAGTTCTTTTGTAGGAAATTTCAAGCTCTATCGAATGATACAAAATTTATAAAAATCCATTTAGAGGTTCAAAAGATATAGAACCTAATAATCTTTCAGCCCTATACCCTTCTATGCCATCAATATTTTATTTAAAATTTGCTCAGAAAAGGAAGCAAACACTCAATCTCTATCCTGACAAAATCCAGCACATTTGCCCAGCTAATTTTGTGTATACAAAAATTTATAATTGGGTCCTATCATTTTTCCATCCCTCAATTTTTAAATTTAATAATTAGCGATATTATAGAAAATAAATGAAAAATAAGCCAAAAATAGGGCAAAAAATAGGTTAAAAATTGCTCAAAAAAATTCCCAAAAATTCTAAAAAAAATTTTCCAGAAACTACATAATCGCCCTAAACCGAATGGCAACCTACGGCCATTTAATGACCAAAATCGACTTTGCCTGGCATTTAAGTTTAGGCCTTAGCCAAACAACAGTAAACCAAATAGCAACGTTTTTGGATGTTTCTCCTTTATTATTGGCTAATAAAATTAAAAATTGTTGCAATTTTGAAGAATGGGAGGAAACTAAAAAATATGAAAAAATGGAGATTGAAGGAATTTGGAATGGAGAAAATGGGCAAGTTGAGAGGATGAAGAATGATATAATTATGGATAATAATGATGATTATTTTTGATTTTATTTTAATTAATTTTGGGAAGAAAAATTTTTTTCTGAATTTTTGAGGGAATTTAGAAACCCATAGGTACGGGTTGGTTTATAAAAGTTAAAAAAAGAAAAAAATTATGTGGGCATAGCTGCCTCGATTTTTCGAAAACCCGACGACTTGACACCACATATTAGACCCTCATCGTTTAAAAAACGAAAGAAAATTAAAAATGGATGCGGAAGGGAGGAGATTGGAAAAAATGAAGAAACCCATCCCTACTATCTACATACATTTCACAGTCCTCCATTTATAAAAAAAAATTTGGTCACCTAAAATAGGTAGGGCAATATTGAGAATTTATGTGCTTAGGTAGAGGTATTCCCTCAGCTTTTTTAAATTTTCTTTCAATTTTTAAATTCAAAGATTTAAAAATTTAATTTACCAAGAAAGAAAGGTGTCCATTGATAGTAGCTAATCATATTTTTTTCACGCACTTCACTTTCATCGGGTATTTGTTTATCAAAGGGAGTAAAGTATGTGTTCATCGAGAAGCAGTATATCTCTGAAAATAATTTAATTTCAGAATTTTAATTAAATCGAAAATACAAAAATTCTGACTTGTGATTTTCTTATAATTATTTCTGATTTTTGTATTTTTAATCGTCTACTAGAAATATTAGAGAAAACACAAATATCAGAATTTATTTAAAAAAATAATAAACCAAAAACACATAAAATCAGAATTATGGAAAAATACAAAAATCAGAATTTTGTTTTAAAAATAATCAGAATCGAAAATACATAAATCAGAATTATAATATAAATCGAAAATACAAAAAGCAGAATTAAGAAAAAAAATACAAATATCAGAATTATGGAAAAATACAAAAATCAGAATTATGGAAAAATACAAAAATCGGAAAATAAGAACAGAATTTATTTAAAATATCAGAATTTTAATAAATCAGAATTTAATTTTTACCGGTATATTCCTGCCATGAAGATTGGTATTCTGCGGGCATCCAACACTGACAAAAAAAAATTTTCTAGTTTTAAATTAATTAGTACCTCAATAGGTCTTCCACCATACATTTTTAAACTTATTAAAACCGATGTGACCAACAAAAATGTAGTTGTATAGTAATAGTGTAAGCGGTCAGTCATATCATCATCGGCTTAAAAATCAGAAAAATTAATTTAAAAATATTTTTTTTTCTGAATTTTCTGACTTTTTCAGAAAATATATTTTTTCATCAAAAAATTTAATTAATTACCTTGTGGCTGAAGAAAAGAGAGGGTGCCGACAACCTCAGAAAAGACCATCCTAAATAAATATTAAAAATTAATTTTAAAAATCAGAATATTTATTTTTAATTTAATATTTAATTAAACTAACTGAATTAATTTTATAAAATATACAAAAATTAATTTTTGATTTGAAAATTAAAGAATAATTCGTTCTCGTTATTTTAAAGGGAAGAAAATTAATTAAGTTCAAGTTAAAAAACCAGAATTATTATTCTGAAAATTTTAAAATGAAAAAATACAAAGATCAGAATTTAATAAAAGAAAAAACACAAAATCAGAACAAAAACACAAAAATCAGAATTAATAAAAGAATTAAAACTTTTTCTGAAACTAAGAAATCAGAATTAATAAGAAAATCAACTTAACGAAAATACAGAAACCAGAATTAAAACTTATTCCTTAAAACACAAAAATCAGAATTAAAATATTAAACTTAGTGAAAACACAAGAAAACACAAAAACCAGAATTTAATTAAAAAATAAACTTAACGAAAATACAAAAATCAGAATTTTCACCTATATTAATTACACTAAAATACAAAAATCAGAATTTCTTTAATTACACTAAAATACAAAATACAAAAATACAAAACTTGTTTGTATTTTTTTGTATTTTTCTTTTAATTTGCTCATATATGTCAAACCGCATTATGAAGATTGCCAGGTTGGAATTTGTAACACCGTTCAACTTTTTTGTATTTTTGTTTAAAAACACAGGCTCCGGTACAAAATATGGAATCGTTAAAATATGGAATGGTTAAAATCGCGAATAGGCTAAAAAGGGGTTAAAATACCGAATCGTTAAAATATGGAATGGTTAAAATATCGAATCGGGTAAAAAAGGGTTAAAATATGGAATCGTTAAAATATCGAATCGTAAAAATGTCGACACGGCCAAAATAGGTCAAAATGTCGAATTCTTTTAAAAAAGGGTCAGATGTGTGCCATACGTTGATTGTTGATAATTTTATCAACTTATTGTTGATAATTTGATTGATAAGTTTCGTATGTCGTAGTCCGGCGCAATCTTTTCTGCCAGAGTTCACTGTATTTTACCGAGTAAAACCGGACCGGATAAATCAAGCGACCGGATCCTGTATGATCGTACGGATCCGGAAAACATAACGCGATCCTTATACGGAAAAATTAGTGGCGTGCACTACCTTACCGTATACGGTACGGAATACCATAAAAATACCGATCAGCTTTTAAATTTTATCGGTAGCATTCTGTACCGTACTACCGACACGGAATACCGAAAAATACCGTCGGTATTACGGCAACGCCCGGATTCTAGGTTTTGGCGCCATTTTTAAAAAAATTCGACATTTTGACTTATTTTGGCCGTGTCGACATTTTATCAATTCGATATTTTAACGATTCGGTATTTTAACCCCTTTTTACCCTATTCGAGATTTTAACCATTCCTTATTTTAACGATTCCACATTTTAACCCCTTTTTAGCCTATTCGCGATTTTAACCCATTTTTACCCGATTCGAGATTTTAACCCTTTTTTAGCCTATTCCATATTTTAACGATTCGATATTTTGTCCGGACACGAAAACACAACATTTATTCTTCCTCTTTTCACTCTCCTCCAATTTTGTGAACGTGACAGTTTTATTTTTTTATTTTTTTTAATTTTATTTTAAAGTTATTCGAGAAATAAATATGTATTTTTCATTGATTTTGGGAGGAAATATTTGGAAAAATATTGAATAATTTATTTTTTTTGGATTTTTAATGTTATTACAAGGTAAATACATGTATTGAGGGAAGGAAGATTTTTTATCCGAAAAATAAGGAAGAAGAAAATTTATTTTTTTTTGTACAGGTGGAAAAATATTAACAATAAATCATTTAAAAATAATAACTAGAACAATTTATTTATTTAATTTTTTAATTTTTTATAAGGAAAAACAAAAATGTGAAACACTTACGTTTAAGTTTACTACATCAGAATTTAATTTAAAAATACAAGTTCTGATCTAAAACACAAAAATCAGAATTTATTGTATTTTAAAACTTGATTTAATATAAATAAAAATCAGAATTTATTTGTAAAAGAAAACACACAAATCAGAATTTTTGTGTTTTTTTGTGTTTTCGAAATCAGAATTAAAAAATACACAAATACAAAGACCAGAATTTTTATTTTTGTAAAATACAAAAATCAGAATTTTTTGTATTTTAGATATTCTGAATATTTTATAAAAATACAAAAATACAATCCCAATCAGAATTCTTAATTAAAAATACAATAATCAGAAATACAAATTTACAAAAATACAAAAATCAGAATTTTATTAATTTTAAAATACATAAATCAGAATTACTTTGGCTGAGGGAGTAAGAGAGGGGTTTCCCCCCATATATCATCCAAAAAATTAATTTTCTAAAAATTTTAAAAAATAAACAAAAAATTTTTTTCACCTCAAAATTCTTCAAAACTATGTATGTAGAACACAGCAAAAAATAATAATAAATTCTAAAAAAGATTAATAATAAAAAAATATTTTTTAGCGCTAAACGAGCTTTTTGACACCTCAAAAATTTAAAAATAAAAATAAAATTTCTGATTCACTTTCACCGAAAAATAAATAAAGTTGTAAAAATACAGAAAAGCACGCGCCAAATTTTATTATTTTATATATATTTGACAAAAATCTCAATTTTATTTTTCTTGAGCAATTTTTATGGGGGAAATACATACTCCACCTTATATAGAGTTGGTGTTTAAATTTGTCTTTTTTTAATAGAAAAAATTTTTTCCACTAAAAAATAATTTTCTAGTTAAAAATAATTTTTTCTATTTAATTTCTTGAAATATTTAGAGAGGTGAAAAATGCAAATAAAAAAAGTTTTTGATTTTTGATTTTTCTCGTTAAAATAATTTATGTATGCAAATGCTTTTTTAACACCTTAGTGATGTGATTGATAGTAGAAGACTCCATAGTTTCCTGACCAAAAATGTGAAACTTTTATGCTGAAACCTTTTAACGGGGTTATTTTAGGGAGAAAAAAGTTGGCTAGAATTAAAATTAGAATAATTTTTTTTAATTTTTTTTAATTTTGAGGGAGGGAATAAACCTCGTGGAATTGAGGGAAGGATCAGAACAGAGAATCGAAAAAGTAAGTGTCCCATGATGTCAAGGGCCGGGGACTGGTGAAAATGACAAGGATAGAGGACTGGTGACAAACTTAAATCGAGAGGAGGGGATCTAATATTTAATATTATATGGGGCTATATTTTGTGAGGAACCTGATACATGACTGAAGGATTTAAAAGAAAAAATTAAAATAAAATTAAAAAAATTTTTTTATTCAAGGCTATTTAAAATAAATGAGAATATTTCTTGTTTTATAGGGTAATTAATTTTCCAGTTTTTTCTTTAAAAAAAAATAAATATTGGGAGAGAATTAATAAGTAAAATTATGCCCTATAAATTTTCAAATAAATATTTAAAATGAGAAATCAAAATTTAAAAATAAATAGGTGAATTGGGAAGATAAAAAAATTTACTTAAAAATGCTCTATGGGTATGTGTGTTTGTAATAATTATTTTTTATTATTTTCTAAATTTTTGTCACCCTCAATCTTCTGTTGTTTCTGTTTTTCTAAACGTCGCCTTCTCTTCTGCTCATTTCTTATTTTCCTCAATTTTCTATTCAACCTCTTCCCAATTTTTTTGAATTTAAAAATAACTTCCTCGGGTATCTGTATATTTTTGAGTCTTTTAAATATGTAATTTTTGTTGTCGAGTTTCTAAAATTTTTTTAAAAATTTATTTTTAAACGATAAAAGGATCTTGCCTTTTTATCATTCTTCAGTCTATTAATTTCATATTTTTTAATTAAATTATAGCAACAAGCTAGAAGTTCGTTGCGATGTATCCAATTATGCTTGTCATATCCTTTCCATTTAACCTTGGAAAAAAAATTTTTTTTGAATTTTTTTTTCAAAAAAAATTTTTTTTTTGAATTTTTAAGAATTGGAAAAATCCAAAAAAAATTCAAAAACTTTTCTAAAAAAATTTTTTTTCTTCCCCTCCTACCATATATTCAATTTCTTTTGCCGACCGATGTCGATTTGTAATACACTCAACTTCAAATTGAACAGATTCTGTTGCTTTTTTAAAGCCTCTTTTTAAACTACGCTCAAACCTTTCAATTGCATTCTTGTTTCCCTAAAATAAGAAAATTTTTCTAAAAAGTTTTCTAAAAAATTTTTAGAGCGAATCAAAAGCCTCCAACCGAATACAACCGCTGGGCGAGACCATTGAGACTAATATTCAGGGACCAGTCCCAATTAAATGGTTTCAGATCCAAGAAACAATAGAAACAATTAAAAGTTCTCTTCGGGAAGAAAGGATTTGGATCAGAATCCTTTCAACCAACCCCAACGGGAAACGGCAGCTTTTTAAATTCGCCTATAAAAATGAGGTGAATTCACAATTTATTTATAGCGTGGAAATATTTATTTAAATATTTAATGGGTTGTAAAATAAAAAGAGAGAGCTAGGGTTTAAGGGTTAGCCAAATATAAACCTACTCTAATTTATAATACATAAGTTTACAATTCAGAATAAGTAAGTTTATTAATTATTTTACCAAGTTTGTAAACTTGAAAACTTAAACTTATTAAATAAATAAAGTTTTCAAGTTTGTTAGGTTTACAAACTTAGAATAATTATAAAAACTTGAATAAATAAACCTGAACAGAATTACAAACTTGAAATAATTAAACTTATTATAAATAAACTTTTTTTGTCAAGTTTGCAAACTTAAAAAATTAAAAACTTAAAAATAAACTTGAAATAAACTTAATTAAAGTTTACAAACTTAAGTATCAATTTGCAACTTAACTTTACAAATTATGTGTTTAAATAAACTTTTTCCCCTTCAAATTTTTTTAAGTTTATAAAACCCCACCAAAGAAAGTTTGTCTTCCCAACTCTGAATTTTTTCATTCCCTTCAGTATACACTCTAGCTGAGTTTTTAGGCCATTCAAGCAAATAAGAATTTGGTTGGCCAGAATTTCCTCTATCCAATTTTGAAATAACTTTGATTGCTTCAACGACACGGATATTTTTATTAATTATTATTCCTTCTCCACCTTTAGGTAATTGTTGATCATTAACAGCATCAAATTGGGATAATAGAGATTCATATTTTGGTAGAAGATAGTGTCTTAAAAGGGAGGTTGGAGTTAAAGAATTAATTCTGATTTGTAAAATTATTAGAAAATAAGGGAAAGTTGTAATTATTTTAATAAACTTAAAAAAATTAAGTTTGTAAACTTAAAAAAATTATTTCAAGTTTACCAACTTTTTCAAGTTTACCAACTTTTTTTAAGTTTACCAACTTTTTCTAAGTTTACCAACTTTTTTAAGTTTACCAACTTTTTTTAAATTTACCAACTTAAAAAAAGTTGTAATTGCATTAAAAACTTAAAAATATTATTCAAGTTTGTAAAGTACGATTTTAAACTTTTTACAAATCAGAATATGTAATTTGTAAATATTTTAAAAATCAGAATAAACGGTTTATTAATATTGTACAAATCAGAAAAAGTTTATTTTCTAAACAGAATTCTGATTTTTAAAATTAATTCTGATTCTGATTTTTAAATTCTGATTATTTTCTGATTTTATTTTGATCCTTACTTTAGTTCTGATTTTTTGAATTTTTAATTCTTATTTTTAAAATTTATTTAATTTAAATAAATTCTGATTTTTCAAGCTTTTACCTTTTCTCCCAAGTCGGCTCCTTCCACCCTACCCATCGAACTAAATAAATATCTGTGCCCAATGTTCTATCCAATATAGCCTCAACTTCATATTCAGTCAAATCCTCTGCTAATTTTTTATCTTCTGAAAGCTTCTGTTCAAATTCTCCAATTAATTTGACAATATAGGGCCTAGCTTTCCCTTTTTGTATCCATTGTTGGGAAGTAACTACTTTATTTGGAAAGCGCTGCTCAAAAATAACCAAATAAAAAGCTGGACGGTCTTCGTATAAAAGTTGTTTAACTACTTGAATTGCCCTCTTTTTTGGAATGGGAGTTTTTGGTTCTATAAAAAAATTAATTTTATAATTTGTAAAAAAGGTTGGAAAAGTTTTGTCTAAGAAGGCTTAAACTTTAATTTAAATTAATTCAAGTTTGTAGACTTGAAAAAGTTGCTAGTAAAAATAGGCTTTCAATTTCTGGTTTTATAAAAATTAATTTTACAATTTGTAAAAAGGTTTAAAAAAGGTTGGACAAGTTAATTTAATTATAACCTAAATTTAATTAATTCAAGTTTGCAAACTTATAAAAGTTGTAATAATAGAATTATGGACAAAGAAAATCTAAAAACTTAAGTAAATACAACTTTTTCAAGTTTGTAAACTTGAAAAAGTTGTAATATAGACAAAAAATCTAACAACTTTCTTTTAATCCAACTTTTTCAAGTTTGTAAACTTAAAAAAGTTGTAATAATAAAATTACTAAAAACTTAAGTAAATCCAACTTTTTCAAGTTTGCAAGTTTATATTTAATTTTTAAAACTTTTAAGCTTTACTCAAGTTTGTAAACTTAAGAAGTATTAAAACAAGTTTGCAAACTATACCAAAAATATGTTCTTCTTGTTTAATGTTCCTTGTCGTTATTAATTGAGAATTTGAGCTTGAAGTAGACGTAGATGTTCCTTCATTTTGCCTTAATATTGGTGTCAAATTTGGCGCTTGAATATTTATTTTGTTAGGTGATAATTGAAGCACTGGTGTCAATTTAGGATTTGGTGTTAACTGTCGTTTACTGCTTGACCACAATCTCGGAAAAAGTTGTAAACAATTAATTTGTGATTTTGTAGGTGTAAAATTTACTTCTGGTTTGAAAGGGGAGATATTCTAAAAGTTGGGAAAAATTAAATAAATTTAAAAAATTAAATACAAGTTTACAAACTTGAAATTTTAAAACTGGGAAAAGTTGTATTTTAAAACTTGGAAAATATGTTTATTCAAGTTTGCAAACTTGGAAGTTGTAATTACTTTAAAAACTTGAAAATAAAAAGTTTGTGAACTTGGAAAAGTTTTATTTATTTAAAAACTTGATAATAAAGTTTATTCAAGGTTCACTTAAGTTTGTAAACTTGGAAAAGTTGAATTATTTTTAAAACTTTTATTTAAACAAGTTTGTAAACTTGAAATTCTAAAACTTGGAAGTTAAATTGTAAAACTCCTAGAAAATGCTTATTTAAGTTTGTAAACTTTAAAAAGTTTAATTATTTTAAAAACTTGGAAATATTCAAGTTTGAACTTAAAAACCTTAAAAAATACTTCAACTTGAATTTAAGTCGTCAATTAATTCCCAAACTTAATTAAATGCTCAAACTCACGTCTAAATTATCGCCGAAACTATTATCCGCCAAAAACGAAAGTCCTTTAAGTTTGAATTGATCTGAATTATTTATTTTTGCTGTAATTTCATTACTAGACGTAAATTCGCTAGTAAATTCACTTCTATTAATATCCATTGAAAACAAATTTAACAAAGTTTAGTTGTAAAAAAATCTATAAAAAATAAGAAATATTTTTTTCCTATTGAGCATTAAAATTGATTGGTCAAATAAGTAGGGTTGTACCCCGAACGCTCGGGGGCGGGTATGTCGGGGTACGGGGTTTTCCAATTGTTTCGGGGCGGGGTTCGGGTCGGGGGAGCAAAATATGGTCGGGGTTCGGGTCGGGGTACGGGGGTTTAGAGGAAAAATTTTTAGAGAAAAAAATGCTCAAAAATAGTTAGAAATCGATATATTTTCGTTGATTTATTCAAAAATTAAGTAGGATTTGAAGAAATTAGAGGGGATTTGAAGAGATTAAAGTGTATAACTTGGGATATAAGTGGATCTGGAGGGATTAAGTGGGATTTTTAGGGATTAAATCCTCCGATTACCATTCAACTTCCATTTACAGCGCCGCAGGCAAAATTTTGAATATTTGGAAGATCCTTAAGGCAAAAATCTTCCATTTTTTGCGCCGCATGCGAAAATTGGAGAATTATAGAAGGCTAGAAGCCAGATTTCTTCCATTTTTTGCGCCGCATGCGAAAATTGGAGAATTATAGAAAGCTAGAAGCCAGATTTCTTCCGTTTTTTACGCCGCAGGCGAAAATTTTGAAAATATTGGAAAAATCTTCGTCGGAAATTTGCCTTAAAAATTTTCGGAAATTTTTCCAAAATTTCGGAAATCAGAAAGAAAAAAACGTCGGAAATCGGAATTTCGACCCACATCTGATACAGGGGTTGAAGGATTAAGGGTGGTTCAAGGGATATCAGTTAAAAATAAAATTAATATTTTCGAATTAAAATTTAACTCGTTTATAATTTGTTTTTGTAAAGAAATATAGAAACAATAGAGTTCTCCTTATATGGATCCGAACCCAATTCTATATTAACAAAATATCGGCTAAAACCAACGACTAAGCCACTCAACCACAAGTCTCTTAATAAAGAAGGAAAGAAAATTATGATATTTCATTCATTTTTCTTTCACAAATAATAAAAGCAAAGTAAAATGAGTGGAAATTTTTTAAATTTTCTCCATTAATTTCTCCAAAAAATGACATTTTTTAGGGGTATAAAACCCCGATAACCCCGAAATTTTTTTGGCCGGGGAACGGGGTTTTCACTTTTTTTCGGGGCGGGGTTCGGGTCGGGGAGAATCGTGAAAAAATCGTTCGGGAACGGGGTCGGGGTTCGGGGTACGGGGTCGGGGTACAACTCTACAAATAAGTTGCATTTTTTATAAATGAGAAGATAAAATGAACGGAGGAGAAGAAAAACTATTAATTTATACATCGAACATCGTGCAACCTTAAACCCTATTGTGCAGCAGGCAATTTTGCGTTTCTGGCATTCACGCCGAAACAGGGTTGTGCCAAAACTGATCTTAGAAAGGCGAAAAAGGAAGGATGGAAATTCGAAAATTAAATTGAAAGTGAAAGACGAAACAACAACAAACACGAAACTCGGCGATAGGCGAAACTGGCACTTTTCCTGAACAAGCAACTTAATCAGACAAAAATCAGAAAAAATAAAAAAAATTTTTTTTTCGAAAAATAACGAAAAATAGATTAAAAATTATCATTTAAATATGTATTTATACATAAAATAACAGCAAATATATAAAAAAAATATACAAAAAAAATTTAAAAATAATTTTTACGAAAGTACACTAGGGGAGAGCACGGAAGCCATAAGAGCTGATTCAGTCAATACCTCAGGAGATCCAACAGTGGGAGAGAGAATTCCCCCACCCAGAACCTTCAAAAATTATAAATAATATTTTTATATTTTTTTATTATATGTACCTGTGGAGAAAGAATGTCAGGGCTGAGAACCTAAAAATTCAAAATTACTTTAAAATAAGTTTCAAGTTTAATATTTCATGTTTTAAGTTTTCAAGAATTAAGTTGCAAACTTTTAATTAATATATTTATTCAAGTTTGCAAACTTTAATTAATTTTAGAGGTTTACAAACTTAAATAAAATAAACTTGAATATTTTCCAGGTTTGCAAACTTGGAAACTTAAGAAAATATTAGACAAGTTTGCAAACTTTAATATTTGAGGTTTAAAACTTGAATAAAATAAACTTGAATATTTTTCAAGTTTACGAACTTGGAAACCTGAGAGAATATTTATTCAAGTTTGCAAACTTTAATATTTACAATCTTCAAGTTTTAAAGATTAAATAAACTTTTCAAGTTTACAACTAGTAATTAAATATTCTCCCCAAGTTTGCAAACTAGCTTATTCAAAGCTTTAATACCCCTCTCTATTAAGAAGTAATTTTATATATTTCTACAAGTTTGGATGTCTATAGAAAAATATAAAAAATTACATTAGGACTTAGAATCAACGGAGACAGTGCATACGGATTTAATATATTAGGTGATAGAACATATGGAGTTAACTATAAAAATTAAGATTACAAACGTAAAATCTTCAAACTTACAATAAAAGGCGTTAAAGCCATTGGAGAAAGAATAAAAGGGCCTAAAACAAAAGGAGAAAGGATAAACGGCATAGGAGCTCCAGGCGATAGCACAAAAGGGCTGAGGACGGAAGGAGCCAAAATTTGAGGAGCAAATATGCTTGGCGATAGAATGAGAGGGCCTAGCACTGAGAGACTGAAAAAAATAATTTTTTAAGCTGGTCAAGTTCATAAATTACCCCATAGTTGGAGTGAACATGAAAGGGGCAAGAATCACAGGCTGTCCAACTTCAACACCCGCCTGTCTTTTAAAACGGAATTTTCCCCTGTACAATTTTTCGATTTTTCTCCTCCTCCTTTCATCCAATTTGTCGGCATATTCCTTGCAGAAATTATTTTAAATTTAAAAATTTTGGAAAAAATACGTCAGGAATGTTCCTCGCTATCCTTTCAATCCGTTTCCATAAAGCCTGTTCTCTCCCTATCCTGTCCAATTGAGAAAATCTTTCAGTCTCTTTCCTCAACTCTTCGGGGAAGTCTGCATCTATTTTAGAATTTTAAAATTTTTTAAAATTTTTTATTTTTACGTTGTTCTTTGCACAACTGGTCGAATTGACGTTGGTCAAGAAATGTGTACCCTCTACTATCTATATCATATTTTTGTTCGTTGTCAAAGGAACGCTCAACATTTTTGTAGGCATTAATAATCTTTTTGTTTGCCTCCCTAAAGTCTGGTTCAATTTCTAGTAAAAAAGAAAACGTTAAGTTAACAAACATTAATAAAACTTGCTTCTAAAAAATTTTTGTTTTAGTAATACGTTTTCAAGCTTATAATTTTAATAATTAAGTGCGCAACTTAAAGTTTTAAGTTTTCAAATTTACAACTTTAAGTTTTTAAGTTTATAAACTTAAATAAACTTTTTCAAGTTTGTACTTAAGTTTTCAAGTTTCGACTTTAAGTTTAAGCTTATAAACTTAAACAAACTTTTTCAAGTTTATAAACTTGAATAGAACAAGTTTTAAGTTTCAACTCTAAGTCTTAAGTTTATAAACTTAAATAATCTTTTCAAGTTTGTACTTTCAAATTTTCAAGTTTACAAGTTGAATAGAACTTTTTAAGCATGAAATAAATTTACAAACTTAAACTTAATTTTTTCTAACCAAAAAAGTTGAGAGATTTGAGCAATTCAATTGCTTCCTTAACATGTCCAATACTTCCAGAGAGCTGCATTAACATTTGTAGCAATGCTTGTCTATCTCCCGATTTTAATCCTGAAGCTCTTAACACCTAATAGAATTTATAAAATAAGTAACTATTTTGAAGACAGGACCTTTGGAAGTGAATCTGCAGTTTTCAATAGATTTCCTTCTTTATCCCCATTAATTTCTTCATTTTTCTCATTTTCGTATAATGCAAATATTGTAGGTGAAAATAAAGATTTTTTATTAGCTCCGTCAGGCATTAGAGGTGCAAATCTTGGACTCATAAATTTAAAGTTTGTAGTGTCACTTTTATTAGAGCCAGGTTGAGTTAATTTATTAAGTAGAGATATGCCCATTTTTAGAAGACCTTGTGGACTTTCCTATATTTAAAAATTAAATGTTTAATTAAACTTTTAAGTTTGCGAAAAATTTCAAGTTTGGTAATAATTAAACTTTACAAACCTACTTATCATTCTATAAAACTTAAGCACTCTACAAACTTAAATTAAACATTTTCAAGTTTATAAACTTGAATATAATAGCTATAACTATAAAGTATTGTTCCAACTTTTTCTCAAGTTTACAACCTATTTTTCCAACCTTTTTAAGTTCATGAACTTGAACTTTGTTAGTTTTCAACTTTTCCAAGTTTACAAACTTGAATTAAGCATTTTCAAGTTTATAAAGAATAAAAATAATATACTTGTTTTTCCAACTTTTTCAAGTTTACAAACTTGAATACTCATCCAATTTACAACCTTTTTTAAGTTTGTTTATTTATTTGAAACTTAATATTTATTTTTCAACACCCAATTAACCTTTCCACAAACAAATTAATCCTTTACCTGTTCAACCTGACTCATTGAAGGTTCGTCCTTTCCCAGAACCAAATCATACATTCTCATATTATAAGCACCTATTTATTTTATTAAAAAATAATTTTTCAATTAAATTTAAATCAAACGAGCTCCCGGCGATTTTCTTTTTTTATCATTTTCTCGTTTCAAATGAACCAAAAATTCGTACATTTTTGTCCATTTAATATCCCCGTTGTTGTTAGTATTATTATTGTTGTCATTAGGGGTTAAGGTTGATATTAGATTGGCAACCGAGAAAATAAAAAAAATTTTTTTTTATCTTTTATAAAGCGAACCCTAACGATCGCTGATTGATCACCTCGACCTAATAATTTGTCAATATGTTCTTGTTGCTTGATCTGATAAGGAAAATGGTTTTAAAAATTAACGTTACATAATAAATTAAAAATGTTTTTTTTATTCAAGTTTTTAAGTTTACAAACTTAAATGCTTTTAAGTTAGAACTTAAAGAAGCTTGTCAAGTTTTAATAAATTCAAGTTTGCGCTTAAATATTTAAGTTTACAGAAATTCAACTTTTCCAACTTTACAAACTTGAATTCTTTTAATATTTAAGCTTGAAAATGCAAACTTTAATGAATTTAAGTTTGAACTTAAAATAAAAACCACTAATCATTAATTTTAAAAAATTCCTGCCTCAAAGTTGGGAAGCCTATCCAAATTTTCCCCTTCTCCTTTTCTATTGTCATCTTCTCCGTGTCCATATCCCAAAAAGCCTTCATTCCTCCTCATTATACTTGTTGTATTTTGCTTTTTTATTTTAATATTTTCAAAAAACATTCTTCTTATTCTTTTTTGAAATACTTCTTTTCCAAAATTATTTTTAGTTTTATTGTAATGTTTATTTAAATGTTGATAATGTTGAAAATTAGGTGATTTGAAGCTCTGATCATTTCTCTGAATATTTTGAGTTTTAAGTTTACAAACATTTTCTTGCTGTTAACAGTCTCAAGTTTATAATTTAATATTTATTTATTTCAAGTTTACAATCTTAAGTTTTGACAGATAATTAAATTCAAGTTTATTTAATTTTACAATCTTAAGTTTTCAAGTTTATTTAAGTCTATTTAATAAATTCAAGTTTATTTAATTCACAAACTTAAGTTTTGTTGGGTTTACTTAATTTCAAGTTTATTTAATTTTACAATCTTAAGTTTTTAAGTTTATTTAATTTGTACAACCTTATTTTTCAAGTAAATTCAAGTTTATTTAAGTTTGCAATCTCGAAAATTAAAAAACTAAAATGTTACAAACTTGAAAACTATTTCAAACTTATAGGCTTCTTAATACCTTATTTAATATTAAAAATTCACCTTCCATCTCATTTTGTAATTATTATCAACTTGATCAGTTATTATTCTAGCAAAATGCCTCCTCCTAGCATTAACTAAACAGTTTGCTGCTAGAACTAGATCCATTTTATCTTCTACTCTGTAAAGGCAATCTGCTAGATGTTTTTGTTCTTCTAGTTATTTTATAAGTCTTGACAAATTATTTAATTTAATTTAGTCACCTTTTGATAGTTTCTGGTAAAGTGTCCTTCCAAGACTACCCATTAAAGCTTTCAATCCAGTAGCAAACCAGTTAGCGTGAATATTCCTCACTAATTGAAAATTGCGTTCGTTTACACGCATTTTATCGAATTTTTCCAAGCCTAATAATTTTTAGGATTAAAATAATTAAGTTTAGTTTATTGAAATGTTTATTAGTTAGAAATTAAATTTTTTTGGCTTTCAAATTACTCTCAAATCTGGAATTTAACGCTAAGTGTAACTGAGTACGCTACTGAGTAACACCAATTCGAAAACATATAAGTTAGCCTTTAAAAGTCCGAAAATTTTGAAATTTTTATCTAAGGTATATAACACTTCAGAGAATGCCTATGCAAACTTTCACAATTTTGAGTTTTAATCTAGTCATTTTATAAGCTACTACCCTCACACGTTAGACTTCAATAACTTCACGGCCTATAAAATCGCTTATAGTTAACCAAAAATTCTGAAATTTTTAGGGATGCTAGGAAACACTAAAAAGAACATCTCTGCAAAATTTCATATTTTTCGGACTTAATCTGACTTTTTTATAAGCTTAAATCTAACCATAGTCGCCTACTTTGCCCTCACCCTTAACCAAGCGAATTTAAAAATTACCTTCCAATTTATTTAAATTATTACAATAAAAATGTCCAAATAAATTTAAAAAGTGTGTCAAATAAAAAATAATGCGAGTTTTAAACATTTTAAATTTTATTTTGAATTTTTGTTTCAAGGGGAATCATTGTAAACACAAGTAAATCATGTCTAGTTTATTTAAACTTTAACCAAGTTTATTTATATTAAAATTTATTCAGCATTAAAATTCTTGTTTTAATATATTCCAAATATTAATAATCCTATAATAATCTTTTTTCTCGTTTAAATTTATTTTTGAACCTTTTTAAAAAATTTGGGAGAGAAAAGTAGGTCATTTTTGGGGAACATTTTTCTCTCTCCCTCATTTTCCCTCTTTTTCACTTTTTTGGAATTTATTAAAAATTTTTAAATATTTTTATACCAATTCCTCTTTAATCTACTTGTTCTTCTTCTATTTTTAGAGATAATCCCTCCCTTTCAACACCTTTTTTGCCGTTGCACTTTTCATAAATAGAATGATAATGCATGCCTCCCCTTAATAAACAGGAAAATAGAAGAAAATTTTGATAGGCTTTTATTTTATTTTTTTTTGACATCCATTTTAGGCACTTGGATAATTATAAGAACTTTTATAATTGACAATAAAACTGTTACTTTTTGGAATTTATAAAGCTTGCCTTATAAACTTTTCAAGTTTGCAAACTTAAAGTTTATTTAACAAGTTTTATTTTCTGAATAAAGTTTTAAGTTTACCAACTTTTTTAAAACTTGTTTTAAACTTTATGCTTAAGTTTACAAACTTGAATTTAAGTTTATAAACTTATAAGAATATTAAAACTTGAATATTAAAACTTGAATTAAATAAAACTTAAATTCAAGTTTGCAAACTTAAGCGTTTGAAACAAGTTTTAAAAAAGTTGGTAAACTTGAAACTTTATTCAGAGAATAAAACTTGTTTAATAAACTTTAAGTTTGCAAACTTGAAAAGTTTATAAGGCAAGTTCAGAAACTTATATGTAAGAATATTAAAACTTGAATATTACAAACTTGAATTAAATAAAACTCTATTTTTCGAATAATTAAGTTGGATAATATTGCTAATAAAATTCAATTAAAAATAATTTTTCATTAAATAAATGAATTTATTTAATTAATACATATTCAAACTCCACATCTAGCCGTATGCACAGTATTAAGTAACCCATATCCTCCATTTTTACAGAAATCTTCGGGGTCGTCAGACTCCAGCGATTTTAAAAGGACGCCCCCAAGACGGCGCTGTAAGGCGTATTGGACCTAAAATTTTTTTTAATTTTTTTTAATTTTCGAAAAAATTTTCAAATACTCCTCAACCTTATATTTAATAGTTTGTTCATTTTCCCCACTCAACCACTCTTCACCAGTCTTCCAATACGACGTAACAGCATCGTATCTTGTGTGGTGTTGAACACCCGGTTTTCTAATGAATTGGCAAACCTATCGGAATTTTTAAGAAAATAAAAAAATATTTTCAACCTCCTTTTGTGTAACAATTAAAGGCTCTGCTTTTTCCTCCTCACGCTTTTGCAAAATTGCAAAAGTGGGTAATTCGAGTATAATCAAGTTGGATTTTATTTTGGCTTGTTCAAGTGTTAAAATTGTCGCACTCTTAAGTTTTAATATTTTTTGTATTTTTCAAGTTTATTTTTTTTCAGAATTTATTTCAGAATTTCTTGTGTTTTTTTATGTGTTTTCTTTGTGTTTTATACCAGAATTTATTCCAAGTTTATTTTTATCAGAATTTTATGAAATACATTTATTCTGATTTTTGTGTTTTTCCGTATTTTAAATTTATTTTTAATTCTGATTTTGTATTTTATTCTTATTTGTGTTTTGTTCTGATTTCCAAGTTTATTTTTAATTCAAGTTTATTTTTTGTATTTTCTCGTGTATTTTCTGATTTGTATTTTTTCAAGTCATTTTAAATTCTGCTTTTTTGTATTTTTTCTTATTGTATTTTCTTTGTATTTTCTGTTTTAATTTTCAAGTTTATTTATTTAATTTATTCTCCTGCCTGTGTATCAGTATTTTCCTGATTTGCAATACCCGATGGATACAGAGGATTTAGAACTTTAGCTTTAGCCTTGGAAAGTGCAATACTTGAAGGGAGCAAAATAAACTTTAGCTGTAATTTAATTAATTATTTAAATTTTTTTGTAATTTACCAATTTGTTTAATTGTTCAGGCTCATAAACCTCACTAATATTTTTACGAGAGAGTTGAATTCTGAAAAAAATTCATAACTTAATTTATACCGAACAAATAAATATGAAATTCTCAGATTAACTAGCTAACAGTCAAAGAAAGCTATCTGCCAAATTTCATAATTTTAACTACATTTTAAACAATTTTATGAATTTTTAAATAACGCTAGTATTTTTCTGAGAGATGGTGAACGCAGTCAATACTTTAGGCCATAACTTGTTCTACACTTTACCAAAAATTATGAAATTTTCAGGTTAACTAGATAACAGTCTAAGAAAGCTATCTGCAAAATTTCACGATTTTAACTACATTTTAAACACTTTTATAAATTCTCAAGTCAGTCGACTTCTCTAAAAAGGGTCTACTACTAATCCAGACCAATTTAAAAAAATTCACTTTAAAGCCAATCTAGGCATACAATCCATCAACTCATCCACTACATTCTTCTCATTTTCCTTTTCGTTCTCCTTTTCAAATAGTTCAGAATTTAATTCGTTTAAAAATTGGCTAAAATCTCTGCGGAGAGGGGGGCGCATGTAATTGTCGCAGTCCAAAAGTAACTTTAAAATAAAATTTTTTTAATTAAAAAATATTTTTTTGTTCAAAAAATATTTTTAAATTTAATTTTGAATCGTTAGGAGTCTAAAAAAATCGAAAAAAATTCAAAAAAATTTTGTTTTATTAAAAAGCTTCCAAAAAATTACCCCAGACAATTGGTAGGTAGTCATAAGCTTGTTTAGCGCAGCTACTGTTTTTTCCCGCTTTCGATCTAAAAAAATTTTTTTAATTCTAAAATTCAATCTCTACCATTAATTATCCGTTCCCACTGGGTTTGACTCATATCACACCCAACTTCTCCCCACAAATTAATTTTTTCTTTTTTATTAGCTATTGAAACAATTTTCTCCAATTTTTCTTTATTTTCCTCATTTTCAACAGTTTTTCCATGTTCATCTAATTTTGCCAAATTATTAATTAAAAATACATTGCATTGTTTCAATGGAAGTTTGGCTAACATCTGTGGGAATTTTTAAAGAAGTTATATTTGGAACATGATTTTTATGCTTGAAAAATCTTAAAATGTCAAAGGATATGCGTGGAATGTCGAAATATGCATGAAAATATATATTGAATATTTTTTCGAAAAATAAATCGAAATATGCAAGAAAATCGAAATATGCATTAAAATATGCACGAAATGTCAAAAATGCCAAAAATGTCAAGTAATTTGAAAAAATGTTAAAAATATTTTAGAAAATAAAATAATAAATTTACAAACATCAATTTCAACATTATCCAAAGAAAGAGAACAAAACACCGTAAAATTAGTTGTAAATTCATTAAATTGTTGACAACGCAAAGCTTGGTCGTTTGCTATTTTCTTTGCTTTTAAACTTGAAATAAAACTTGCATTTTACAATTGTAAAAATAATTAAATCACTCTTTCTCCTCTTCAGTTAATTCGCCTTCTTCGTCATCAGAATTTTCTAGTAATTCAGGAGAAGAAGGATTCTGATTTTCTTTAGTTGTATTTTTATTGTTTGTTTTTACAGAAGAAACATCGCAATTGTAACACGTCTGAATTATTTAATAAAAATCAGAATTTGTAAATTTAAAATTAAAAAATACAAATCAGAATTTGTAAAAAAATACAAATCAGAATAATGAAAATACAAATCAGAATTTTTAAATCAGAATTTGTAGAAAAATACATTTCAGAATAAATAGAAAAATACAAATCTGAAACAGAAACCAGAATTTGTAAATCAGAATTTACAGAAAAATAAAAATCAGAATTTTCAAAAATCAGAATTTGTAAAATACAAGGTTTATTTTACAAAATGCTTTTTTTCATTTTCATTGCAAATCCAAGTTTATGAAAATGAAATGTAATTTGTTTTTACAAAATCAGAATTTGTATTTTAAAAATACAAACAAAAATCAGAATTTGTAAAATTTAATTTTTGCCAAATAATATGTATGTATATTTTACCTGGCTTTGAGCAATTGTTCTAAGCAAATGAAACGGTTCCCCTTCAGGACACTCCCCAGCAATATTGTCATGCTCAAGACCGTGAAGGGCAATTCCAGCAATGTTTTGAAGGGACAACCAAACAGTCTATTTAATTATTTTATTTTTTAATTCTCCCACAGGTACTTTTCCGTTATGACGTAACCCCCTAAATTAATGTTCAAAATGTCATATTTAGGGTAGAAAAATGTGCTGAGTCGAACAGTACCACTCTTTTTTTACGGAGATGCCTGTGGACCGAGATATAGGGCTCGAAATGGTCAAAAACTATAGGGGGGGGAGTAAGCTCAATTTTGGGGTGAAAAATTCCATTTTTTGAATGATAGCTATTTCGAAAGAGCTCCTCGAGCTGAGTCAAATGACACCGAAATCAGCTCGAAATCTTGATTTTGAAATGAGATGAACAAGCTCAAAATGGTCAACGTAAACCTATGGGGCGTAGGCATGGCGCACTCCCTTTATGGTTTATGACCATTTCGAGCTCTATATCTCAGTCCACAGGCATCTCCGTGAAAAAAAGTGGTACCGTTCGACTCAGCACCTTTTTCTACCCTAAATATGACATTTTGAACATTAATTTAGGGTATTACGTCATAACGGAAAAGTACCCTCCCACAAAATACCTTAATTTGTATAGAACGACTGTTATCAAAAGCAATAAATTCCCTATCATTATTTACTAGATAAGGAACGCCAAGTTCGTTTAGAAAATGTGAAATTGTGGTCGCTTCTTTCATTATTGTGCAAACCTTTTAATTTTTAGTTGTATACAAAATTAATTAAATACTTGTGTCTGTGAAACCACTCCAGGCCCATGGGCTCTTATTCTATTTTGGGAAATTGAAGAGGCTGATTCGCCAATTCTTCTCGATTCCCAAGAACGAGTGCCATAAATATCCTCCACAAAGTGTTGAGACATAGCCTCTGCCGAGAGGGAAACGATTAACTAAAAAATTAGGAAAAACTCTATATAATGGACTCTCACTACAATGGACTCTCGCTAAAATGGACACCCCTTAGAATGGACTCTATATAGTGGACTCTCTTTAGAATGGATGCTCTCTATATGATCGACGCTCTTTAGAATGTACCCTCTCTAAAATAGACCTCTCTATAATGTACACTCTCTATAAGGGATTCATCCACATCCTCCAGCCCATTCTGACTTAATTTTTATAATTCCAAAAAATATTTTTTAAATAAAATTTCCTTGCCTTTTTCCGAGGAACCTTCTTATAAATCAACTCCTCTAGCGTGCCTTGAATAGTCATCTTTGGCTGATTAAGCAACGTACTGTTTTTAAACAGAGGTGAATGATGTCCAGTGTGTGTATTTGTAGAGCGATGGTAGCGATAACTTTTTTTGAATTTTTAAGAAGGTAAAAGAGTTTGAGAATTACCCAATAGCAACAATATAGTCAACGGAACGAACCATGTTGGCAAAATCAAAGTTGAGCTGGTCAACAAAACTGATGGGGTTTAGGCTGATCTTTAAGGGTGTGGGGGAAGGGTTATAAAGTGAATATAATTTTTAAAAAATTAAAGAAAAATTTTAAATTTTTAAAGATGATTTAGAAGCATGGTTCATGAGTATAGAGTAAAATTTTTTCCGGCAAAAAAAATTTTCTGAAAAATTTCTGATTTTTTTGGGATCGAAAATAGACACTAGAAAATAAAGGAAAAAATTATAATTATCGTCGATTTAATTTTAAATCAAAACCCTTCCAATCCCCTTTAAAACCCCACCAAAATCTGTTTCTTCCAGCCCAAAGTTCTCCTCAAATCAGCAAGAAAAGAATTCATTTGATAAGCATTATTAGGCCCATCTAGCCCCCCATTAGCACAATTCAATTCCACACCATCAGCATTGTGCTCATCCAGTAAATGTCGAATTCTTTCAATTAAGATAAAACGGGTTGGTGTAGCGGTAGCAATTCTCCATTGCTCGACAGTTCCAGAGAAAGAAATTATTCTGATTTTAATTAAATTCTGATTCTAATTAAATTCTGATTTTAATTAAATTCTGATTTTAATTAAATTCTGATTTTAATTAAATTCTGGTTTTATTAAATTCTGGTTTTAATTAAATTCTGATTTTATTAAATTCTGGTTTTAATTAAATTCTGATTTTAATTAAATTCTGATTTTTATTAAATTCTGATTTTTGTTAAATTCTGGTTTTAATATATTCTGATTTTAATTAAATTCTCTTTTATTATGGTAAAGTTGTATTTCAAGTTTTATTAAAATTCTGATTTTGCAACTTTATAAAAATAGGTTTATTAAAAGCAAGTTTATTTATTGTACTATATTATGATCTCAAGTTTTGTAAAATTCTGATTTTTAATGTTTTAAGTTTATTTTTACAATTCTGATTATTCTGATTTTCTTAAGTTTGCACTTGTAAACTTAATAGTCATAATTTTTATTTTTTCTAAGTTTGTACAATTCTATATTTATTTCTACAAGTTCTGATTTTAATTCTATTAACTCAAAAACCTACAAAAAAGGTTTCCTTTCCCGTTCCCAATCATTATACAATTTAAGTGCCAGGTTCATTCCTTTACTTGGGCCAGAATAAACATAGGGATTTACAGATGCTTGCCCTATTACCATATGAGAACACCAGCCAGGTTGAAGTTGTTCAAACTCGAAGGAATTTCTGCTTTCTTCTAAATCAAGGAAGCAGAGACGAGTGCATTCTCCTTAGAATTGTAAAGGAAAAATTCGATTTGAAGTAAAAATTTAGAACCAAGCTGTTCCAAATTCCCCCGTTTTGTCCCACGACGGCATTTGAAGCGGTCACCAACTGTTCTGTGTAAAGGAAGAAGACCTCTCGTACAGTTGTTTAAAGGGTCGTCTCCCTTGGAAAAAAATTTTTTTCTAGAGAAAATTAAAAATCGAATCTACTTGAATACTAAAAAGCCCAATCCCCCCAAACTCATGGTTTGAAATCCAATCAAGTTTGTGAATAAAAGCGGCATGTTCTGGCTCGTTAAAGGAGTACCATTGGTCCTCTATTATTAATGAAGTTGTTTCAGATCTGTTGTCGTATTGTAATTGTTGATGCTTGTTTTTGGAATCGAGAAAATGGCAAACCTTTAATTAGTTTTCTGATTTCAAGTTTTGATTAAATTCTGATTTTCAAGTTTATTATATTAATTTTGTATTTAAAATTTTATTCATAATCTTAGGTTTATTATTTAAATTACAATTTTTAAGTTCAAAAATAAACTTGAAAATTACAAATTGTGATTCAAGTTTATTTAAAATTACAATTTGTAATTCAAGTTTATATTTAAAATTACAAATTGTAATTTCAAGTTTATTTAATATTACAATTTGTAATTCTAAGTTTATTTAATATTACAATTTGTACTTTTCAAGTTTATTAAAATTACAATTTGCAACTTTAAATTAAACCTGGAATTACAAATTGTAATTTTAAAGTTTATTTTTTTTACAATTTGTAAATTTCAGGCTTATTTTTAATTATATTACAATTTGTAATTTATTTTTATATTACAAGTTTATTCTAAACATTCTACTAACGCAAAAGCCTTTATTATATAATTTAAAAGCCTTTTTATCCACCTCATGATACCCCAAAGTTCCATCAGCCTGTCCACTATCTTCATTTGAATACACTAAACTTTCAACTTCCGGCATTTTTGATTCTTCATTTTTTCTAATAAAATAGCTTCTAGCCCAAGTGCTCAAACCAATAATTATTTTCTTTCGAAGAACGCCTGATCCCGCAAGGTGCTCTTTCAAAATAAAAAAATTTGTTTGATAATTTTTTTAATTTATTAAAATTTCAATTTAACTACCAGCATTTCGAGCTAACGAATCCTTTAAAGGCACAAGCTCTGAATTGTGCAAAGGGTCCACTGGAACAGCCACACTTAAATTTATTTAAAGAAATTTTATTTTTCCTTGAAAAATTAATTATTTACGAGGGTATAGGAAATTCACTGGTAGAGCTAATTTCATCAGCCCACAAATAAAAAGCATCAAAATAAGCGTCAAATTTAGGCATTCTTCGATATACATATTTAACCCAATTTGAACTGGGAAAATTTTAAAAATTAAATTCTAATTAATTTTAATTAGTTATTCACCTTATAGAAAGTATTAATCTTAATTTTCTCATCCCAGACCTTTTCTTTTCTTTTTTAATTTCATCACCTAGTAGCTCAACAAATTGTTCAAACCCTGGCGTTAGCAAAACATCAGAATCAAATTTTAAAACTTTAAAAAAATTTAAAAAAATAATGAAGAGATAAAAATACATATTCCACTAAATCCATAACGTTTGGTAAAGAAAACCATTCGACGAGTTACATTTTGAGCCAATTCTGGGCGTTTTAGGTCAAGGAAATGAGCGTTGGATGCCTGCAATATTATCATAGCGTATATTATAAATAAATAAACTTGGAGATTTTAGAAATCAGAATTACAATTGTAAAATAGAAAAATAAACTTGGATAAAATACAAATAAGAAGTGAAAATAAACTTGAATTTAAAAATAAACTTGGTAGTGAAGAAAAATAGAAAATACAAAAAAACACAAATGAACAAAGTAAAATACAAAAATCAGAATTTAACTTGAAACAGAAGAAAATAAACTTTAAAAGAAAAATAAACTTTAAAAGACAAAAACACAAACTTATAATAAAACACAAAAATCAGAATTTAAAATAAACTTGAAACAGAAAAATAAAAATAAACTTGAATTCTGATTTAATAAAACTTGAAATAATAAAATCAGAATTAATTAAATATTTCAGAATTAAATATTCTGATTTTTACCATTTTCATTCCTAGCAGCACACGTGGAGAAGTAGAAATTAACTGTAACGACGTTATTAATTTAAAATTGCCATAATATGAATGGGGAATTAAATCCAGTTTTGTTGGCAATTTAAGTCCATTATCGTTTACTTCAGCAAAGCCTTTAATTTATTTTTTCTAATTTTTTTATTTAATTCTATTTAATTAAAGTACCATAAACTATGTCAGAACAGCTTATGTTCTTGTAGAAATGAAGGTCAATTTGGACGTTATCCTTTAAAAATTGAGTAAATTTAGTGTTAATTATGGGCTTATTTAATGAAAATTAATTTTAAAAAATTTCTGATTTTTTTCTGATTTTTTTACCTTTAACGGAACAAAAAAACAATAAAAAGCACACTTGTCAAGCTCAAATTTAAGAGCATTTTGTTCACTAACTTCATCAACACGAAATTCTGGTTCAATTTCTAATGGTGGACGCTTTTTTGCTTCACAACTCAAAGCGAGTAATAAAATTAAAAATAATTGGAAGATTTTCCCAAGAGGGAAGGCCATAATGCTTCGTTTTGATTAAAATTAATAAAAATTCTGATTTCAAGTTTATTTTATTTAATTCTGAAAAATAAACTTTGTTATAAAATTCTGATTTGTTTTCAAGTTTTATTAAATAAATTCAAGCTTGTTTCTATATAACAAATAATTTTCATCAGAACAAGTAATTCTGATTTCAGGTTTATTTATTTCAGAATTTTTAAATAAACTTGAAAATAAATAAACTTTAATTATAACTCCAAGTTTATTTATTCTGATTCAAGTTTTAAAGTTTAATTTCAAGTTAATTAAAATTCTGAAATTGAATTCTGATTCTGAATAAAGTTTTGAATAAATTTACAGGGTTAACATTTAATTAATTTAATAAGGAAGATTGTCAACAATATTTTTAATTTAATAAAATGAGAAAATGACAACGTCCCATTCCATTATCAATTATTTCATAAACTACACCTTTCACTCAACTTTTTTACAAAATTTTTTTTTGAAAATTAAAAAGCAACTTAAATTATTTTTAAATTAAATAAAAGATGAGAATGTAAAACATTAATTTTCAGAATTTACAAATAAATGCTAAATGATTTAACAATGAAAATGTTTCCAATTCTTGTAGTAAACGGGGTACTTTGTTCATATCCCATTCCCCACCCCTATTTTAGTCTCTGATTAATTTTGGTTTTTTTTTATTTTCTGCCTCAGAATGGATGCCTTTATTTAAATATTGAGCCGTTAGTTTGATTTTTTGAGACTATATCTGTTCCTTCCTAATAACTTCCTTTTACCTAAATTTTTGAGAAAAATTAATGATTAACAAAAAAAGAAAATTAATCTGAGACTCATCTATTTCTAATTTTTTTAACAAGAAAATTTTTTCCAAAATAAAAAAATTATTTTATTTCAAAATTATGTTAACAAAAAAATTAAAAATAAATTTTAACATAAAAAAACATTGACAAAAAATTTTTTACAATTAAAAAATTTTTTTCAAAATTAACACATCTGATGATGTGTCATTTGTATGTGTGCTTTTAGCATGTATTCTTTAGAAAAAGCCACCAATTGGTATTAAATTGAATTTTTTGTGGTTTTTTATATTTATTTTTGAGGTAGAATAGGGTAAAGGGTATATGTAGGGTAAAGGGTAGAATTGGGTAGGGGTATATATAAAAGTTTCATTTTATTGTATTTAAATAATTTTTTTTATTATCCCATAACATTGTTACCATTTTTTTTTCGTTGTGGTCTTTAATATTAAAAAAACTAAACTATCAATTTCGAACTAAATGATGAAAACTCTTCTAGTTCAAAAAACTTATATCTCATTTATTTTCACAAAAAATTGACTGCACAATGAAGAAACTAGACTTTGATTGAATCCGAAGTTAACCAAAAATGGTTTAAAATATTTTTTCAAATATTAAAAGAATACCGGGTCTAATTCAAAATTTGGAGTCATATCAGGAAAAGCAATTCCCCTCTTTCTACAAAAAGCTTGACAATAAATCACAGCTTTATCACACGAATTCAAACAGACTCATCAGGTTTAGGATGAAATAATGAATTTGTTGAACATTCAGACCATCCAAAGTTTACTGTGTAAACTTCTCCAGAAACAACTGGTTCAAAAACAAGTTTTAAATTGCCATCATTGTCCGGTTCCTCTTTCAACGTAAAACCACAAAAAATTCAATCCCTTAAATTAAAAATTTATATCGTAATTAAAGGGAAAATTTTTAATGAATAATTCTCTAGCGATATAAATTTTTAATTTAAGGGATTGAATTTTTTGTGGTTTTACGTTGAAAGAGGAACCGGACAATGATGGCAATTTAAAACTTGTTTTTGAACCAGTTGTTTCTGGAGAAGTTTACACAGTAAACATTGGATGGTCTGAATGTTCAACAAATTCATTATTTCATCCTAAACCTGATGAGTCTGTTTGAATTCGTGTGATAAAGCTGTGATTTATTGTCAAGCTTTTTGTAGAAAGAGGGGAATTGCTTTTCCTGATATGACTCCAAATTTTGAATTAGACCCGGTATTCTTTTAATATTTGAAAAAATATTTTAAACCATTTTTGGTTAACTTCGGATTCAATCAAAGTCTAGTTTCTTCATTGTGCAGTCAATTTTTTGTGAAAATAAATGAGATATAAGTTTTTTGAACTAGAAGAGTTTTCATCATTTAGTTCGAAATTGATAGTTTAGTTTTTTTAATATTAAAGACCACAACGAAAAAAAAATGGTAACAATGTTATGGGATAATAAAAAAAATTATTTAAATACAATAAAATGAAACTTTTATATATACCCCTACCCTATTCTACCCTTTACCCTACATATACCCTTTACCCTATTCTACCTCAAAAATAAATATAAAAAACCACAAAAAATTCAATTTAATACCAATTGGTGGCTTTTTCTAAAGAATACATGCTAAAATCACACATACAAATGACACCCCACCAGATGTGTGAATTTTGAAAAAAATTTTTTAATTGTAAAAAATCTTTAAATTAAATAATAAAAACAACTTTAATTTATTCTTCGGCAAATGTTTTTGTTAGGACTCTCTTTAAAAAAATTCTAAAAATGACAACACAAAAATTATTTAAAATTTTAAACCAGAAAATTCTCTCACCATAAATGGAACTTAAGAAAATTTTTCCCATATAAGGTTTTATTAACTCTGGTCTAGTTTAGTAGGCCAATAAAAGTTTAATTGTCTCGGCTTCAGACTGTAGGAGGAGGAAGGGGCTAAAATCTAAAAATTCAGAAAAATAAATTCAATAAAAACAAATTATATACGATAAAAAATTTTTGGATTTATAAAAAAATTAATTATTTTATGAGAAAAAAATAGTATCAAAACGATCTTTATTTTCCTCGGTTAAAATAATTCGCTTCCGTCCAATTGCATTGGCCGCTATTAATTTAAATTTAATCCCCCCAATTTTCTTCAGATCACCATCGAATGTAATTTGACCGGTAGCAACCAGATCTGGTAAAAAATAATTTAATAATTAAATGAAACTTTTATTTTTTTTCATCCCCTACCCCTATTTTACCCACAAAATATAAAATCTTTTAAGAATTTTTACTCACCTTCAGGTGGTTTTTGTCCCAAAATAATGGAAAGGAGTGCAATGGTGAAGGAGTCTCCGCAGCTGGGACCAGTTAATTGCTCATACTGAAATTTAAGGAAAAATATTTAAAAAACCGTGTCAATATCGAAGGCCGCATTTTTTAAGGCAACATAATCTTTCTTCGAAGACACAACGAAGAGACGTAGACCTTCAGTTGTTGTAACGTATTTCAGTATTAAATCCTCACTGTGCACAAGTGAGTTTTCAAGCCGAAATAGGCTAAGTCCTGCAGAAACAATAAAGATTCCGCCACTGAAGACTTTTTCATTTATAATTACTTCTTTCCCTTCAACCATTACTGTCCGAGTAACGATATGTTCTTAAAAACGTTTTTAAACGGTAAAAAATATTTTTAATTTTCGTTTAAATTTAGCTAGACTCCCTTAATATTTATTGTTTATGCCAACAAATTTTCATCATTCCAAATCTCCCCCTATGGGTTCAGACCCTTTCTAGGCAATTTTGAGTTTAAGTAAAAGGTTCCCCGTTGAATTTTTTGTCGCAATAGAATTATTGACTTTAACTCCTTTCCAATTATTTGTGGACACAAATAAATTGACACAAATAATTGGGGTCTGATTTAATTTTTAACAGCATTTGTAAAACTGAAAATTTTATTTGGGAAATTTTACAGTGTTAGGAAATGAAAATTTTTTTTGTTTCAGGAGACGAAACTGACTGGTGTTAGCCTTGCTTTGTCCTTGATAATCTGTATCATGAGTTTTGTTCTGAAGCGTTTGCCGCCTGCTGGTAATTAATTTTACATTTAAGTTTAGGGGAAAAGGGGAATTAAATTAGAAAAATTTTTTTTGAAATTTTGATGTTTTTATTTTTCAGACCTATGCTGCATAGGTCTGAAAAATTAAAAACATCTGCATAGGTCTGATATGCAGCATAGGTCTGAAAAATAAAAACATCAAAATTTCAAAAAAAATTTTTCTAATTTAATTCCCCTTTTCCCCTAAACTTAAATGTAAAATTAATTACCAGCAGGCGGCAAACGCTTCAGAACAAAACTCATGATACAGATTATCAAGGACAAAGCAAGGCTATCACCAGTCAGTTTCGTCTCCTGAAACAAAAAAAATTTTCATTTCCTAACACTGTAAAATTTCCCAAATAAAATTTTCAGTTTTACAAATGCTGTTAAAAATTAAATCAGACCCCAATTATTTGTGTCAATTTATTTGTGTCCACAAATAATTGGAAAGGAGTTAAAGTCAATAATTCTATTGCGACAAAAAATTCAACGGGGAACCTTTTACTTAAACTCAAAATTGCCTAGAAAGGGTCTGAACCCATAGGGGGAGATTTGGAATGATGAAAATTTGTTGGCATAAACAATAAATATTAAGGGAGTCTAGCTAAATCTAAACGAAAATTAAAAATATTTTTTACCGTTTAAAAACGTTTTTAAGAACATATCGTTACTCGGACAGTAATGGTTGAAGGGAAAGAAGTAATTATAAATGAAAAAGTCTTCAGTGGCGGAATCTTTATTGTTTCTGCAGGACTTAGCCTATTTCGGCTTGAAAACTCACTTGTGCACAGTGAGGATTTAATACTGAAATACGTTACAACAACTGAAGGTCTACGTCTCTTCGTTGTGTCTTCGAAGAAAGATTATGTTGCCTTAAAAAATGCGGCCTTCGATATTGACACGGTTTTTTAAATATTTTTAATAAAAAATATTTTTCCTTAAATTTCAGTATGAGCAATTAACTGGTCCCAGCTGCGGAGACTCCTTCACCATTGCACTCCTTTCCATTATTTTGGGACAAAAACCACCTGAAGGTGAGTAAAAATTCTTAAAAGATTTTATATTTTGTGGGTAAAATAGGGGTAGGGGATGAAAAAAAATAAAAGTTTCATTTAATTATTAAATTATTTTTCACCAGATCTGGTTGCTACCGGTCAAATTACATTCGATGATGATCTGAAGAAAATTGACCTCTTTTTAATTTTGACCCGATTAAAAAATGTTTTAAATATTTTTAAAATTTTTGTAAATTTGTGCTGTATAGTTATAGCAAATCCTACACCCTTTCATTTCTCACTTAACATTTTGCCAAAAAATTTTTTTCCAGAAATATTTCAAAAAATACTCTACTAATTTTGGAGGTATAGAACATTAACGAGAGTCCTAACAAAAACCCCAAACCCCCTCTTTCTCTCTATTTAGCCCACCCCATTTGCCGAAAAATAAAGTTAACACAAAACAAATGAAAAACATAAATTCAAAAAAATTCAAACTTAACAAAACTGAGACATTTTCTTTCAAAATCCAGGAGGGTTCCAATCAATTTGTTGAGGGACTTGAACATCTTCAAATACTTCTACTCGATCATCCTCCTTGTAAGATACATTTTTGTCAGCTATTGCGACACCTTTTAATAATTGTTTAAAAAATTGTCAAAAGTTTTCAAAAATTTTTTGGTAAAAATTGCCAAAAATTAAAAAATATTTTTTTGAAATTCAAAAAATTTTTTTAGATTCAAGAAAATTTTTTTCTGGATTTTTTGATAAAAAATTTTCAATTTTATTGGAAATAGAAAAAATTGTATCGAAAAAATTCACTTAGATTTTTTAAAAATCTTTCAAAAAATTTTTTTAATTTTTTTACCTATTTGCATATCTGTAGTTGCTTGATTTATTGCTTGTCCTTCGCATTCCATAGAATTTATAGTCCCCTCATATAATGTTATGTTCTCTGAAATATTAATAAAATTATTGGAGAAAATTAAAATAATCATTTTTAATTTAAAATTTAGGACAAACAATGGTTAGCAAAAATCAAAAAAAAAAATTTTTTAACCCAAAAACGATTGAATATCCCACAAAAATTCAAAAAATTAATTTCCAAAAAAATTAAAATTTGAAGTATTATGTATTTGCTTTGGCACACGGAGCTGAAAAGGAAGTGCTCCAAAATTCATGGGCTCCAAGAATTTTAAAATCCTCAAAGACTTGGCCCAGGATTTGTGAAAGTCGGAACAAAGCCAACCACAAAATACCCCAATACACAGTACTAGACATGACTTTTTTAGTTAATACAGTTCTACTCGATTTTGGACAATTTTAGTGTTAATTAAAAAATAAAAAAAACAACAAACCTTCTTCTAAACTTGCATTTCCACTTCTTACAAAACGCCAGATAAATTTCCTTTAAAAATTTCATTTAGAAAATTATTTTTCAAATTTCCAAACCTATCCATTTTTCCCCAATCAACTTTTATTCCAGCTACAGGTTGCTTCTTTTTTTGTCCATCCTTAAGTTTATAAGCACGTATAACTGTTCCAGCACCAACTAAGCGACGTTCAAGTATTGGAGTAATTTTTTGTGTTAATAGTTCCTTTAAGAAAAAAATATATAATTTTTTTTTTAAATTTTAATAAAATTTTCAAAGGGGAGGGATAAGACAATTATAGACAAAAATTGCGGATATAAAATTAAAAAAAAAAATTTTATTTTGCCCAAGCTTTCAGATCCGTATCAATTCAGAAAATCATTAGAAAAATATTAACACGGTTCGAAAAGCCGTTATCAGATGGCATTAAACAAGACAGACTCTTAACTTCAAAAAAAATTTTTATTAAAATTATATCCGCAATTATCGTCCGCAAATTTCCACTACCCCCTTTTTAAGGATATATAAAAATTAAAAAATGTTTTTTTTGTTGTTTTTGAAAATTTGGTCATTTCTCTTGAAATTCATTCAGAATCTTACAGAATTTTTTAGAGTTTAATAAAAAAAATTAAAATTTTAAACCTTTAATCTATCCACAAATTTGTAAATAACATGAAATTCTTCTAAAGGCACTCCTTTACGTTTAGCCAAATCTTTGATATATTGATGAATTGGTGCATTAAATGAAAGGGCATAAGCTGAAATTAAAATAAAATTTTTAAAAATAAAAAATTTATAAAAAATGTTTCAATAAATTTAAACTTTAATCAGAAAGATTAAATTAAATCAGATATTTTGTCAGCTTAAGAAAAATAATTTTTCAGTTTCTCAAAAATAAAATTTTTTAAAAGATAAACACACTTATGTTAACAGATTTTCTAATCATTAAAAAAATTACTAAAATGTTTTTAGTTTTTTAGTCATCTTAAAAAAATTTTTTGCTGGGAAATTTTATTTTGGACCAATTGTCACCTATGAATCCTACACCCAAAATATTCAAAAAAAATTCAGAAACTCTTCTACTTAAAAAATTTCTTTTAATTTTAACAAAAAAAACCTCCGATATCCGCTGCCAATTCCAAATCTTTTTCAGTTAAAGGTCCTACACCAGCATTTGCAATTTTAAGGCGAACTTGGTCTTTTGCATTATATGTTGATAAAACATTTTTAAGCGCCTAAAAAATTTTTGAAAAAATTATCAAACAAAAAAATTTTCAAAAAAAAAACCTCAAGAGCTCCATCAACATCACATCTTAAAATTATTGTTAGACTGGGAATTTCTAATGCAGCAATTTCTTCTTCATTAGGTTTTGTATAAGCATCAGGAGAGTGACTTTAAAAATGAAAAATATTAAAAATAAAATTTTGAAATCAATCCTAAATTTAAATTTGATAAAGGATTAAAAACCGCCATAAACACTATGGATGGGTAGGGTTAAGAGAAAAAAAGTTCAGGTTTCAAGTCGAGTTTCCCAAACTTTTTTCTATTCGAGTTTCGGAGATAAAAGACCAATTCTCCTACACATCCGCCTTCGAAATGCGGTAAAAATATTGTGAAAAAATCGTTACCATCCTAATTGAGATCGATTAAAACTAAGGGGTAATCAGTGCAAAAATTTTTTATTGATATATCCCACAAAATGTCAGGAAATGTGGAAAATTTATTGGAAACAAGGGGGTCTCCTATAAAAAGCCTTACAAGCTCCAATTTATCCAATAAAATTAAATAAACAAACCCGGCTCTAGCAATAATTCCTTGTTTAAACAATTCAAAACGTTGTTGTCTATATTTTTCACGAGCCTCCTCTCTTCGCTTTTCAATGATTTTCTATAAAAAAGATCAAAATAATTTATACAAAAAATTCTTTCCTCACCAAATCTTCAACAAACATTGTGTCCATTTTCTTTTGCCTTCTAAATTCCACAATCTTTTTTGCTTTGGTCAAATTTGCAACTTCAAAAGCTAATTCACCAGGGCCCTATTTCAATTGTCCACAGATTCTGCGGTCTGCGTTCTGTGCACAGACCACAGAACCACAGAAATTCTGTTTCAATTATTCCACAGATTCTGCGGAAAAAGAAGTCCGCAGATTCTGTGGAAACATGCACAGAATCTGTGGAAACATCCACAGATTCTGCAAAACATCCAAAAACATGCAAAAACCACAGAATTCTATTTCAATTATTTTTCTGTGCACAGAAAAAAATCCACAGATCTGTGGCTTTTTTAGTCGATTCTGTGCATTTCTGTTTCAATTATTTCTGTGGTCTGCGGAAAATACACAGAATTCTTTAAAAAATCCACCCTAAAATTTTTTCTGCGAACTTTCTGTGGAAAAACTTTAACAATTTTTTTCTAGGCCTAGGCTTAACCAAATTTCAAAATTTTTAAAGATTATTAAAGTTTGAATCATTCTCTATTTTTTGATATAAAAATTATAATTTTATTACCTAAAATTATTGCTTAAAATTAATTTTGAAAAAGGTACATCTTTTTTACGCAGTTTTTGTTATATTCAAGCAATAAAAAAATAAAAAACGTGAGAGATTCTGAAATTTAGAGCTATGATGTTCTAATCATCATGGATATCTCTAATGAGGGGATGTTTACCAGGATCTATAGAATATATCTGTATAGCGTATACTGGGATATCTCCCATGATCTCTCATTGATATCCGTCATAATCTCTCCTCCTATTTAATGATAGATTTCCTCCTTAATCACTCCAATATATTAAACCTCAAAATCAATGGATATCCCACTTAATCACTCCTCTACGATTTTAAAGTTCCGATTTGACTATAATTTTGGATTCCAGGCATTTTCGATTTCCAGGAACCTCAATTTCTGACTAAACAATCCCCAAACATTTCCCTCCCTTGCAACAACTTCTATCGTAGTTTGAAAAAGCCACATGTCGGATCGACATCTCCTGATTTTTCCGATCCGAACCCTGCTTTAGGACATTAATTTAATTGGAGATTTAAGGATATTGGATGAACAAGAAAATTAAGCGGTATATCAGCGGTTTTAAAGTGATATCAAAGAGATTTAAAGGGATGTTATGTGATTTGGAGGGAAAATTTTTAAATCTTTACAATATTTTTCAGTTTAATTTAAGAATTTTTAAAGTTTTACTTCAAAAAATCAGGTACCATTAATACTGCGGTAGTACCGAACTGTCCAAACCATTTTTCGTTTCAATAAAACTGTTATTTTCAAAAACGCGGAAATAAAAAATTTGAATTTAGAAGAAAAAATACACAGAACCACAGAAAAATAATTGAAATACAAATTCTGTGGATCAGTGGAAAAAATCCACAGATTTTTATATTTTCCACAGAAATTTTCATCCACAGAATCTGCGGAATGTTTCCACAGAATCATTGGATGTTTCCGCAGAATCTGCGGGCACCACAGATTCTGTGCACACAGAATTTAATTGAAACAGAATTTCCACAGAATCTGTGTTCTGTGCACAGAATGCAGAATCTGTGGACAATTGAAATAGGCCCCAGGTGGAGGTAATTCGTCTTTCCAACCTGAAAAAGAAAATATTTGTAAAAGATTTTTAATTTTTTAGTTAAAAATGGTCACAAATGTAGTTGCGGACAAGACACCCGATCTCCTCCCCAATGTATTTAGAAATCAAAAAAATTAACCAACGGATCTATAATTAATACATCCGTTCGCTTTTTCTATCTATTCATGTCGACATACAACAAAATAAAAAATAGCCCCTAAAAAAGGTCCCGGAAACTCTCACACCTTCCGTAGAACACACTACTAATTCCACCTATCCCCAGCTAAAACCCTAACTCAAAAATCTTTAACAAAATCCAAATTTAAACAAAAATTAATTTTCATACCACTAATCCTAACAGGAGTACTCGGTCCAGCTTCATCCAAAAACTTATCAAATTCATTGGATAACGTCCTAACTTGTCCATAACACGTTCCAGCAACCAAAATTGTTCCTTTCTTTAAAGTTCCTCTATTTATGATTGCTGTACAGACTAAACCGAGATCTTTAAAGAAAAAAATTTTTTTATTTAAATTAAAAAAATAAACCAGGCAAATTAGTTGATTCAACAATTGTAGCTTCTACTAAACCTTTTGGTGTTGAACTTAGTTGCATAATTTCTGATTGGAGTAATATAGCTTCCTAAAAAATGATTTTTTAAATTGAATTCTAAGGAAAAATTAAGAAATATAGACGGGAAAAAGAACAAAAAAAAAGAAAGAAAAAAATTTTAGGAAAGGAAATATTCTCATCAATTTTTAAGCGAAACATAGTGAAGGAAAACACAGGGCAAGAATTTAATTCTAAAAAATCCCAAAGTTTATTGTTAGTGGAAAAGGAGTCTCATTTTCCCTATTAAGAGACTCAGCCGCTCCAAAAGTCGGAAACTTTGGAGCCCTATAACTTTTCGCATTGAGAACAAGGCCAAAAAAGCAGAAAACTGGCAATAGATTATCGACCATGCTCTACATGGTAGTGCAAAAAAAATTACGAAATTTTCACATACAGTTCGGAATATTCCCTTGTTGGGAAAAATTATCCCAAATCTTAGAAAAATAAAACAAAAACAGAAAAATTGCCCAAACTAGGCAAGACTTCCATGAAACATTAAAAAAAACGCAAACCAAAAGGTTTTCAATTCCTTGTCCAGTAAGCGCCGATATATTCACAACTTGAGTATCCCCACCAAATTGTTCAGAAATTATGTCGTGCTTCAACAAATCATTCAAAACTTGTTCAGGATTGGCTGTAGGTTTATCACATTTATTGACTGCCACAATTATGGGAACTCCAGCTTCTTTAGCGTATCTTTAAAAAAAATAAAGAAATGTTTAAGCAATTAAAAAATGGCACTCGTGGGTTATTCCAAATTAGTATTTTTGCGGACATACTTATGCGGGTTGGGGTTTTCGAGACGAGCTGACGTTTGCGTCATTTATCTCAAGCCGGCCCAAACAAGCTTTATCGGGCCAAAATTCAATGCCTGACTCAGTCTTTCGGACCGGGCTGGATGGGCCCCCAATCTTAATCGTTAGGCTGACTCAATGGCCAGTCCATCTATATTCCCTTCTCTCTATTCAAAAAAAGATTGCATGAGAGGAAATGCTGAAAGTTGAATTTATTTTCATTTTTATATTTTCCTTTAACTATCTGACCCCTATGAATCCTCCTATGCCTTTCATAGCAAAAAACTCATCAATTAACTCAAAAAAACCTTATAGCCTCCACAGTTTGTTCCATCACACTATCATCTGCGGCTACAACTAAAACGACTAGATCAGTAGCCTGAGCTCCTCTTTGTCTCATCGCCTTGAAAGCAGAATGTCCAGGAGTATCAAGAAAGGTGACAGGAAGATTTCCGATAGAAGAGAGTTTAACTAAAAAAATAAAATTTGAAAAATAATTAGGAAGAAAAGACTTTATAAAATAATTAAAATTGAAATAAAAAATATTTCCCTTGAATAGTATTCGAACCATGGACCTTTTGCAGGGGATGACAAAAATTATCCCACTACACCAAAAAAATCAAAAGCTGTCCCGTAAAGTTGAAGTGCCCAAATAAAAATTTTACTCAACCGATCAAAATAAAAATATTTTCCATCAGCGGGTTTCGAACCATTGCCCTTTATGGAAGGAGATCAAAAATTAACCCACTACACCAAACTAACAACAATTTCAAAAAATACCAGAAAATGCCCCAATGTGTTGAGTAATTCCACCAAATTCCTGGGCAACAATGTTTGAGCGTCTTAGAGAATCCAGTAATGTTGTTTTCCCATGATCCACATGCCCCATTATTGCCACAATAGGAGCTCTCTTTTGAAGTTCTGATGGAGCGGGTGGAGGCCTAAAATGTTGAATAAACTTTAAAAATAAAATTAAAATAAAACTGTGGGCAAAGTTGAAATTCAGATTCATCAATAATTTCTTCCTTTGGAGGTGGAGGAACCCAAACTGGACGCATTTTGAGATAGGAGATCACATCGAGAATTAATTCGCGATCTAGTGGCGCTGAAAAATTTCAAGACAAATTAATTTGAAGAAAATAGAAATTAATTTTGGAACCTTCAGGATTGGAAATGATTACATCTGCTTTGTTTTCCGAAGCTATTTGAGTAATTACATCAATAAGGGAGTCAATATCTTTACCAACGGAAGCAGCAAAACGTCTGAAAATTTTACATAAAATTGGTTTTTAAATTTTGAAAAAATTCTTTAGGAGAAATTTGATGGATTTTTCAACTAAAAATGCTTTAAAGTAAAAATAGAAAATGTTTTCAGTCAGTCGGATTCGAACCCACGACCCTTAACAGGAGGAAACTCAAACATATCCCACTACACCAAAAGAACAAAAACACGAATTTTTAATAAAAATAGCAGGCCAGCAGGTTAGACCGGGTTTTAGACTCATCTACTGTCAATCTTTTAAACTAATCATTTAAACAGTCCAAAAACTCACTCCAAACAAATTCCATCAAAGACATTAGCCACAGGCTTTTTGCTTTCAATCTTCTTAATTCCAACAGGCAAAAGTTTTCCTCTTTTATTTTTCTTATTTAAAATTTCAGTCAATTTATGATCCTTTTGAAGAAATGGAGAATGAGAGAAATGCCGAGAAGTCTAAAATTGATAAAATTAAAAAAATAAAGTCAAAAATCACCTTTAAAGGAATTCGTTTAAGTACAAGTTTGGTAAGCGTCAAAACAGTAGAAGAACATGAAGGCAAAACACAAGTCATTAATGAACGAATAAATGACCTTTAAAATTAAAGGCAAAATTGAATTTCGTAACCCCTCTTTCTCTTCCAAAAAGTGAAAAGAGTCAAATTTAAAATGTGTTACAAGTCTTATTAGGTATATGACGATAAGTACCAGGTCTTCTTTTTAAAATCTGGTATTGAGTCAATTCCCAAAAATTTCATGGGAATAAATGAATTGTTGTGGTATACACACACCCAACGTTGGCTTAGTTTTTAAAAATAAGACCAGGAAACTTGTCGGTATAGTGCAAGGTTTGTAACACATTTTAAGTCTGACCCTTTTTTGACATTTGTGGAAGGGATCAAGTAGGGGAGAGTGTAACGAAATCCAATTTTATCAAATTAAATTAAAACCCTCAAGAAATGAGTAAATTTGACAAGAAAAAGTTTAAAAAATGAAAAAGTAGACATTTTGAAATTTACCAATTTAATTAAACACAACGCCAAAATATTTATTTATTAATTAATTTAAACAAGCAAATTAGTGGGCTAAATTAAGGAGGATGTGTTAAGCTTTTTTGGGTCTTTAAACATGTAGATAGTTGGTTTATTTTGGACTTTACTTAAAGAAAATTAGATTGGACTCGTATTAAGGACGAAAGCAAAGAGGATTGAATAAACAATCGAAAAGGAGGGCGTTTTAGTATAAAAGGCGAGCCTTTTTAGTAGTCGTGTGTTAGTCTTATTTATTTATTTTATTTATTTTTTATTCTTTTATTGTCTACTCCAGCAGAGTATTGTCTACTCCAGCTCATAGTCTCGCATATTTTATTGTTGTTATCGTATTTGTGATAAACACGGGTTGTTAATCAAAGCATTCTTACAAGTTGTTACACAGTATTCTGTCAGTCAAGCTAAAAGGCAAATTTAAGTCTGATAAATGCGGTTAGCTAATCAAGTCATTCTGTTAATATCGGGTAGTATCGGACACAATCACAAGTCGATACATAGCAAGAGTGCTCATTTTTCTTCCTGTATCGCTAGTTTTTTCATCGTAACTCTAACTTGCAATTTGTAAAAAATCTGATTTTCGGCTATTTTATAGCTACTTTAATTCTCTATCGAACGCTACCAAAAATTACTTGAAAGGTCTGTTCTTTGTTGAGTTATGAATTTTTAACTGGACCATGTCGCGGTTCAACTACCCCATCCCTCCCAAGAAGGGAAAATAAAGCTAAAATATTTTTAATAATTTTCAAAGTTTTGTACAATTTAAAAACACTGTATATACATTAAATAAAATAAAAATAATTCCAAGATTAATCCGACTTGACTTCTTCCGAATTTTGTTTTAGTGAGGGTTCTTTATATGCTGCTGTGTTCTTTCTGTATTTGTAGCAATACCTGAAAAAAATTTTTAAAAATTAAAAAAATTTTTTTCAAGTTTACTTGGCTAGAAATGCAAATATTAACACATCAATTATCATTGCACCTAAAATATAAAAATATTTTTAAAATTAAAGACAAAATTAATAACCGGAAAATAGAAATGCTCTGACAGCCAAATTCTTTGTAGGTAGGAGTGTGATAATTCTGAAAGAGAATTGAGATATAATTTAGGAAAATACTGTTGATTTTATGATATAATGATTAATTTCAGTTAAGTGGCAAAATGACCATTCTTCTGCCTAGTGACAAAATGGCCATTTTTATGCCTAATGACAAAATTGCCATTTTTATGCCTAGTGGCAAAATGATCATTTCTCCGTTTAATGGCGAAATGGCTATTTTTCAGTTAAGTGGTAAAATGGCCATTTTTCTGCCTAGTGACAAAATGGCCATTTCTCTGCCTAGTGACAAAATGATCATTTTCCCGTTTACTGGCGAAATGGCTATTTATCCGTTTATTGGCGAAGTGTCTATTTTTCAGTTAAGTGGCAAAATGGTCATTCCCCCGTCTTGTGACGAAATGGCCAATTTTCTGTTAGGTGCCGAAATGTCTAATATCCTTACATAATAATTATGCTGCCAAGTGATGAGGTTAAACTCCAACACGCACTAGCGATTGCCTTCATGGAAGGGCCAGACTAAAAATTTAAAATTAATTTGATAAAAATTTAAAATGCTACCTGTGAGTAGACAAACTCTAATCCAGTTATAGAAACTAATATTTCAGCGACAGAAATAACAAAAATTTGGGGTAACTGCCAAAGAATGCTGACAGAATTTGGAGGGACAATTTGATGAATTGTTGCGTGTGGGTCTTTTTTAGTTCCGGTAATTATGAGAGCATAAATTCCGCCTTGAGCATCCATCTTATTAATTAAAAATGAAGTCAAATTGTTAGTCTTTAAGGGATGTTCCTCCCACCCTATAGGTAGTGTGAAGGGAACATCTCCCACGTTAAAAAAATTATTGGTCCTTAAGGGATGTTCCTCCTACCCTATAGGTAGTGTGAAGGGAACATTTCTTATGCTTAATGTTGGTCTATAAAGGAGTTTTTAAGGGATGTTTTATAAGGGATGTTCCTCTTACCCTATAGGTAGTGTGAAGGGAACATCTCTCTTATTCCTCCCACCCCATGGGTAGTGTATAAAATCAACACTCACCTCAAACTCAACATTCTTCAATTGTTCCTCATTTAATTTTGTTTCCATAAGTTTGGTTGGTTCGTTGTGTAGAAGGAAGAGTTTCCAACTAAACTAGGTATAGATTTTTAAGAAAAAATTTTTTCTGCCAACCTCCCAGGCCTAACTTCAATATAAGGGTGAAGGGACGCAGTCAGATCTGAAGATGTCGATGTTGTATTTGTTGTCATATAATTAATAAATTGGAGGGAGTGTTCTCTTTTCTTGTTTAGGAAGGCATAAAAGTTCTGAAAATTTTTTTGAAAATTTCTCTCTCAACACAATTGGTAGTGTGAAAGGAACATCCAACATAGTACTCATGTTCCCTCCACACCAACTGGTAGTGTGAAAGGGACATCCAACATGGTACTTATGTTCCCTCCACACCATGAGTAGTGTGCAAGGAACATTATATGTAGGTTCCCTCCAAACCATGAGTATTGTGGAGGGAACATTCTATCCTAATATGGGTATGTGTGTTCTCTTCACACCTGGGTAGTGTGAAAGGAACATTTTCTATACCTTTCCATCATGTTGATTGCACTTTTGATCATTACGACAGAATGCCAATAGTTTGTTATTATGCCCATCCTTCTCATCCTCCATAGCCATAATTACCGCAATTTTAAATTGGCCAGAACCGCCTGTAGGCTTCTCAGTTTCGGCCGAAGCCAAAATCGCTCCTCTTGTAGTTATTGCAATAAAGCTCATAGGCTCTTTAATATCAAATTCATAGACGTTAGGCAATTCTATATTTAAATCGGCACAATTGTCTCCAATGCCGTCAATTTTCCATTTATTCTGGCCTAGGAATACACGGAACATTTCGATGCGATTTTGGGTTTTGTCGTTTATTAGAGACTAAAATAAGGCAAAAAGGGTTAAAATAGGAAAGTCGAAGAAATTATTTTCACCGTATTAGGTAACAAAAGCCTCGTCTCGCCTGTCTCCAAATGAGTTATTTCCAGGGGGCATTTAGCAAAAGTATTTACAATAGAAACAAATGCTTGGCCGTCATCAGCAAATTCGGGTAGAGTTAACTATAAATTAAATGGATTTCTAATGGTAAAATGAATATTTTCTTAAAGCAGCTTTGTAAACTAGTCGAAACCAACATGCGTTTGAAGAGCTACTTTTTATGTTTTTTCAAAAATATTAAAAAATTTTAGGAAATTTTTCGAAGAATTTTTCCAAAATAACACAAAAATATTTTTTAGAAAATTTTTAGAATAATTTTTCAAAAAAAAACGGAACAAATATTTTTCATGAAAATTTACAATAAAAATCAAGTTTTTCATTATGAGCTTTTTAAACGACTATTAACCATCTTATGTTTACCGAGCTACTTTTATTTTCTTACTCCGTTGAATTAAAATTAATTTTTTTAATATTCCAATTAAAAAAATTTCCAATCTGTTTTAAATAAAAAAATCAAAAATTTTTTTACATTTATTCGTAGCTGTACAATTCCCGAGACAAAAAAGGCTATTGCTGCAATAAATCCACCTGCTACCATCTTCCGTAGTGGAGTTAATCTTACAATTTTTTCAGCAAAGGGGTAGATGAATGATTGAAAAATAAAAATGAGCACAATAATAAGCACCTAATTAATTAAGAAAATAAAAAATTTTTTTAAATTTTAAAAGCCCAATTTTAATTGAGGGTGGGCAGATATGTAAATAACCTCGTAGAAAGGAACACGTCTAACTTTTGAATGGGTAAACGGATAAAGGAGCTTTTGGTGTCATTTAATAGAGGAGAAAATTTTCTATGAAACATGCTTAGAAATAAAATTTTTAGAGAGAAAACAAAAAGGTTGAGGTCAAAAAACTGCCCAAAATGGGTATTTTCAAGCTAAAAATGTTAGTTTTTTGACCATAACTTTCTGAATTTTGGATCATAAATTTTAATTTTAGCCTTATTTTTTAGAGAATTTAATTCTCTATCGAATGACACCAAAATTTAGTAAAAAGGTCAATTTTCCACAGAGTTAGAGCGGTTGGAGCCAACTCGGTCTCCGTACACACTACTAGACCAATAATTTAGAATTTCCCCAAAAATTTACCGGATTAACGACTTGCATCTGGTCAGGCAAAAGATGAATGCCACCCCATATCCGACTATCTAACTGAAGTGCCTGATTCATCCAAACATTGTATTGCTGATCATACAAAGCCCAAAACATAGGCATGGGTATTAAAACAACTACAAGTCTTAACAAACAATGAAAATCTTCAATAAATTGTTGTTTGTGACAAACATTCTCATCTCCCTTTTCCTTCTTTAATTCAATACATTTACTATCCTCCTCACAAATATGGGTATCAAAATAGTGATCAAGCCAGTGATTTTTGGGAATTTTGGCATATTTTTTGTTGGAACGGGCGGTCTATTGAAGCGAAAATAATTTTAATTTATTTAAATTATTGGGTAAAATAATTTTAAAAATATTAAAAATTAATTTTAAAAATTCAAAAATTAAATTTCAAAATTTCTACCTTAACAACATCATAAACGGCCCCAAAAATGTTTCCTTTAGGAGGCTGTTTGGTGTACCATTTACTGCCAATGAAGAAAAATGCTGAAAAAATATTTTTTTAATTTAGTTTTAAGGATAAAATGAATTTTAAAATTTCGAGAAAATTTCCAGAAAATTTTTAGGAAATTTTTAAAAAATAAAAAAATTACAAACCAAAAGAAATAATAACACCAATAGTTGAGACGCTGAATGAAAGAGGGTAACCTGAATAAATAATTTTAATTCTGATTTAATTCAAGTTTATTTTTCAATTCTGATTTCAAGTTTATTTTTAATTCTGATTTTGTATTTTCTTTTTTATTTGTGTTTTGTTCTGATTTCAAGTTTTATTTCAAGTTTGTTTTTAATTCTGATTTAATTAAAGTTTATTTTTACTATTACTATAATTCTGATTTTAATTCTGATTTCAAGTTTATTAATATTTGCAAGTTGTATTTTTGTTCTGATTTTATTATTAATTCTGATTTGTATTTAATTCTGATTTTAATTCTGATTTTAAGTTTATTTATTTTTTCTATTAATTCTGATTTTGTATTTTATTTGTTATTTGTATTTTTGTTCTGATTTCAAGTTTATTTTTATTTCTGATTTTTTAATTTATTAATTCTGATTTTTATTTCTTTTATATTCCAAGTTTTATTTCTGATTTTTAATTTATGTTTTATATTTAATTCTGAAATTAAATTAATCACATGAATCTCTTCCAAAACAAGGTCTTGCTCTGAGCAAAGGCATTACAATTGTAGATATCACAGCACTAAAAATATTACACAAATAATTAAATTAATTATTTATGGTTTACCCTATATTTATCGCAGCATAAAAAATTGAGTAAAACACTGAGATCTTAATTAATTAGTAAATTAGAGAAAGATAATTTATGATTTATTTTTGCAAATTCAGATTTTTAAATTTTAATTTTTCTGATATTATTTTTTTTAATTATGATTTTTTCCAATTTCTGATTTTTTAGTTTCTAATTTCTGATATTATTCTGTTAATATTCTGATCATATTCTGATTTTAATTTTTATTTTTTTGGGTGTTCTGAATATTTCTGATAATATTCTGATTTTAATTATGAAATTCTGATAGTGTTCTGATTTTTATAATTTTTGATTCTTAGTTCTGATTTATTCTGATTTTTAATTCTGATTTTTCTAGTTTGTTCTGATTCTTAGTTCTGATTTTTTCTGATTTATTCTGATTTTTAATTCTGATTTTTCTAATTTGTTCTGGTTACCATTCTTTCTTGATGAGGATCAAATTGGTCACCCGCAAAAGGTGCAATGCTTGGACTCATTGCACTCGTGCCAATAATAACAATTAAAACACAAGCAAAATCAAGCCAAGGGTGGGGGAAACCGGGCGGGAAAAATGAGGAGGCTTAATAGAGAATTAGAATTTTTTTGAAAATTATTTTACTTGTCAAAGCAATCTTTCCAATAACAAAAATACTGGCACCAAAAAATATTGCTCTAAATTTCCCCAAATAACCATCAGAAATTGCTGAACCAATCAGTCTACAACACCCAGACAAAATTCCGGTAAAATTGAGAATTACGACGGTCGTGTCGGGATGAAAGCCCAACACATTAATATAATACAGATTGAATACATCTGTAAATTTTTGGAATTTTAAAATTTTTTGAGGAAAAATTTTTACTGTTTAAAGCTGTCAACATCATTGAGAATTCCATAATTACAATAAGAAATGTATGGTAGGGCCATATCTGTAAATTTATGAGTTATTTTGGAGGGTTAATGAGAGTAAAATAATTAGGTATTGAAAGTTAGCGATGTTTTCCTCCAAAAGAAAAATTAATACCACATTTAGATGGGTGAATCTTGACTGGATCTTGCGGATATTGACGTCCCGATTCCCAAAATTGGGAACCGATTTGGGGCTGGATTGTTGAGGAGTTTATAGAGGTCTTTTAGGAACACTCTCAGGATCTCACACTGTTACTAAATCTTTTTTAAAATGTCTATAAAGATGTTAATATGGATAAAATAGGAGATGTAAAAAGATAGTGTGAGAGGTATTATTGGAAGACCTCCCAAGAAAACAAAAGTTAAAATCCCCATTTAAGGGTTAGATCCCGCAGTTCTGATTCACGGAATTAGAAACTCAATTTATATGTTGGCTGATCCCTGATGAGGGAGTTGAATATTAAACTGTTAGAGAGGGTTCTGGGTCTCTAAATTTACTTCATAAGGCTGTCTCACTCTCAATATCTTTTTGAGTTATCTTTTTCTTTAAAAGATATTGAGAGGGAGACCTCAATTGAGAGGGAGGTCTCAATATCTTTTTCCCTCTCAATATCTTTATGTTTTCTGGATAACTATGTATTCCGTCCATCCCCGTCTTTACCAAATTTTAATTAAAAAAATTAATTAAAGTACCCTCATCATTTCACTCCAACTCCTAGCCATTGTATGCTCTTCCTTTTCAAATTCTCCCTTTTCACTGTCGCTAATAGAACTACATTTCTCGTCAGAATTATTGCCTTTTTAAAAATTTTGAATTAAATTTAAACAAAATTTTATTTAAATCTTATTTTTATTTTAATTAATTCACTACCTTTTTCACTGGTTAAGGATACAGGATTTAACATTGGTGGTTAGAAATTAATTTAATATAAAAATATGTTATGATAATATTAATAAAATATTTTGAAATATGTTATTATGCTTGTTTAAAAAATTTAGAATGCCTAAAAATCAGTTTTAGGATGGTTGAAGTGGTAGAATTCAAAAGCGCTTAGAAGGGGTTTAAGTGATATGCATGATCCCTGATGAGGGAATTGGATAATATTAAACTGTTAGAGAGGGTTCTGGGTGTTAGAGAGGGTTTTCGTATATTAAGAAGAAAGGGCAAACAATCGTGTTGCCCGGTAGCTTAGTGGTAGAGCAAACGTGCAAACGAAAGCCTAGCAAACAGTTCAGGGCCCATAAAATAAATTCGAGGTGAGGGTTATTTAACCATGGTAATCAGTTTGGAGTTACCTCCTAATTTAGTCTATGGGTCCAGGCCTATAGGCTGGAGCTACTAAGCTAAGCTCTTAATAAAGTAATATTGAAGGGCTGAGAAATATTGAATAAATTAAGAATTGTTGCTAGAACTGACTAGAACTGACACATGTTATTTAGTAGAGATTTACACCCTAATTTAGTCTAAGGGCTCAGGTCTTGAGGCCCAATTACTAAGCTAAGCTCTTAATAAAGTAAGCATGGACTAGAAATTATAAAGAAAAAATTAAGGAACAAAATTAAAAAAAATTTTTTTTTAATTAAGGAAATGATTTTTAAATTTTAAAATAAATTTTCTATTCCAAAAATGTGATTTAAAATTAATTCAAAGTTTAAATTACTAGAACTGACACATTTTTAAGATCACATTCAAGTATATATTTATCAAAAAAAATTAATGTACGGAACTATCACTTTTTACCATAAATATAAATATTTATTTAAAATAAACCTTAATTAATCAACTAAAAAATTTCACGTGAATTTAACTTTTATTTTACCCCAAAAATTAATTTTAAACTATTAAATACGCTCATCTTTTTGGTAAAGTTCCAACAATTATTAAATAATTAATTAAATCTAGAGGGAGAAAAAAGGGTCCAAAAATTTATTTTAATAGTAATATTTCTATTTCCAACCTTTTGAGTTGGATTATGATTTATTTTATTCGATTTTTTTATTTTAAAGGAACGGAGAGTTTAATAATGCAAGGTATAAGGGGGAGGGAATGTGGAAATTATATAGTGTGCGCAAAAAAGTTTCGGAACGCCAAACAGAAGGGGAATAGGCGGATTTAAATAAATAAACTTGAAAATCAGAATTTAAATAAAATTGGTGTCAGAATTAATATTTAAGTTTGTTTACAAGTTTGTGCACTTAAGTGTGTAAATCAGAACAAGTTTTAATAAATAAAAAATCAGAAATTGATTTGAACATTCAAAATAAAATAGGAAAAATCAGAATTTAAAAATACAAAATCAGAATTTAAAAGAAAACACAAAATCAGAATTAAAGAGAAAACACAAAATCAGAATTAAAAAAGAAAAAACACTCAGAATTTCCGAGAAAACACAAAATCAGAATTTAAGAGATAATACAAGATCAGAATTAACATAATACCAGGAAAAATCAGAATTTAACTTTAAAAATAAATATATACTAGAAAAATCAGAATTCAACCTTAAAAACCAGAATTTATGTAGTAAAACACAAGATAAGAATTTATAAAATAGACGTGAAAAATCAGAATTATTTTTAAAATAAAATCAGAATTAAATACTAATTTATTCTCATGATTATTTTCCCCCATCGATCCTTATAGCTAATTTAAAAAATAAAATAACGAAAAATTCAGAAATAGTTGCTAATAAAACAATTTTTATTAATATTATCGAGAATGTTTTACAACAACTAAACAAACTTTAAAAATAAAATAAAATTTTTATTACGCCTACTAATTTTGGTTGAATCAACGTTTCATTATTTTAAAAATAAAAAAATTTTTGGGGTAACAATTTTATTGTTAAAGCAAAATATCGTGTATTTTTAGCAAGTGACGATATTTTTATTTTATTTACAACAGTAAAGTGAACGGGAAAAATTATTATTTTTAATAAAAAAATTACTTAGATTGCCCCAAATTTTTATTTTTTTTTGACTATTTACTTTTGCAGAGGGCCGCATATTTTTTATTTTATTTTACCCGTAATTCGCGCAGCTCATACAATTTTTTATTTTTTTTTTATTGCTAATACATTAACAATAAATAAAAATGACAATGAAAACAAATAAAATAATAGTGGGCTGCGTGGGTGAAAGTGGGCGCAAGGCTTTATAACTTGAATAAATGGTGAACTACTTGAGGTGTTTTGGTCAGATGTATGGAGGGGGATAAGGAAAAATTTTTCAAATTTCATAGAATTTTAAAGCATTTTTAAAATTGTGGATTAGAGAAAAATAAATTTTTATTAAAAGAAAAAAATGAATTTTTTGACAATTTTTGGACAATTTTGGACAATTTTTTGACAATTTTTTGTCAATAATTTCTTATTGAACTTGTCCTAAAATTTTTTCCATAAATTTTTTAGATAGTTCACTTTATTCTTAATCCAATGATACCAAGATCTCGAAAATAGGTCTAGTTAATCTAAAGTTATAAGAACTGGAGTGCGCCTACTTTGAAACCTCTATGGAGGATGTCGCTCTTTTAAAATAAAATAAATTTTTTGAATTTTAACCAAAAAATTTTTTCTTAATAATTTCTAATAGAAAATAATCTCCTCTATTTAATGCTACCAAAATCACAAAAAAAGGACTGTCGGTTCAAGAGTTATAAAATTAAAAGTATACCTATTTCAACTAAAATTCTACCTAAAAAGTTTAAAAAAGCTAAAAGGAAAAATAAAAGTGAGTTTAAAAAATTAAATAAATCAATTTAACGAGAAGCAGACTAAGACTAAAAAGAATCAAAAAATGAATAGTGGATATGCTAAGATAGGAAGGTGGAGGTGATTTTTTATTTGTGCGGAGATTGAACAGAGATCATTATTTTTAATATAAATGATCTATTAATTAATTAATTTTTTTATTGTAGGGAAAATTGAAGGAGAAAATTAGGAGAAATTTAGGAGAAAAAATAATGTTAGGAGAGAAAATTAAATAGAAACTGGATTTTGTTGTTTATTATTAAACACTAATTAGGTTAACCTCTATTTATGGCCTGAAAAATTTTTTTAAAAATTTCTCGTGATTTTTGTGCATCCCTCATGTCAAAACTTTAAATTTCCAAGTAATTAATTCAAGCATTTTTGAAAAACAAGTGACAAGAATTACAGAAACGGATATAAAAAATGCCCACACAGTAAACAGCTCTGTCGATCTTAATTTTTTTATTATTTTTTCTCATTTTTTTTGTGGGTGATAAATACTTTTTAATGGATATAAGGTAACAAGTTAAGTGTTTAAGGCTGGTGGGAATGGGAATGTACCGCCAAACCATAACTTCTTTTAAATTTGTCGAATACGGGAACTCGAAGATTTTGGATTTTATGGACCTATATCTCGGCTTTTCGCCCCCGAATATGTACTTTTTTATTCTTTTTAAAATAATGAATAGAAATAAAAAATAAAATAATTCTACATAATATGTATAAATAAAAAAATATTTTTTGATTAAAAAAGTCACGATTTCTATTTAATATAAAATATTTCAATTTTTAATTATTTAAGTCTTTGCAAGCCACACCAATATTAACGGATATAAAATTTTATTTATATAATTTTTGGGACGGGGGGTTAGCGATCGGAACCCCCTTCAAAATTTGCCGATTAAGGCGTGTCTTATTATAAAAGACATACGGTATCGAAACTCCTCATCCTATTTTGAATAATACATCATTATAGTATTGGAGCTGAAACTATGTAAAGAGCGGAGCTAGCTTTATATTTTTTGTGCACAGAACAAAAATCGTAGGATTAATAATAAAATTAGGGTTAATCGGGCCCGCCAATACCGACAAGTAAGAGAATTGTAAAAATTTAGTCTCGATCAATCTTTCAAATTGTATGAAAAGTTCTGACTTACTTTTTGTCATTAATTAAAATTCAGGTATTCCCAAAATAGTTTCCAATAATACAATGTCCAAACAGCCTTTCAAAACTTACTCAACAAGTAATTTTGGTGTCTTTCGAAAGAATCATATTCCGTTCGAATCTATTTTTTCGATACTTGAAAGCCTATTTACAGGCTTCAGACCTTTCTTTATCTAGAAACCTTTATCTAGAATGGTAATATAATTTGTCACGTTTCTGAGTGGGCCACCGGCTAGAGTATCATTCGACTCAGTTCCTATTTTTGTTTTACTCACTAAAATTATAAAAATATTTTTTATAATAATTTTAAAATTAAAAACACTTTAAATTTTCTTCCTTCAAAAAATAATTTTATTTATTAAATTTAAACGCAATTTTAAATTTAAGTATTTATCGAATAAAAAAATAAAATAAATAAAAATATTTTATTATTACAACACAATGAAAATAAATCAGAAAAAAGTACAATTGTTGCCTAAGAGTGTTTGACACAAACAAAATTTAAAAAATATTTTTAAAATTAATTTTGAAATTTAAAGAATTAATTTATTAAATTAAGAAAAAAATTAAAGAGAAAATTTAAGAAAGAAAATTTAAAAAAAAATTTAAGAGAAAAAATTTTTAAAAATTAAAAATGCTGAGTGGCATTGGATAGACATTGATTTTTAAGTATGTATATCTACTGTATTTCTTCTAATAATGCGATTCTCTCTATTAGACCGACCCCTTCTAATAAACTGGCCCTCTAGAGGATGGTTGAAAAATAAAGCGACCGGTCGCACTATTAGAAAAAATAGGGTATTTCTTAATTAACAGATTTCTTTATTATTTACAATTTGTAAAAAATTACAACTTAAACTTCAATTCCAATTAAAACCATCCCTTTACAATTCAACGGTTTAAATAATTGTAGTTGCCAAGTTATACCTAACGATGTACATTCTTGTTGCAAACTCAAGTTTGAAGTTTCTTCAAGTTCGCATAAATTAGCTGTGCCAAGTTGTAAACTTGTTTTGATAACTAAAATAACAAGTTTTAAAAACAAACTTTAAAATCAAGTTTTAATGTTATTAAACTTAATAAACTTAAAAAAGTTGTAAGTTTATCTTAAGTTTTACAATGTCAAACTTATTTTTGCCAACTTAAGTCAAACTCAAGTTTGTAAAATAAACTTGTTTATAAAAACAAGTTTATTTTTAGGTTTGTTTTGTACAAACATAAGTTTTCAAGTTTAATATTTATTGTAAAACAAGTTTTCAAGTTTGTAATCTTCATTTTTATTAAAAACAAGTTTATTTTTACTGTATTTTTAAAAAATGTTTTTTTTGTAAAAACAGTTTATTTTTTAATTTAATTTTGTTTAATTTTCATTAATTATTTTTCCACTAAAAAACTAACGTAATAGTTTTAGATCCATCTGATCACAATTATTTATTCCTATCACCTTTGTACCATTATCTTTTTCATTATAATCGGCTTTAAACCCTTCTCTAAATGGTTGGGTTATCACTATTTTTTGTTTATCATCAAGTAAATAATCGTTTAAAGCAGCTGATAATAATAATATTGAAGAATTGTGAGTACCTGAAAATAATTACAAAAATGTGTAAAATAAATAAATTTGTTGATGACGATTTGTGTTAAAAATAAAATATCAAAAGATTTGTTATCTCTATTGAAAAATATTTAAAAAAATTTTAAAGTAGAAGCTCATGTTTATTAATTAAAGTTTTTCAAATTTCAAGTTCGTTCTTAAAAATAATTTCAAGTTTGTTCCTAAAAGCAAATTGTAAAACTTTTTCCAGTTTTATTTAATTGATGTTTTACAATATGTTTTTTGTAAAACTTGATTGCAATATAAAAATTAAACTTGTTTGTAAACAAGTTTATTTTTCATGTTTATTAATTGAGAAATTGCAACTTGTTTGCTTCTATATTTATTTTCAAGTTTGTAAAACAAGTTTAATTTAATCACAACATGTTTAGTCCAATGTTTTTATTTGTTGCAAAACAAGTTTATTTATTTACAAACTTAAGCACTAATTATTAAAACAAACAAGTTTATAGAATTAAAACGCTAAAATAATTTAAAAATAATATAGCTGACCACAAAATTTAATACAAGTTGATTGTCGTTCTCGTTCTAGGGAGGAAGTAGTTTCTGCTTCAGTAACGGATAGAAAACTTCAAAAATTTATTTAAAATTATTTTAAAAATAATTTATAAACTCAACATACAAAATAAATATTAGTGACAAAACTGCAACAAAACAAAATATCAAGATACCCCTAAAATTACAAAAGAATTGTAAAACAAATTTACAACTATATCCCTACCAATACATACACCCTCTACTATTCTTTTTGTATTGTTGAGGGTTTTGTTTGGATGTTTGTTGTTGTTGGCTAGTGCTACAAACACTTTTCTCAACGAGCTTAACTTGTTCGGTTGTTGCGCTAGGATTTTTAATGTTTTTGTTGTCGTCGGCATCGCTACTATCCTCTGAAGAATTTGAAGAACTGCTGGAACAATCACCCGAAGTGATGGTACTGTCAGATTCTGTTAAATCAGAACTTGAAGAATCCTCTTTTGGAGTTTTCTGAGAGGAGAGCTAAATTTGAATTAAAGAATTGTAAAAGTTTCAAGTTTGTAAAATAAGTTGATTTTTTATTATTAAAAAAGTTTATCAGTAAATATAAACTGTTTTACAATTAGGTATACTTTAATTAAAAATTTAAGTTTACAAATCAAACTTGAAATAAAGTTTATTTACAAAACTAACATAAAATAAACTTGTTTATTTATATTATTTCAAGTTTGCAAAACAAGTTTATTTTTTTATTTCTGTAAAAAAGAAATTTTAAGTTTGTAATCTTAAATTTTATTTAAATTATAATTGTAAAACAAGTTTATTTATTTTTCTTGTATTTTTATTTCAAGTTTGTAAAACAAGTTTTTATTTTACAAATTGTTTTACTAATTTGTAAAACATTTCCTAATTAGGTAATTTTCAAACCTTTTTCTGTTGTCTTTTCCTCTCCTTTTCTTGTCGTCGCCGTTCCTCCATCAACCTTCTAATTTAAATTTTAAATTAAACTAAAATTCAACTAAAAAACACAAAATCCCCCTACACACTTTCTGTCCTTCCTCCGTTCATTTTGAAACCAGGCGCGAACAATTCGAATATTTAACCCTGTCGCCTCCACCAATTGTTGTAAAATTGGGGTATTTGGTCTTTGATCTTGCCCATAAATTTGTTTAAATAATTTAACTTGTTCCTCTTTTAAATCGAAGAAATTGGCATCCGAGAGCATCATTTTTTGAAGAAAATTAATTTTTTAATTTTTGAGAATTTGGGGGGTTTTCTTATTATTTTTAAGGAAAATAAAGGTAAAAAATGATAAAATTAAAGGGAAATGGAAGAAGAAAAATTAATTGGCAAGCATTATAAATAAATAAATATTTAGTACTATTAATAGGGGTAATTAAGCAAGCAAAAAACTGTTTTCCCAACTGATGGTTGACGAAGACGGCGGAGAATCATGGGAAGGAACAAGGAAGGTTATTTATTTTTGTTTCCGATGAGGGACTATTTTTGTGGTTCGATAAAAAATGAAAGGGTGGGAAAATAAAGATGAATTTTAATGAATTTTAGTTATTTTTCTTATAAAAATAGGGCTAAATTTTTTTAATTTAGTAGGGCGGGAAGGTAGTAAAGGCGGGAAGGTAGTAGGGGCGGGAAGGTAGTAGGGGCGGGAAGGCCTCAATTCTCTAGAACGCTCCCAGTCCGATCTCTAATTAAGGCTATAAGATGTTTATTTTAAATTATTTATTTAACGATTTATTCCTATGGAAAATAAAACAATAAATAATCATTGTTGGTATAAGATGAAAGTGTGACTGTTTTATTTATTTTAAACTAAAAAAATATTTTTTTAAAGGCGTGATTCAGATTTTAAAATAAAAATTTCCCACAAGAGATGTCATTAAAAATAAAGAAATTAAAAAAATTCAAGGCAAAAATTAATTTTTTTCTCTCAAATTATATTTAATTTACAACAGAAAATATTTTAAAATTATATACATACCGTAAATGCTGAAATAATTACCCCGCCCTATTAATTACCCCCTCCAACTATAGATCGGAAAAATAATTACCCCTCTTAAAAATAGTTATAATTAACCTTTCTAAAAAGGCTTAATTACCACCTCCTTTTAATCACCCTCTCCAGCGAGAGGTTGAAACAATAATTACCCTGAGTAATTATATTAGCAAATACGGTATGTCTTTTTCACGAAAAAAATTTATTTTTAAAAAGCACCCGTTAAAAGCTCTGATTTTATTTAATAGCCGTATTCTATTAGAAGCAAGAAAGCCTTAAAAATTTATTTCCCAATGCCATGTTTATATCCAAGAGAAGTTATAACAAGAGGAATTTCTGTTTCAATACCAGGAAGTCCGATAAAGCGAAGAACATAGGAAAGCGAAATAATTGGAGAATGCATAGATGGAATTGTTTGTTCTGGTACTCGCAGAAGGCATTCCTCAGCGTTCTGAATTAAACTGATTAATTTATTGTGAAAATAAACTTGTTTTTACAATCTTGCTTTTTTTTAATTAAATAAGTTTACTATTACAACCTTTGTTTATAAATAAACTTGTTTTTACAATCTTAAAAATAAACTTGAAAAAAATAAACTTAGTTTACAAATTTATTTTTATGATAAATAAACTTGACAAGTTTATTTTCTATTAATAAACTTGATTTGTAAACTTAAGATAAATAAACGCTTGTTTTGTAAACTTAAGTTTACAAAACAAGTTTAATAATAATACACATTAATTTGTAAAACAAGTTTATTTTGTAAAAGTTTGTAATTTAAATAAACTTGAATAAGTTTAATAAGCTTGATTTGTAAAATTAAGATAAATAAAACTTGTTTTGTAATTTTATTAAGTTTGCAAGACAAGTTTATTAATAATAAACATTGATTTGTAAAACAAGTTTATTTTCTGGTAAAAAGGTTGTAATTTTAAATAAAACTTGGATAAGTTTAATAAACTTGATTTGTAAACTTAAGATAAATAAACGCTTGTTTGTAAACTTAATCAAGTTTATTTAATAATCCTAAACTTTAATTTGTAAAACAAGTTTATTTTCTGTTAAAAAAGGTTGTAATTTCAATTTAAATAAACTTGAATAAGTTTTAATAATGTTTATTCCTAAACTTGAAACAAAAACAAGCACAAACTTACAATCTCACTTCTTCCTCTAATATTATCAATTTGATGGGAATCTAATAAAGTTTCAACCAATTTGGTATCATTAGCTTGTTCATATCTGCTTTGAGCAAGAAAATGGCTTTTCAAAACTAATTGGAGGCAGCATTCTCTCAATTGTTTTCTGCTGCCGTTTCTAACGGATATGCTCACACGAATTACCTTTAAAAATTAATTTTTTTCGTGTACTCTTTTGCTATAATTTTTACTTCTCCAACACAAAATCCAGTTCTAGGCAACCCTATTCTTAGGCGTACGACACCGAAAGGTAGAGTGCATACTGTAAAGTTGATTTCATCCTCATAGTCAATATGCCTTAGAATAGCTTGAGGAACTTGATCCAGATAGGACTTGGCAAGAACAAGGAAAGGAAAAATTTCTAGGGCGGAACACTTAAAAATAAATTTAGCTTAATTTTACGAACTTGATAAAAATACAGTAGACTTACATGTTCAGCATTCCCAACCATTTGTAATCTTATTGTATACCTAATAGAACCAAATTGACTTTCTAAACTGCTAGGTGCTGTTTCTGGTATATTCACCCTCAGATTAAATCGGTGCCTCCCTGGGTTTAAAACAATTTTGCGTTGACAGAGAGGGACCACAATATGGACAAATTCCTGAAGATTTTTAAAGATCCTCATGGACAATTAATAAATTTTGAATTTTACATGTTCAGTTTCATAAATTTTATCAGTTCTAATATTCACCCAACCAGTTTTTCCAATACCCAAAATTTCTGCAAAGAATTCAATTATTGTGTTGTCAGGATCTGCCGAATCCAACAACACCTTTAAGCTAAAATTTAATCTCTCCCTCTACAGTAACCCAATTAATCTCTCTCAAATGACTCACAGTTGCATTCAACGAATCCCCGCTAAATATTCGTGTTTCTGCTAACACCAGATTCAGAGCTATTGAAGGCATCTATTAAAGGTGTATTTTGTTATTTTTAATAATATTTTCCCAAATAATTTCTCAAGAGACAAAATATTCCCGACTTACATTTCTGTTCCTAACTCGCGTAAAAAACTCCATTTTAGTTAAATATAGGGTTAAGTTTTTTGTAAAAGTGACAAGAAAACAGCCAAGAAAAAATAATGACAAGAAAATAATAAACTCAGCTCTTTCCGCAAAACTCAGCTCTTTCCGCAAAAACCCGTCAAAAGCATTTAAAAATTAGTGTATCGATTGACAGGGCAAAAAACTTAATTAATTCTGCGAAGTACTCTCTCAGGCTTATTCTCTCAACAGCTAATTTAGAATAAAAAAGGGAGGAAGCTTCTTCCAACTGTTAGAACGGAAATAGGGGAACTAGGTTTGAGTGACATTTGTTGGCATGATAGAAACGCGGACCGCGCTCATCTTTAGGTGTAAGTTTTTACAGATATCCTGAATAAAGTTACTATATTTATATATTCCAAAAAAATTTTGGCGTGACCTCACGGACACACCACAAACAAAAATAAAATGAGAAAATTAGGTAAATAAAAGTTTACAAAAATCCCAATTTCCTACCTTCCCTTTCCTTTTTTATTTAAATAAATAAACAATTCATTTATTTAATATGGTGTAAATTTAAAATGCAAAAATTTTTCATTTACCTGCATTTGTGTAGGCAAACACCCACCAAGCTCAATTCCACTCATTTTAATTATTTTTTTGTTGTTTTTATTTAAAATTTATTTATTAAACAAAACGGAAGGAATTTTCATTCATTTGTTAGCAAAATCGATTTTTGTCTAAAGAAACCCCCAAAAAGTCCAAAAAGAAAATGGACTGCCACTAGTTTTCTTTTTTACTTTTTTAAAGAGTATAAGCAATTAATGGAGAGGATTAATTGCTAGAGAGAACAATTTTTTCATACGTTAGAGGATTAAAAAGCTTAAGTAGGTAACTTGTTCTAAAAATCGAGACACTATAAGACTAAATTTTTTAACAGGAGGAAAACGGAAGACAGTAAAAACCGGGAGAAATAAAAGAAAAACCTCTATAGAGGATAAGCATCAATGAGAGACGCTTAGTCTCTCTTAAGGATTCTCACAGATTGAGCGTAAAATCGTGATAGGAATTGACTGGAACTTAAGGAATAAAATCATCTTCTAGAAGCGAAAGATGTAAGGCCGAAAAAACGAGAACCAGAAAGAGGGGGAGGAGAACGAGAATCAACAGGAGAGAGAACGGGAAGGGAGTCAAGTAAAGGAAACTGCTACACTTTCCTTATTAATAAAATAATTTAGTTATTAAATTTACTGATTTATTTAATTTAAAAAGAATTACAAATAGAAATAGGAAATTATACTTAGATAATTAAAGCATCTATTATACTAATATTGTACATGAAAATAGAACAAAAAACATCAACATATTGAATTCACCGGAAATGCCATTTAAATATTAGTAGAAGGGTGGATAGTAAGTTTAGAGTTCTGTCTTCATCAGTGTCCTCTTCCCTAAAATTAATTTTATTTATTCTTTGTATAATGAGAAGAAATTTAGAGAAGGGGCAGAAGGGGTATTCTAATAGAGGTAATACGTTAGGGCAAGTGGCATGTTCCGTTCACACTACTTATGGGCTGAAAGGCACATCCCTTCCAACGTTCCAGTTTGAGGTAAAATATTTTTTCCATGACTTAATGTTATTTGCTAGTCCGTATCCATAATCAGAAACACTCATTATTTCCCCAAATTTCTAAATAAAATTACTAACAATAGCAGCACTCAAAGCCTGATCCAAATCATCAATTAAATCTTGACTGTCTTCACAACCAACAGATAGACGAATTAAATTGTCTCCAATACCAAGCTCTTTTCTTATATCAGCTGGGACAGAAGCATGTGTCATCACTGAGGGCAATTCTGCTAAGGATTCATAGCCACCCAAAGATTCAGCTAGCAGGAATAGCTGAGGGAGAATAATTATTTAAATAATTAGGTAATCTGTCAGATTTTGATCTTAATGGTATGAAGAGTATGGGGGGGGGGAGAGAGTATAGGGGGGAGGGGGAGAGTTGGAATAAGGGATACTTCACTCTCGTAACCCACCAGCAGTCTTAATCAAAGAGAACCGAAATCCCAACTAATACAACTTCAAATATAGGTTATTCCCTTAGGATAATGCTATAACGAGAGTCAAATTTAATTTTACTTGTAATCCCTAGAGGCTGTCTAAAAAAGCGCCGGATCCGACCCGACACCTAACACTACCTTTTAGGTTATCTGAGGGACATCTAAGGACACCAATCTACAGGCAGTCGCTCATAAAAACTAAAATAAAACACAAAAGCACACCTTCAAGTTAGAAAGAAAGATTCTCGATTCTTCAATACCTCCACGTAAATAAAAAGAGATCATTCCCGACATTCCACTAGACTGTTTTTTGTGTATTAAATGCTGGGGATGTGATTTCAATTCTGGATACAAAACTTTTTCGATTCGAGCATCCTCTTCTAACCATCTAGCGATAGTTAAAGCATTTTCCATGTGTTGTCTCATTCTGAGATGCAAAGTTTTGATTCCTCTAATGACCAAATAGGTGTCGAAGGCTGAAGGTATTGCTCCGACAGCTGAAAAGATGTTGAAAGAGTTACAAGGGCAAGCATATTTTTGTGGTTTTTGCAAGCTTTAAGAGACCCTAATCATCTATATCCTTAATCTTAATCGTTTAAGGATACCTCTCTTTGTGTGTGTGAGATAAAAAGATAATTAGTCCGCAATATTTTAGTCACATAATTCAAAAGGTTCTGTTGGCGCGATAATTTAATAATCATTATTTTTATAGGCTTGAGACTATAACTTGACCCCTAAAGGCCAAGATTCAAAGGCTTGAGACTGTAACTTGACCTCCAAAGGCCAAGAAACAAGCTATAAGACGCTGAGTTTATTTCAGCTTTACAGACTGTATGGCCTTAACACCCTACTCCCTTGAATAGTCAAATATACCTAGATATACCCCTAAATACCCACCAAGCTGTTGAAAGTTTAAATGTTTATCAAGCTCTTTGTTATTTGTAACAAGAACACCCATCACAACATCAGAATGTCCATTAATATATTTAGTTATAGAGTGCAATACAGCATCTGCTCCGAGTAGGAGAGGCTTTTGGAAGAAGGGGGACATGAACTGGAAATTTGCGTATTTTAGTTAAAAATGGAGGGAATGGGTATTGGGCCATCAGAAAATTTTAAAAATTTCCAATAAGGGGTGGTCATCAAAAAGTGTTTACCGTATTATCAACAACAACAAGAATGTTTGGATTATATTCTTTCACAATTTGAACAACCAAGCGAATATCAACAACTTTTAATAAGGGATTGGAAGGAGATTCAAACCAAACCATCTAAAAAATTAAAGAAAAATTTCTAAAAATTCGGAAAAAAATTTTAAAAGTTTTTTAAGAGATTTTCAAAAATACTCAAGAATTTTCAAAAAAAAAAAATAAAAATAAAAAAAATTTTTCTCACTCTCGTATTCGATTTCAAAGCCTTTCTCAACTCTTCCGGTTTCGTTAAATCCACAAAGCTCAATTCCACACCATGTTTTGCCTGACTAACAGTGCGAAAGAGTCGTTGCGTTCCCCCGTAACCGTCGTCTGAGAGAATTATGTGTTCTCCTGTATTAATCCAATTTGCCATAGCAGATGTGGCACTCAGTCCGCTAGCAAATACACGAGCTGAAAATTTTTTAAAATTATTTTTGAGGTGTATTTATTGCCTCTCTCTCTCATTTCTTACTGTAAGAAAGAGAAAAACAACCCTAGAATAATTGTCACCTACCGAATTTCCCCTCTTCCAAAGCTGCTATAGTTTCTTCAAGAACATCTCTAGTAGGATTGCCAGCTCGAGAGTAATCGTGTCCAATCGGCTCTCCAGGATTAGGCTGTCTGTAGGTCGTCGAAAGGGAAATTGGGGGGACAACCTTAAAATTTTTTAAAAAATCTTGATGAAAAAATTATTTCTGGATAACCAAAACTCAGATAAACCCCTTAATAATGACTAGAAAAATTCAAAAAATGTACTTGATGCATGTCCCAACGTTGTGGAACAATACCAGCATGAATCGCTGTTGTAGAAAAACCTTTACGTTTTTTAGCATTTTCTATATAATTCCCATTAGTAAAAGCATTTTCAATTTTATTTTCAATTTTATTTTCAATTTTATTATATTCCACAATTTCCTCAAACTCTTCCAATTTTGTATGAAGCAAGTCTGATGCTCCGTTGGATTTAATTTTGGAATTTTCTGATGTAATATGAAGATGTTTTAATTCTAGGGTAGGGGAAGAGGAAGATGGATCGACTATTTTGGTGTTGGTTTCAATAAGCATTTTTTAATAAATAAATATAATTTATTTTATTAATTTTATTGATAATAATGCCCTTAAAAAGAGAAGCAAATTACTAAACTTGTAGCATCACGGAAAAGTCTTCCGGAAAAATAGAAATATTAAAATAGAATATTAAAATAAAATATATAAGTAAAATACGAGAGTAATACTAAATAAAATACAAACTTTCCGGAAAAGTTTTCCGGAAAAACACAATATTAAGGTAAAACACAATAAAAATACAAAAGTAATACTAAAATACAAACTTTCCGGAAAAGTCTTCCGGGAATATATAAATATATTTTTATAGCTAAAATAGACTTGTAGCATTCCGGAAAAGGTTTTCCTAAAAACTGTATATTATATATTAAAATAAAAGTTTCCGGAAATAGAATGGTTTCCGGAAGGTCTAAAATAAAAAAGGCTTATTTTCTATTTTTCGGATTATATTATATTATCCATAAAATATAAAAAAGGTGATATAAAAATTATCTTTAAAGTGAAATTATGATTTTTAATTTTTATTTCTTAAAATTTAATAAAACTAATAAAAATAATTAAAAAAGAGTGAAATAAAATATAAAGGTAATTAAATAATTAATTAAGACACTTATTTCAACGAAATAATTTTTTAATTTAAAATTTAATTCCAATTTTATTTTTTTCTATTTTTTGCTTTTTAATAGCGAATGAAAATAAATTAAATAAAAAAAATTATTTTTCAATTACCTTGCAAAATTTCGTCACAGAAAGAGGTAAACAAATAAATAAGCACTATGATTAACGACCGGTTTTTTTTATTTTAACGGCTTTAGGGATTTTTGTTAGTTTCAGCTATTTTATTATATTTTAGTTAGTCTTTGTTCTTTTTATTTTTCTGTTTGTTTTTCGTTTTATTTTATTTTTATATTTGTTTAAGGGAAAAATAAAGAGGAATAAGTGGTCGGTAATGCTTGGGCGCGCGCTAATAAATTAACTGAAGATGAGAACTTTTAGCCTTGAAATTTTGTAAGGATATATTTCATAGTGTCAACTATGTTCTCTAAAAATTTTGAAATTTTTGGTTAACTATTCCTCGTGTTATAATCAAAAGAATGTCTAAAATCGTCATTTTTCCTTGAAAAAGCGGACATTTTTGATCATAACTTGAGAGATTTACGACGAAAAATTCTGAAATTTTTAGAGTATAAAGTTAAGAGTATGAAAGATATTTGTGCAAAATTTCAGAGCTCTAAGTTATAAAATGAATATTTTATAGGCACGCGTCCAAACACAAGTCGAAAGATAACGCGCCCAGAAGAACCAGTCTCGAGGGAGGTAAAATAAAATAAAAATGAGGAAATAAAATAAAAAGGAACTGACAGCCCCAACTATTCTCTTCCATTTTCTATTAATCTCAATTTAATACTATTTTTCTAGTGTGTAAATAAATCTGCTATTTTAAGTGACTACTATTTATTTAAAAGATAAAATGTGGAGGATGCTAAAAATATTAAAATAAAAATAATTTTTTGAAGAAAATACATAGAACATAAAATAGAAAGAATAATTTTAAAAAATTTTGAAGAAATAAAAGAGGACATAAAATAAGAAGAATAATTAAAAAAAATTTTTTTTTGTAGAAAAATAAAAAATAACTAATAAATTTAATAATTTATTTAGGGACAAGTATTCTTTATTAACGATCTCGTGATTTTCTCCTTGAAATTTTCTCCCTAAAATTTTTTCCTATTATAGGGAGTACAGCGAAAAAATAAAAAATAAACCTGTTTTGAATTTTAAATTTATAAAAAAATAAAAAAATTAATTGAATTTGAATTACACGCGGCAATAATTTTTTAAATTATCACCGAGTGGAATAAAAAGCCACGTTTTGCTGTCTAAAACAACTGTCAGTATTAAGAGAAATATAAAATTATTTATATACCTAAATAAAATTGTAGTTTGGAAATAAAAAAGAAAAAATGAATTGGACACAGACTATATTTAATTTGTTGAGGATTTTAAAAATACTAGAAACACGCTAAATAACACTAAAAATAGCACATAAAAAGAAGAGTGTAATGTGTGCAGGCTTATATTTAAAATACAAAACTTGTAGCCTTCATGAAAGTTTTCCGGAAAATACGCGTAAGCTTATTTCTAGTAGGTAATACTACAATCAAATTGACTTTATAGTTTCCGGAAGGTTGTAAAATAGAATAGAATAGAATGTTCTCCGGAAAGTTTTAATATTTCCGGAAATGATATAGCTATAAATAATTTATATTTATTATACTTTCCGGTTAAACAATTTTCCGGAAGAATAATTAGATAACTAATATTTCCGGAAAATTTAGAACTAAAAAAATTTTCCGGAAAGTTTCCGTAAGGTTTAGAACTCTAAACCTTTTCCGGAAAGTTTTATAGTTCATTTTAATTACTCACCCGGAAAAATTCTTTCTTGGAAATATTATCTAGGATTTTACTTAATAAAAATATAAAATGAAAAATAAGCACGTTTTATTAAAATGAAGTAGAATAACAAAAATAATTTTTATTTTAAAAGGATAGTGGATGATGCAATATTATTATTTTATTACATTAGCTTATAGTGAAAAAAGCGCTTGAATTGCATCATCACGTATTTTATTTATTTGGAAAGACGTGAGGGAAATGATGAAATTGATTTGTTAATTTCACAGACAATAATTTAATGATAAATAGTAAATAAAAATTTACCTGTATTTTAATTTTATTGAAATATTTTTTTAATTATTTTTGTTTCAAAATTTTAAATATTTTTATTAAAAATTAAAATATAATTGTTATTAATATTATAAAAGCGCGTATATTTTCCGGATAAGTTTATATTTCATTTTCCGGAAAATCTTTTTATATTTCATTTCCGGAAATATATTTATTTGCTGAAAATATAATTTTCCGGAAACCAAAATAAATATAAACTTTTCCGGAAACTTTTTTGTATATTTATTTTATTTTCCGGATTTGATAACCTTCCGAACTATTTCCTGATATTCTATTCCGGAAAATTTATTGTTCTATGATTTATATTAACCGTTATACATATCAGGGGTGGCACTCGTCTCGTGTCTCGTGAAAGCTCGTATTTTTTTGAGAATCTCGTATTTTCTTGTGAATCTTGTGTCTCGTATTTTTTGGTCCACCCCTGATACATACATATGTCTGTATATATTTTCCGGAATTTTAATTCATTATTTTATTTAAGTAATAAAAATTACTATGTGTAGTTTTAGTGATGGTCGGGAGTTAAAAAAACCCGAGAGTCGAGAGTCGAGACCGAGACCGGGAATCGACCCCGAGACCGAGTCCCGGGTCGAGACCGAGAGTCGAGACCGAGAGTCGAGACCAAAAGATTAGGAGGGATACCTTCTCTCAGTCTCACATGTCCCACGGGACATGGTACACAACAAACCACACAACAAACGTTGCAAGGCTTTGAAGCCATAAATCCTCCTATTTCATCCATTTCCTGCGCCGCAGGCGAAAATTTTGAGAATTTTGGAGGTCCTTAAGCCAGATTTCTTCCATTCTTTGTGCCGCATGCGAAAATTTTGAAAAATTTGGGAGGCCAATAGCCAGATTTCTTTCTTTTTTACCGCCGGAGGCGAAAACGCTGCGCCGCAGGAGGAAATTTTGAAAAATTCATGATTAAATTAAAATTTTTAATGTTTTTTTCAAGTTTAAAAAATTAAGAAAAAATAAATTAAAAATTTTAAAATCAAAATCAAAGCTTAAAAACGTTTATTTCCTAAAAGAAAAATTTTCACAACCTCATTTCCACCTTAGGATTCGAACCCAGCACTTACGAAATATTTAAGTGAGTGAAGTCAGTCAACTTAACCACTCAACCATCAACCATCAAATGCAAATTGGAGAAATTATAAATATATTCCTTTCCCCTTTCCTTCAAAAAGCAAAAAATTTCCGTCATTAGGGGTGTAAATTTAGTCTCGTTTTCCGAGACTAAAACACCGAGACCGAGACCGAGACCGAGAGCTCAAAAAACCCGGGAAATTTCCCGACTCGGGAACCGAGACCGGGAATCCCGACCATCACTATGTAGTTTGTGCTATTTCATCAAATATAAAATAATTTGTGTGTTTTCAACGATGTTAAATTAAAAATTTAGATAGACTACATACCAAAATCGTTGACAGCCTTTAAATACTTATATTTTTATTAAATATTTTCTAGTGTAGTCTAAAAAATCAAAAAAATAAAAATAAATTTCAATATAAATACCCCTTAAAATTCCCAAAAAGAAATTTCCTTAAATTATTATTTTATCAAAAATTTATTTTTCTGTATTAATAAAATTAAGCACCTTTTTATTGGAAAAATAAATGGGGCCATTTAATTATTTTTTTAATAATTAAATAATAATTAAATTTATTTTTGCTTTAAAAACAAGAATTTATTTAATAAAAAAAATTTTTTTAATATCATAAGAAATTTTGCATGATTTTAAAATAAATTTCTAAAAGGAAATTTAAAAAATTTATGACATTCTATCACGTTTTAAAGTTTACGCGTGCTAAATTCTCACATGGTTTATATTTATTAAACGTGATATTTAATTAGTTTAATTAATTTTTGTTTTTGATAAGTGCTTGATCAAAAAATAAAAATTAAATTTAGATGACGAGATTCTGCTATAGTTTTTTCTGGATAGAACTCCGGAATTTTCTAAGGTTAATTAAACTTCCCGGAATTGTATAAAGTTCTGGTTATATTAATTCCGGAAAACTAAATTTATTTACATACATTCCTGAAATTATTTCCGGAAAAGCTAGTAAAGCAGCTGGGCTATAGCTTTTTCACTCCTTCAGTCCAAAAGGTTAATCGGCGAACCAGCATCTTCAGTAGACCGGACTGATGAGCCGTAGGAACAGCCGTAGGAATATGTGTGATTTTCCGGTTATTTTATAGTTTCCGGAAAGTTTATTATTTTATCGTTATAAAATGCATTTTAATTAAAATTCCATCTACCGTATTTACTCTAATAATCCCCCAGCCTCTATTAATTCCCCAGTCTCTATTAATTCCCCACCCTAGCGATGGGTTGAAACAATAATCCCCCTGGGGGATTACTAGAGTAAATACGGTATTTTCCGGAATTTCCTTAATTTTTTTTAAAATTATAGTTCTAATTTTGTCTTAATAATATTTAATAATTACTCAAGTTATACATACCTATTTAATTAAATTATCAATTATTTTAGAATAATTTTAAAAATATTTTTTAAATTAATATTTTCGCTTTATTATGGCCTCACTCACTTCAACCCATATAGACAGGCAAATTTATCACTCCTTTTGGGACAAATTTTCCGATAGGGCTGATAATACATCCATGCTTTTAAATGCGGATGCTGATAAATTTGAAGCTCTTGACAGGCAAATAAATTAAAAAAGAAAATTTTTGAAATTTTAAATATTTTTAGAGCAGAAATTATTGAAATGTTGCCTTCTTTTAAAAATAAATTTGTTGTGGATATTGGGGCGGGTATTGGGTTGGTTATCCAATAAAATAATTTTAGTGAATATTTAATATTATTTTAGAAGATTTACAACAGAATTTGCTAAAAAGGCAAGAAAAGTGGTCTCAACAGATTTTGTAGTGGGTATTATTAAACTTTTACTATAGCTTCCGGAAATACATTTTCCGGGAGGTATTATAATGCTTTCAGGAAAATTTATTCTCTATTCCGGATTTGAATACCTTCCGGATTTATATAAAGTCTTGAGAATATCAGGAAATATTTTCCGGAAAATATTACCGGAAGCATTTTCCGGAATATATATTCGGAAACATTTTCCGGAAAATATAACAGGTAATATTTTCAGGAAAATATACCCGGAAACATTTTTCCGGAATATATAATATCTATAAATATTTATTTTCCGGCTGTTATACATATACTTTCCGGAAACTTTATTATTCTCTGTCATAGATTGTATTTTGATTCCGGAATTTAACATTAATACCTAGTAATATACCTACATATTAATGTAACTTTCCGGAAAATCATTTTCTATTTTCCGGAAGACAAATATCCTTGTATCACCTAAATAAAAATATTATTTCCTAGGCTAGCTTTATCGAGAAAAATCGGGAAAGGAACTTAGCCTTTAATAACATTGAATGGAGAGTTGGTGATGCTGTAAGATTAGATTTTGAAGAGGGGAGGTTATTTTAATCTGGTACTTTTCCTTAAAAAATATTTTTTAAAGTATTGATATAGTTTTTACCAATTGGCTTTTAATGTATTTAGTGGATGAAGAAGTTGTTGAATTTTTGATTAATGCCATTAAATGGCTCAGGCCTGGTGGCTTTTTACATTTGAGAGAGTCCTGCTCTGAACCTAGCAGTAAGTGTTGCTAAATAATTGTGGAAAACTTTTCCGGATACAACCGGAAAATTTACCTCTAGGCAGGAGATGGTAATTATTTGAGGGAGGGCAATTATCTGAGTAAATTATCACTAAAATCCAAAATAATATTTTCAAAAATATTTTAGGCAAAAAATCTAATAATTCGCTACATTCCAATTCTGATAGTATCAATCCAACTAAATATCGCTTTTCATCCGCATATATTCAATTGCTCAGATCAATTAATTTTAAAAGCAGAGATGGAAACGTTTGGGGGTTTAAAATCCACTGGGCTTGCTCTGTTAATGTTTATATTCAAGTAAATTTAATTGAAAAATTTTAAATTTAAAAATAAAATTAAAGAAAAATGCAAATTGGAGGCAAGTGCATTGGTTAGTAAGCAAGGTTCCTAAAAATGAAAAATTGATGCCAAATTTGGTTACGATGCTAGGAGAGATGTGGCCTAAAGAGCAGAAGGAATGGGACAATAAACTTGACTTGGCTTTGAATGTGAATCAGAATGTATGTAAATGAAACTATCCGGGATATACTAAAATAAATTTTTAAAACAAATTTCCGGAGAATATAATGTATTATTAATGAAATACGGAGAAAATATAGTTTCCTAAAAATATCAGGAAAATCTAATCATTAATTATTAAATATAATACAGTCCGGAAAATGATAAATACATAATACTGCAATCCGGAAAATAAATACAGTTACTATTTCCGGAAAATATTCAATATCAATAAATTACAGAATAGTTTCCGGAAAATAATGTATGTATTAACTAAATACTATAATACAATCCGGAATATATTAAAATCCATACTGTATAAAAATCATTTCCGGAAAATACTAAAATTTATAAAAATATTTCCGGAGAATATAATGTATTAATAAAATACGGAGAAAATATAGTTTCCATAAAATACTAATTATTAATTATTAAATATAATACAGTCCGGAAAATGATAAATACATAATACTGCAATCCGGAAATAAATATAGTTACTATTTACGGAAAATATTCAATATCAATAAATTACAGAATAGTTTCCGGAAAATAATGCATTAACTAAATATAATACAATCCGGAAAATACTAAATATATTTATAAAAAATTATTTACGAAAAATATATACTCTATCATTCCGGAAGCTATACACATTCAATTATAAAATTGTATTTTCTAGTACACTTTCCGGAAAATAGAATAATTTTCGGAAAATATACTTTATCATTCCGGAAGCTATAAAATTTATTTTAACGTCGTATTTTTTACACTTTCCGGAAAATAGAATTAATTCCGGAAAATACTTAATTATAATACTTCTCTTCATTTCAGATCACTTCAACTCTAGCCAGTTATCTTTTATCTAGTGGGATTGGATCAAATTCAGTTATACTTGTTTTCGACTTGAGAAATAGTGAAAATCAGCCCAGTATTAATGTTCACACATTGGCTAACGTAATAAATCTTTAAAAAATTCGTCCCAAAAATTCAAATTTTTAGAGACTAAATTCAAATATTTGGTCGGTTTCCCTCAATCCTTACTGCTTCCGTCATTCATTAACCCTTGCTAATAATAACCAAGACAGACGGATTAGACACTCTTGGCATGAGGATATTGAAAGCGCCTTCCAATTTTTGGGTGAACAAATATCCGGCAAAGAGCAAAATATTAACACGTTATTTGATGTGATTATTGGTATTGGTCTGTTAGAAAAACTTAAAGAAATGAAAAATGCTAGCGAGAAAGTTGAGGTGTGATTTTACAATTTTCTGGATTAGAAATATTTTTCTTGCAGAAAATCCTCGGCCGTTATTTGTTAAGTGTTGAAACATGTGAAGGAGTTGATGTAAGAGAGGTAGAAAAGAATGATGAACTTCCGGTAAGTTTATTTTTAAATTTGTATTACAATTTGTAAGGATATAACCTAGTTTACAACTCAAGTTTTAAGTGAATTTTCAATTAAGTTTATTTTTGTAATATTATAATTTATAAAATTGTAAATACAAATTGTAATATTACAAAAATAAACTTGGTAGTTGAAACTTGAAACTTAAAAACTTGAAACTTAAGTTGTAAAAGTTAAATTATATTTTTACAAATTGTAAAAGCATTTTTATTAACTAGTCTACTTTACAATTTGTAATTTAGCTACTTTTTACAATTTGTAAAAAATCCCAACCTAATTTCAGGAATATCTCCCATCAGAACTATTTACAAAGCAAACAGTACAATACTCAGAAAATGCAAGTTTAATCAGCTTGGTTAGGATTGAAAAAGTCAAGAAACTTGTGAAGGAGAATAAAAAAGATGAAAGCATGGGGGTATGGTTAAACCCAATAAGTGGAGGATTTTAAAAATATTTTTAAAAATTTTCGATTTAAAAAAAATAAATTGAAGGGTTTTCTCATTGTCCCGCCTTTGATAATTAATTAAAATAAATTTTTAAAATTGGATATGAAAAGTTTTTGGTGAACAATGAGTAAAACAACCTTTTTTTGATTATCTAAAGCTAATAAAAATTAAAAAAAATTTTGTCAAATTTTTTAAAATTAAATCGCAAAGGATGTACAACCACGCCTTTTTAATAAGGGCGTGGTTTCACTAGCTTCCCTTTCTTCCTCTTTTCTGGCTATTTCTTCCATAATTTCTATTGTACGGGAGTGACCAACACCTGTGGATATAATTGGAATAAAATCAGAATAAAAATTAGGTCAGAATTTCAAAAATCAGAATTTGAAAAATAAAATTCTCTTAAAAATCAGAATATCAAAATGAAATCAAAAAACATTTAAAAATCAGAATTTTTAAATTAATTAAAACCAGAATAAAATATTTTAAAAACAAAAATACAAGAAAATCCAAATATTTTTATAATCAGAATAAAAATCAGAAGGCTTAAAAATTATGTTGGAATAATAGTTTAGATTCAAAACAGGAAATTAGAATTTAAAAAATCAGAACTAGGAAATCAGAATTAATGATAATAATAAAAAAATCAGAATTGAAACCAGAAAATCAAGCCTGTTCAGAATTTAAATTTCAAACATAAAAATCAGAATTTCAAAAACCAGAATTTCAAAAACCAAAATTTTACAAACCAGAATTAATATTAAAAATCAGAATTTCAAAAACCAAAATTTTACAAACCAGAATTAATTTTACAAACCAGAATTAATTTTACAAACCAGAATTAATTTTACAAACCAGAATTTTACAAGCCAATATTAATATTAAAAAATCAAAATTTTTAATCCCCTTACATTTAGTATTAAATTCAATTTTATCAGTTTTAGCAAAAAGTGCCCTAGACAGAGGCGAGCGTTCTCCATTGTTAAAACAAGCCGTCTATTAATTAAAAATTTTTCAAAAAATTTCTGTAAAAATTTACAGCGCAGAACAGATAAAACCAGTCATATTTTAATTCGGTAAAGACAACTCTCCTTCCATAAACATTCATTTTTTGCCATTCACCTAAACGTGCTTCTGAATTATCTGTCCAGTAGACAACATAATTCTTTAAAAAAATTTTTCTTCAGTTAAAAAATTTTTTATCAACCTTTAAATCATTAGCCCTTTTATAGGGCGGCTCCCAACTCAATTCAATTGAATTTGGGCTCAATTTTGTAGCCAAAATGTGTTGGGGACTAAGTTGGGGTTCTGTAAAAGTTTAAGGGGTATAATATGATTTTTGGATATTCACCAGTATATTGAACTAAAATAACAGGCTTGCTCTCCCCATATTTTGAAACTGCTGTAATTCTAAATTCATATAAGGAACATGATTGAAGGCTCATAATCTCTACAGCAAAATTCTAGGAAAAAATTTTCTAAAATTTTTTTTTCATAAAGAAACTTGTATTCCTTTCAATTCTCGTATTTTTGAATTTTTGTCCTCTCCCTCTTCAAATTCTTCGTATCTGGAAATGAGAGAATTTACAGTAATTTACGCAAAATGTGTGGAAGTGAAAAGAAGCTCAGTAAACGCATACCGATTTCTAGGTGTTAGAAAAGCTGCTTACTTAACTTCTGTAAAGCAGCTTTTTTAACACCTAGAAACCTATATGAGTTTAAAGAGCCTCTTTTTTAAACGATCCTCTCTCTCTTTCTTATATTCTCTCTTATATTGAGGCCAAAATATGGGTTAAGTTAAAAGAAGCTCAGTAAACGCATGCCGATTTCTAGGTGTTAGAAAAGCTGTTTACATAACTTCTATAAGCAGCTTTTCTAACATATCGAAATCTACATGCGTTTGAAGAGCTTCTTTTTTAAATGATTCTCTCTCTCTTATATGTACTCTCTCTTATATTGAGGCCAAAATATGAGTTAAGTTAAAAGAAGCTCAGTAAACGTATGTCGGTTTCTAGGTGTTAAAAAAGCTGCTTTCATAACTTCTGTAAGCAGCTTTTCTAACATATCGAAACTTAAATGCGTTTAAAGAGCTTCTTTTTTTAACGATTATTCTCTCTCTTATATTGAGGGTTTCTCTCTCTTATATGTATTCTCTCTTATATTGAGGCCACTTGAGTATACCTACTTTTGTCTATATCGTATATTGTAAGTAACTTTGACATCAGAAGAGGAAAAAGCTGGCGCCCAAGCTAATCTAACACTGTAGGCTGATGTTGACACAATTTGACATTCATGAGGTGGATCTGGTGGCAGGCGAGCAAACATAAAGGTTCCATCAGGCACTTGAAATTTTTTAGAGTTTCAAAGTGCCCCAATACTCAAATTCTGATAAAACTCACAAATATGCGAAGTTCTTCTGTGTCTAGAAAATTTTCTCAATGAAATCTTTCTTTGCATTTCTGTAAAATTTCGATGGGCAAAGATCATTCCTTTAGCTAATTGTGCTAATAAATTGGCCATTGCAACACGCCGTTTTCTATTTTATTTTTTTAATAAAATTTTGAATTTATCATTTACTTTGCTTTTGCCTCCCTTATCATATAGAAAGGGTTATTCGATTGCAATTTTCTTCCCAAATAGTGAATTTCTTTTAAATACATTCGTCCTACAATGTCCATACCTAAAATTCGAATCCACTGATTAACCTTCGATTACCGTATTTTCTCTAAAATACTCCTCCACTCTCTAGGATACCCCCTCTCTAAAATACCCCCATTATAAAATAAGCCCCACCCCCAATCTCTAAAACAACATCCCCCTCTAAAATACCCACCCCTTCAAAATACCCCCCACCCTTCTAAAATACACCCCCCTCTTTAAAATAGCTCCCCTTCTAAATTTCACCTCCCTATAAAATACTCCCACCCTCTTTAAGATACCCCCCCCCCCTCTAAAATACCCTCCCCTCCCTCTCTAAAATACCCTCCTCCTTTCTAAAATAGCCCCCCTCAAGAGGTCGATCGAAAGATAGCCCTCGGGAGTTATTTTAGAGAAAATACGGTATTTCAAAATGTCCAATCTCAAAATTTTGTTCATAATGTCCAAATTCCATAAAACAAGTTTTCTACTGTATTTCGACAAAATGAGTTTCCCCATTATGACTCTTTTAAGTTCTTGACATTTTGAAAAATTGACGTTTTTGATGTTGTCTGAATTATAAATTACTAACACATAGTAGTGAATATAACACCACAAATAACCAGAATCAGAACGGGAAACATATTTTCTGGATGGGGACGGTAATCGCCAAAACCTTGAGGGAAAGAATAATTTTTTGGAAATTTTTTAAAATTTTCAACCTACCAACAGTCAATATACTTATAAAAGTAAAATATAATGATTCTAAATATGTCCATTTAATTTCGTATTGTTTTTGAATTATTAAAGCAGCTAGGAAGCCATAGGCTATAACTAGGGTAAAAGCAATAAATGGTGGAAAACGAACAAGACGGACACGTTCCAAGAAACTCTGAAAATGTGAAAGTGAAAATATATTGTCGTAAAATTTTTCTAAAGACGACAAAATGACTCAGAAACGACAAAATATCCCAAAAACGACAAAATATCCCAAAAACGACAAAAAATTCGCAAAAACGACAAAGTACCTCAAAAACGACAAAATGTTACAAAAACGACAAAGTTCCCAAAGACGCCAAAATGACTCAGAAACGATAAAGTATCATTAAACTTTCTTCTCATACCTGTTCGTCATCATTTTCTCCTATTAATTCACCACTATTTTCATTTGAATTTTGGCCAGGTATATTGCTTCGACTTCGAAAAAAATCTCTTAAATTTCCCCAAATAGCCCAAAATTTGTAGTGGAGGAAGAAAACAAATTCAGTGAAAAATTTGGCTAGGCTAAAGAAAAATTTAAATTGGATTATCTAATTAAAAGTAGTCAAACCTCGCTATAAGTTACCCTTAGGGCTTGAAAAATCCTAGCCGATAATGGGGTATACCTGTGTTAAATTGGAGGTATCCCTTAGGCAGCTTGGCCGTACTTGTGTAGTTTCCCCCCATTAAGCCCCGCCTCTTTCTCTACTCTCTTCCTTTTCTTTTAAAGCTCTTTTTCTTTTTCTTCCTAAAAGAAAAGCTTACTTCCCTTCTTTATAAGAAAAGGAAGAGAGAGAGAAAGTGATTAGGGGCGGGGCTTATGGGAGGGAAACTACACAAGTGGAGACAGGGGGACACACTGTGGACAGAGGGACCCACTCTGTGGACACGTGGGCAACCATATTTTAAAAAAATGACTCCTAAATAGAGGTGTATCCAATATTGGGAGTATCCTATAGGGAGGTCTGACTGTAAGCTTAAAGACTTTGCAACGTTGACCAGAGTAAGAGGAATACCTAAAATAAATTTTTTTTAAATTAATTCAATTTATTAACCAATTAAACAATACAACACCCCAAAAAGTCTCCCATAAAAAGTAGTTGGACAAACATATCCATAACCTATTGAAGTTAGCATTGTAGCTGTGAAGAAGAGGGAGTTTTTGAAGTCCCAAGTTGGCGGGTTCTTAATTAGAAGATTTTTATTTTATTTTATACAATCGAACCTCACTATTAGATAGAAGTAAATTTAAGTACACCTCAATTAAATATACCTAGTTTGCCACGGACGGAAGAACCACATTTGAGATAACTCTCATTATAAGATACTATGTACTATTTTCTGTCTTACAGGGAAATTTTTTCTGTCAAGTAGCTGTTAAGAAAATGGAGTTTATGATGTCCCAGTCTTGTGTAGTTTCCCCCCACTTGTGTAGTTTCGCTCTCCTGTCGAAATTTCTACTTTTTTGGGGGTTCGCGTTTCTTCTTTCACATTTTTCAGTGTTTCGACCCTTCGCTTTCGACTTTCGTTTTTAAAATAGTATTGATCACCCATGCTGTGGAGAAGTTTTTAAAGTCCCAGTACATGTGTAGTTTACCCCCACTTTCACCTCCTCAAGTATTAGTGAGGCCCGACTTGTAAAATTATTAATTATCCACCTCCTCAAATCCATGCCTAACAGATTTGTGTGCACTATACACAGTATCCACATAATTTTCAAAATGTTCTCTAGTACCTTCCAAAATTTCTTTAATTAATTCCTTTTCGGATAGTTCCCTCTCATTTAAACGTTGAGGAGGATTATTTATTAAACTCCATAAAGCATCGGCATATAAAATTGAATTTTTGTCGATCAAGTTTAAATGTTTTGATTTTGTTTCTGTAATGGGAGTAAAATAAATTTAAAAAGGAATTTTTATTTCGAAGGGTGTTGAGTTTAAAATCCTTATATTGATGCTATCCCCAGGATAATACTAACAATAAGCAGGAATAACAGTAAAAGTTAAGCAAATTTTAGATACCCAAGCAGGAATAGACCGGAGACGTATTGGTAGTTATATCGTTCAGCCCCAGATATGTAAGTGTTAGGAGTGTTGCAGGACGCAAGACGCAACGGACGCAAATAACACAAAACACAATGCGCACACCCTTGGCTTAGATATCAGAACTGTGTAAACTAAATATTCAGAATCGGAAGAAAAATCGAAGAAAAATGATTGAGATTTTTGGGTCTCCCTTCATTGTAGTGTCTGGAACGAATTTAAGTCTCTCTTTGGAGCCGATAGAGACTACTTAGATTAATCAAGGAAGGAGAGGAATTAATCCAAGGATGGATATAGTATTCGAAAATAAATCTAGAACTTAAATAAAATCACCTTTAAGATGCTCCCCTTCCAATAAACGAAAGACCCAGGCCCCAAATACCGTATACAGCAAACAGGCCACGGCGAGGAGAACGTGGTGTGAAAGTAAGCGGTTGCGGAGACAATTGCTATTATTAATAACTTTTTAAAATAATTTTGGTTATAGCTTACATAAATGAGTTAAATAAACATTCTAGAAAATTTCTCATTTTCTAGAGGTTTGAATTTTCAAAATTTTTAATTTTTGGCGGTTTGTCCATTTTTTATTAAAATAGGGCAAATTTTGGCTTTTTATGGATAAAATAGGAATTGATATATTTGACTTGAATTTTTTATTTTTTTCTGACAAGAAAAATAAAATATTATAGAAAAGAGCTAAAAATAATCCCAAGGGGGATTTTATATTTTTAAATGAAGATTTTTTATTTATTTATAGAGGGAAAAACAATGAAAAATAGTGGATTTTTTGGCGCAGTAAGAGTTGCTTGGGAGCTTATAAAATATGTTTAGGTCTACTTAGAACTGTGAAATTTTGCAGGGATGCCATAGATACTCTTGTTTATCAGTTTCATAAATTTCAGAATTTCTGGTTTCAAATTTCAGAATTTCCGGAGGAAAAATCAGAATTTTTATTAAAAATGCTAATTTTTTAGAGGTTTTTGGCCCATAACTTTTGAATAGGTTAAGTTAAAATTATGAAATTTTTACTGTCGTTAGATAATACTATTATAAAGTTCTGTGCAAAATTTTAGAGCGGTACCTTCTCATTATCTAATAATTTTATATGAGGGCGTGACCAATGGTTGCTAGTCCAAAATGGTTTAAAAGATTTATTATTCATATTTTTACTGAAAAAATTTTTTCCTCTTGTAAATGTGAAATTTTGTTGTAATATCGGTAATATTTTTGTTTAATAGACTAAAAAATTTCAGAATTTTTTGGTACAAATTTCAGAATTTCAGAAGGAAAAGTCAGAATTTTGCTTATAAATGTCAATTTTTCACAGTTTTTTGGCCATAACTTTTGATTAGGTTAAGTTAAAATTATGAAATTTTTACTGTCGCTAGATAATACTATTAAAAATTTCTGTGCAAAATTTTAGGGCGGTATCTTATAATTATCTGATAATTTTGTATGCGGGCGTGACCAATGGTCTAGTCCAAAATGCTTTAAAAATTTTATTTCTTCATAGTTTTTTGAAAAAAAAATTTTTTTTAAATATTAAAATAAAAAAGTAAATAAAATTTGTATTTTGTCCAACTCTTTAGTGCAAAAATATATTTAAATTTAATTTAAAAAGCAAAGCGTCAGACGACTATTTTTTGGCTAGTATGTAGTACAATGCTTCCTTTCATGCTTCTTTGTCGTAATCAAATAATCTTATTTTGGATATTATTAGGTGTTCGATTTATTTAAAAAATGAGGGAGTGTTGTTATGGAAAAATTAAAATTTAGACTTAAAAAAATTTTTTCTAGAATTTTTTAAAAAATTTTGGAATTTTTTAAAATTTTCTAAAAATTTTCCTTCAATTTTCTCTATCGACCATAAGATCAAAAATGATAGTAACTTTGTATTAACAATATATTACTCTTACGAACTTACCATATTTCCTATAATAGAATGCCACCCTCTAATAAAATGTCACCTTTGAAGGTGATTGAAAAATAGAATGCCATGGCATTCTAATAGAGGAAATACGGTATATGTTTATGTCTTGAAATGTAAGGTAGTAAAACGTATAATACTAGAAACTTGAAATTCTTTTTTTCACAAACTTAAGTTAATTAAAGAAAAAGTTTTAATAAAGGTATAAGGAATGTCTACCAGTAAAACTATACCATAAACTTGAATTAAAATGTTCGAAAAAAGTTCTAGAAAAAGTTTAACTAAGTAAAAACGCAAACTTAAGTTTGTAAAGAACGAATGCTAAAAAGGTTGTAACCTTCGTAAATTAGCTAGTAACTAGTAAAATAAATTAATTAAATTAACACGCGATTTATACACGCAATTATTACTAGAATAATACAAATTATTAAGGTTGCAAAATTATTATTTGGTGAGAGCCAACAATACATAAAAGCTGGTATTTTAAAGGGTAAAAGCATTTTAGTTTTGTAACATTTACGTGTTAGCAAAGCTTTAATAAACCTTTAATTTCTTGCCTAGCTTACATCAAGCTAGGCAATAGCCTTGTTTTAATGAATATTTGAAAATTTTTTTGGTAAATATGTAGGTAAATACCAATGTATATTTGGGGCTTTATTAACTATGAATTTATTCTACTATAACGGCAGTATCTTTTATAACGAAACCTAGAAGAGTGTTGAAAATTAAAACGACATGTCGTTATAATAGAATAAATACGGTATTATTAATTTACTATATGTGCTCTAATATAGGCTAGGCTCTATTAGAAGCCCATTTTTAATATATAAACCAACCCGAAGGTCCCAGCGTAAAATATAAGCCAAGACTCTAGAGATTAGAAATCATAAAGCTTGACCTTGAATTTTTTTGAGGACCTTGACCAGATTCTTGACCTTAAACCAAGGAAAATAGAAGCCTAGGAAAGCCAAGGGACACAATAGAATGCTCTGCTCTTGAAAGCAAGGTTTGAATTTAGATCTAAGGCGATCTCTACAGTCTATAATGGAAGTCTATGTCTAATATAGGCCCACTCAAAGTGATCTATTGAAAAATTAAGCTTAAAAATTTCTGATTTTTTAAATAAGAAAATGAACACTTCAACACAAACTAACCAAACAGAATTAATTATTCTATCTCCATTTATTTATTCATTATTAAATATAATATCAACAAATGTAGCTATTCCACACATTATTGCTGGAATAATAGGAATACCTTCTGCTTTACTTTATATTTTTGAATTAATTATTTTATATAAAAAATGGAAGGAATTTAAATCTTCTTTTTTTGTTCTATTCTCTCTTAGAGCTGTTATTGTAAAAATTAAAATTTTTCAAAAAAATTTTTAGAGGGGGTCTAGGAAAATTCATTAAGTCCATTAAACTACTATTTATTCCACAAAATATATGGAAGGCCGGCCATATTTTCTCTAAATATGAGACATGGCAAATTTAAAACACCCAATCGTAGTGGGATGAATGGCAGTTAATAGCCTTGATCGGTGAGATTCTCGGATCAAGTCCCCTCTAATCCTTTGCTATTTTATGGGACGATTAGGTCACCTCTCTAACATGAGGAGATCGGTTTCTAGTTGAGACCCATGCTTAGGAGTCTCGATGAGAGTCTTGATGAGAGACTCGATGAGAGACTCAGGGACTCAGACTCTCTCAGACTCAGAGAGACTCATACTCATTCGAGACTCATGTTAGGAGTCTGCCCCTCAAATCTCCACATTATTATTTGGCCTGAAAATGATTCAGCTCCAAATTCATTTTAATTTAAGTGCCTGATCAATCTCTGCTTTTCCTATGTAAATCAACGGTTTCTCAAATTTGGCTGGTTCATACCCATCTACCAACAATTGCCTACTGTAGTTCTCTCAATCTTCTACTTTTTCATCTATTACCCTTTCCACGTTGAGGACCTTGCCAGCATTTTTATGATAATTAACAGACTTAGTGCTATAGCTGTGCCGATGGAATATGAGGAGGCAAGAGGGATTTTGATTAAAAATAATTAAGAATCCTAACAGATTTGGACCAAAAAACGAGTTGTGGCGGTTGTGATATTCTGTTGTGTGGCCCCACTTACAGTTACATACCACATTTTACAGTACACTACATATCTGAGTTTGATGAATGAGAACAATTATGCGCTAGCCTATTCTCTACAGACCTCTGGATATTCGTTGGTGGGTTTAGGAGGATTATGGAATACTGTTAGAGTTCAATATAAGATGTCCGAGAGTAGATACACTATTTAAAATAACTTTTAATTATAGGATACGATGCTATTCAGCGGGTATCTCTAAGCATGGTTGAGGTGTAGATACATACTGGGTGTTGCTCTGGTAGCTTTCGGAAATGGTTCAATGACTGTGTCAAGGTGATGACCGTGTCATGGTCAATGACCGTGATGACCGTGTCATGGTCCAATGACCGTGTTATGGTTCCAATGACCGTGCCTGCCGTCATTGCCCTATACCTCCCTTGACTTATATCCATAGACCGTAAAAAGACCCCCCCCTCCCCATTCTGGACTGGACTTTAGAAAATCCCGCTCGGATCCTCTGAAAAACCCAAAATTTCAACAAAAATTATTTTAAGGGAATAATCACCTACACAAAAGTGATCGGAGTATTTTCAAACAACAACGGAATCGCTGCACTAACATCCTTCTTTTTCATGGGGATTTCATTAATTTTGAATATTTACACCCTAATTTTATTTAAACGAAAAAATAATATTGTAATTCTAAAAAACAACAAAAAATATTCCGAAAACAAAATAAAAATGGAGCGACGTCTAACTGTATTTGTGCTGGTCACATTTTTGGGGCAATTGATAGTCTCCCTATTTATGGTCACTTGGTTTACTGCTTCAGCAGCTTTGAAACCCTTTGTAGATAAAGACACTTATAACTTGATAAACTTTGCCGTGCAAAATCAGAGTGAGTCTATTGTGTTTATTTCGATATGTGAGCATAAGAGATCGGTCAACTCACAGCTTTGGAAGAGGGATTCGGGATTGAGGGGGATATCAGTGATCAAGGAGGATTTCATTGGATTAGGGAGGATATCTGGGGATTAAGGAAGATTGGATAAGGAGGATGCCAGAGGATTGAGGAGAGGAGAATGCTAGAGGATTGAGGAGAGGAGGATGCCAGAGGATTGAAGAAAATATCATGGATTTTTATGATATCTAATCCAGCTCCGATTTCGTCTTCGCCTACTTACTTCCTTTTTGGGATGTGTCATTATAACTGGAAATGGTCAATTAAGGAGGATATCGAGGAATTAAAGAGGATGTCAGGGGGATTATTATAACCAGGGAATCCGGTTCAGCCCCAATTCCACCTTCGCCTACTTACTTTTGATAGTGTTCGCTCGTAAACTTTGCCGAGTTTTGGACCATAACAGAAATAATTCTGATTTTTTACTTTTCAAGATTTAATTTAACTAAAATTACAGGCCCATGGGTAAACGACATTTCTACAATTGCATTGCCTGCGTGGCTAATGCTTTGGGCTAATGAGCGATTGCATCAATCTATTTCTTCTAGCCTCAACAAAGCTAAAGAGAATATTCTCCATTTTCTCAAATTTGGCAAAAAGCCAATAGCTGTTGGGGATTCAAGTCAACAAAACAAATTATTTGTTCAGAAGCCCGAAGGAGGCAGAAGATTTATCAAAAGCGTTTCGTTTCCTGAATCTACTGAACCGAATCGGCTTCATAATTAGAATTTATTTTGAATATACTTGCCTAAATTTAATGAGACTTCTTCTCAGTCCCTTGTAAATTTAAGTAGTGAGGGTAACTTATAATGAAGCTATTAGTAAATTGGGGTTAATGAAGACCTCTCCTCAGTAAGATTGGCGGATAGTTGGAAATTTTCGGATATCCGGATCCGGTATCCGATCCGAAAATTTCCGGATATCCGGCCTTTTTCGGGTCAGGATATCCGGATCCGCCAACCTTACTCCTCAGCCCCTTGTAATTTAGTATTTGTGTATCTTATGATGAAGTTCAACTATTACTAAAATTGGGGGTGGGCATTATTTTATGGGAAATAATGGGTGGTAGCGCATAATCTCAATTTAATATACACCTCATTATAAGAGATGATATTTTTAGCCCGAAGATGGTATCATACATATTGTAAAGTTCTACTTTATTTTTTTATTTAATAATTTTTAACTGGTATTTAAAAATTTATTTACACATATTCTAAAATAAATTAAAAAATATTTTCTGAAAATTTTAAAAATTTTATTGTGACTCTTTTGCCGCTCTACTCGTTCTAGTATTACCAGTTTGTTGTGGTATAGCCATAGATTGTCGTTTTTCATCTAGCAATGATCTGGCACTAACCTCAGGGTTACGATAACGATCATTTATTAGAACATAAATTCTAAATTGAAAATTTTGAAAAATATTGGGAGAGGATAGAGTTAAGTCCAAAGAGCCTTGAAAATAAAGTGGGTGATTTATACTAGTCCTCCTTCCCAATAAAATCCCTATTTTCCTTCAGAAGAGGAGGTGTACGGTATTCATCTAGTATCCCTCCCCTTCCACTAGTCCTTGAAAGAAAAGGATGGGTAAGTTATGCTATGCCCCTTTTTACTCCGAATGAATGAGTGATCTAGACTATCCCGCCCCGGCTATGAAATTTAACTTTCAAAAAACACCTGTAAATCTCCAAAAGAATAATCAAAATATTTTTTGAAATAAACAAAATTAGAGCAAAATCAGCCTCCCATAGCCAACCCAAAACAATTAGGCGAACAATTAAAAAGGGTAAATCCTGGCATGCCAAGGATATTAGAAGCGACCAAATGTCCAGGTCGAAAAATGCCTTTAGGGGACAGAATATTAAAATTTTTCGAGAAATTTCTGAGAAGTTAAAAAAATTTTTTTCAAAAATTTCTGAAATTTTAAAAAAAAATTTTCCAAAAAAATTTTTCAAAAATCCCACCTGTCTAAAATCATGCCTATTTGTACTTAATAAAATTTTAGTAGCCACAGCAATTCTCATTTTTCGAGAACGACTGACTGTCAATATGAAAGCAAATTGGATTAGTGAAAGCGCAAAAGCACTGAGTATGGACATTTTAAGTGAAGAGTCTGAACAAACTGAAGATCTATTTAATAAACCGGCAAATTCGAGAATATCAGTTGTTATGGCCTTTAAGAAATTTTTATTCAGAAAAATTTTTTAGCTCCCACCACAGACCCTGAAACTCCCCAGTCCGATTACCGACAGTTTTTTACCCCAATATCCCTGTTCCTCAAAAATATTCTTCCGACGTCGAAGACCAACTCTTTCAGGTCAAAGGAAAGAGGTCTATTTTGCTCAGCACTCCCCTCTAAATTTAAGTGACTAAGAGCTTTAGGTATATTTTTCTTGCCTCAAGTATTCCCTATACCAAGGGGTCGGAATTTAGAGGAAGGAATTCAGAGCGGTGCCCTTGCTCTATACTTCCTCTACCTTAACTCACTTGTCCTATCCTCCCTTGCCTTATATCCATTTTCCCGTTGCCTATCCTCACCCTCCTCACTTTAGTTAATCTAAAAAAATCACCATATAAGCAAGCAATATCTGTGATAATTCTTCTCTATTTAACTCAAATCTAGGTAACATCCACCTCGCAATAATCAAAACCAAAAATAAGGTGTAGGTCAAAATTTGGGGTAGAATAATTCCTTCGTTTGGAAGAAAATTAGGTTGTAATCCCAAAGAAACAAGTGGAGAAGAATAATTATTTGGCAGGTTTATTGTGGGGGAATTGAGAGTATAATCACATAGAGAGCTTAACATTATCCAAATTGGAGGGATCTGATTTAAAAAAATTTTAGAAGAAATTATTAATTTATTTTTTGCTACCGTAGCAGACAGATAAATTGAAACAGCGAAGGAAAATCTGAAAAGATTATTTTTGAGCTGACTCTCTTTCTAATGAATCTCTATATAGGAGACACGATCAGTAAAAATTTCCGTTAATCCTTGACAATTTTGAATTCTGACTGTCGTTAATTCTGACCGTTTTAAAAGACAGCTTTTTAAACACATGTAATTCTCGATTGTTTAAAAAGCTGTAAACAAGGTAAATCAGAATTCTGAATTTAAATTCCGATTTTTAAGTAAAAATTCCGATAATCCTTGATTGTTTTTAATTTAACGAGAAAAAACCTACAATCTTGGCTCATCTCCAGCCCTAACAATCACTGCATAAAAGCCTTCACCAATTAAACAAAAGGCTATTAATGAAAAAGCCCAAATGGAATTATCTGCCCTTAATTCGGCTGCTGCCCATATACAAAATATTGAATGAGACTTAAATAATTATATTTGATTAAATATGATTTATTTTAAGTTAATCAATTACAGCTTTTTAAACGCACATGATTCTTGATTGTTTAAAAAGCTGTAAGCAGCTTTTTAAACGCACATAATTTTCGATTGTTTAAAAAGCTGTAAACATGGTAAATCAGAATTCATGATTTTTAAATTCTGTTTAAAGTTCTGATTTCTATATTCTGATTTTTAAATTCTGATTTTTATATTCTGATTTTTAAATTCTGATTTTTATATTCTGATTTTTAAATTCTGATTTTTAATTCTGGTTTTAAGTTCTTATTTTTAATTTCTCCTTTATTTTTAATCTTTCCAAACTAACCATAAGTAAGATTCTAACAGTTAATGCTCTAAGTACATTAGATAGCAGAGAAGTTGAAGAAGATTGGAACATTAGATCACTACTGAAGTTGGAAGATCTATGACCTCCCGTTGTAGAGTGCCGAACAGTTGAGGAGTTTACTGCTGCTGAGGTTGAGGCTACGCTCCTGTTGAGTGAGAAAAATTTAATTTTCAGATGTTTTTTTCTCGGTTTACTTTCTCTGTTTTGGAGCAGCCGTTCCAGAAATACTTTCTTTACTTCGACTTTCCCTTCTCGGGGCCATTTGTGCATGCCCTGTAGATTTTCGTTGTTCTGCCCCACTGGAAGCCTCTCCTCCCTTCTCAAGACCAGCACCACTTCCACTTCTGCTTTCCCTCCGAGGGCCACTGCCTGACTGCTGTTCTAATCCACTTCCAGAAAAGTAGAACCACTTAAAAATCAAGGAAAAATATTTAAGAGGGTCATCAGAAGAAAACTTGCCATTTTTGAATTTTCAGATTATCAAAAATTTTTTATTAATAAATATATTTAAAATTATTTTAAATTAACTAAAAAATAATTTTAAAGGATTAAGGCTTAAATTGGGATTTAATCTTTTGATAAAAGTTGTTTATTGTTTGAGAGTCTCGCTTAGGAAGGCTCTCATTCTATCTTCATTGTTTTGTCATGTTCTAGGAAGGATTAGCTCAGGTGTTTCAGGGTTAGGACTTAGGGGTCGAGTTTTAGCCAAAAAGAAGTCAAAGGTTATATTCGGGGTCAAGGCAATACGGGTCGGGTCCAACCTAATTTAACCTATAAGTCGCTACTAAAGAGAGTTGCCTGTCTATAAAATAGAGGTAATTTTAAATAATTTAGGGGAAATGAACACTTAAAAATGGGCAACTGATAAATATTTATATACCCAAATTTTTCACATTTTTCGTAAAAAATTCACAAAAGCTTTGATGGATTGAAAATTCGTGTTGTTTTTACCATTTTTGGCATTATGTTTATTTTTTTATAATTTTTTAAGAGCAGAGAATTTTTTATTGGGAGTATTGTTATTGTTTATCCAGTTAATTCCCTAAGGTTTAATCCATCTTTGAGGCACCATCTTATTGCTATGCCTCTTATTTATCATTTGTTTAGAAAAACGAATGCAGGAAAAAAGCCAAAAAAATTAAAATGGAAAAATTAAAAATAAAAAAGGCGCAAAATTCCCGTTCAAGTTGGGTTGAATAGACGGTAAGGCGCAAGAATGCTTGGACGAGCGGCAGTATATCTTTGACTAGGAGTTGTCTAAAATTCTGAAATTTTGCATGGACGTTTCTAATAGAGCTATCTAACATCTCTAAAAGTTTTAAATTTTTTGGTTGAATATTTCAGAATTTATGGGCGAAAGTCCAGAAAATCGACCTTTCTTTTAAAAATTCTGACATTTAGGCCATATCTTCTGAAATAGTGAACCAGAAATTCTGAAATTTTGTACAGACGTCTCTAATAGTGATATCTAACAGCTCTAAAAATTTTAGAATTTTCGGTTAAATATTTCAGAAGTTATGGGCGTTTAAAAATCCATGTATTTACACGAAAATTCTGACATTTCAGCCATAATTTCTGATATAATCAACCAAATATTCTGAAATTTAGTACAGACGTTTATAAGAGTGATTTATAAGATGCCTAAAAATTTTAGAATTTTCGGTTAAATATTTCAAAAGTTATGGACAAAGACTCCTTAAGAATCGACGTTTTTCCTGAAAATTTTGACTTTTTTTAGCCATAACTTCTGAAATAATGAACCAGAAATTCTGAAATTTTTAGTGAAGATAGCTAAAAGTATTGAAAATATCTATGCAAATTTTCACAACTTCAGGCACTTATTTGTTTATTTTATGGAGACGCGCCAGCCCTAATGCTTAGCGCGCCCAAGCACCCCTTTAGGGCAACCAAGAAAAATTGCCCAATTTCACTTTTCTCGTTTTCATCCTTTCCAAGCTCCCTGGGGAATGAGGCGCACTCATCCATTCCACCAAACCTTGGCAAAAAATTCCAGTATTTTTGTGGCAAAAAAGATTTTTTTAGGGGAGAAGGTTGCGAGTAAAAGTGCAAGGCCAAAAAAAGTGACTTGGAAGAGAGGTAGAAAAAATGGGTGAATTAATAAAAAAATAAATAAATAAAAATTTAAAATAAATTTAAATAAAAAAATATTATTTTTTTGGGGAAGAAGAATTTTGGGGAATTTAAATGATGTAATGTACAAAACCCAATTTTACTGCCTTTCTTTTCTTTCCAAAAAGCATAAAAATAAATTATCCTGTTAATCATTCCACCCACTTCCCATTAAGTAAAAATTGGAGGTTTTTGGCTTTTGAGGGATTTGGCTTAAATTCTCTCTTAAATCTAGTCAGCAATAATTAGTGTTGCATTGTGTTTTGCAAAAAGTTGCAAAAATTGGGAAATATTTGAAAATAAACTGAAAATATAAAGCAAAGTTGGCAGCCTACATAATAAAATCAAGATTGCAACTTGACTTCACGTTTAAGCTTAAATTCAAGTTTAAACTTAAATTCAAGTTTATACTTAAATTCAAGTTTATTTTAAGTTTATTAATTTTTAAGCTTATTAATTTGATTCAAGTTTATTTTATAAGTAAGTTTCAGCGCACCTAGATTTTACAATCTTAAAAGTTTCTTTTAAACAAGTTTAATTAGGAATTCAAACTTAATTATTAAAAAACAAATATAAATTCAATTTATAAATTAAAAAATATTTACAATTTAAAATTAATTTTAAAAAATTAAAATGAGGTGGAATGAATAAAATAAAAATAAATATTTTTTTAATCTTCTACATACTCTGTTCCTTCTTAAAAAATTAAAAAAATATTTTTGTACTTTTGATGAAAAATAAAATTTTAAAGAGTTTCAATTCAATTTAAATGATAAATTAAAAAATTGCTGTAAAAAATATTATTGTTTTCCTCTTCATTTTCTTCCTTTTTATTTTTCTTCTGACACCTTTGATTTTTTGAATTTTTTGTTGTTTTCGAAATTAATTGTTCATCTACTGGGTAAATTATAGCCATTCTGCTGCTTTTCCTGTCCACACAATTTTTATCGACTCCTTTTGTTGAAATTGGAAATTTTGATTTTGCGAAATGTAAGGCTTTTTGTAATTGTATTTTGAGCATATTTTGTTGTTGTTAAAACTTGAAGCTTATTTTCGCAAACTTGAAACAATTTTTTTTATTTTTTGCAAACTTAAATTAGTTAAGTTGCAAAGCTGAGGATAAGTTTATTTAGTTTACAAACTTGTTGTTAAGTTTATTTCTTTTGCAAACTTGAAGCAAGTTTATTTTTTTGTTGCAGACTTGAAGCAAGTTGAAACAAGTTTATTTAATTTATAAGCTTGTTGAAAAGTTTATTTATTTTTCGCAAGCTTGAAACAAGTTGATTTATTTTACAATTTGTAGTTAAGTTGCAAAATAGGCTGTTAAAGTTTATTTTAATTACAAACTTGAATACTTTTATGTAAAGTTGTATTTTCAGGTTTATTTTTCTTTAAAATTGTAAAATTTATTTTCTGTAGTTATTTTTAAGTTTGTAAATTATTTTTTAAGTTTGTAGTTTTATTTAAAGTTTATTTATTTAAAGTTTATTTATGGAAATTATGTTCTTCTCCCCACATTCTTCCCTTCTTTTATAGTTAAATTCTAATAAAGGGGCGTATAGTTAAAATTACATTCCTAAGCATAAATTTAGTTCCTTCTACACACTTTTTTCACATTTTTTAATTATCGCCCCCCTTTTTCTATTTTTATTAATTTTATTTATTTATGTCTACGGCCAAAACTTTAGGGGAAAAATTTTTTTTCTTGATGTGTTCCACTCTTTTAGTCTTTTTCTTAATCATCCACTCCCCTTCATTTACGCATATTCAACAATAAATTTAAAAATGAATTGCGCAAAACGTTGAATCACATAAAGTTAAAACTTACTAAACATCTTCTCCCCGTTCCTTTTTTGGGCGTTTACAAGGCTATCTTGTATATTTACCTAGGAATTTGCGCAAGAGCTATATTGGGCGAACCAAAGGAGGGAATAGTTTTTGGTGGAATTTGTGTATGACGTGATCAGTGCATAAAAATGATGGAGGGAGATTTGTAAAAAATTATTGGAAAAGAAGTTCCTATTTTTAATTTTTTTAAATCCTGAAAAGTAAAAATAAAGCTTGTGAAGTTGAATGAGCGTTCAACTTCAAAGGATTGCAATGGCGTAAACTTGCTTGATTCAATAATACTTGATGGTATGTCGATATATATTTATTCATCTTTCAATTTTTTGAACAAGATTTAAATTTTTAGATTTTTATCAAGTTTTTTCTACAAACTTGCCAATGCCATGATTCCTTTCGAAAAAATTTTGAATAGGATTGCAATAAAAATTTTTTAAATTTTGCCCACTTTTACAAGTTTTCTTTACTAAAACTTCTTTAGTTTCGGTGAAAATATTCAATACCTCAGCTAATTTAATTCATTTGTCAGTAAAATTAAAAAAAAAGAGACAATTACAATCAGAATTAAAAAAAATAAAATAAACTCTTTACAAAATATTTTATAATTATATGATAATAAATTTTTTTGTTTCCAAAAATATTCTCAATTTAGAATTTCTACAATTTATTTATTTTTATTCAATAAATCTTTCAACTTTATTTAAAATGCCCCTTTTCACCCTTCAAATTAATTTTATTTTTAGGGATCTTAAGGTCCTTCCACTCTTCTTAATTAAAATTAATTAAAACGGGTTTTTAATAAACACAAAAATTTTTTTTCTTAAATTTTCCTCGAGTTGTTGACAATTTTTGTTAATTTATTCTGCCGCATTCCAATGTGTTTGTGTGATTGTAGTATGAATGTATGTATATTTGAATAATTAATTTTAATTAGTGGACATGTTGATATGTATACACAAATTCTTTTAAAAATTATTTTTAGAATATTTGGGGTTAAATTAAAATAATTTTGACAATTAAAAAATTAATTTTAAAATTAATTCCAAATAAATTTTAAAAATAAATTTAAAAATTTTTCAAACTTATAATTTAATTTTTGTAAATAATCCTTAAAATTTAATATACCGTAAAAGCTCTAATAGAAGCCCGGGGCTTGTATTTTCAATACCCCCCATTAAGTGGGCTTCCATTAGAGCATGGACTTCTATTAGGACTGGGCTTCTATTAGAGCTTTTACGGTATACATACACTCAGAATTTCAAGAAAAAATCTCTACTAAAAATCAGAATTTTAACCCCAAAGAAAAACAAGACAGTAAGATCGTACGAGAAAAAAATCTGGATCTGGATCGACGATAACCGAAAACAAAAGAAATATCCAACCAAAAAAAAATAACTCAAAGGAAATAGGCTTAATTTTAACAAATTTATTCAATTTTAAATGATAAATTGATATTTAAAATATTCCTAAAACTATAATTAGAATAAATATTTACAGCACATTTTGTGTTAATTTTTTTATTTAAAAGACAGGAAAGAATACAGTCAGTCGGAAGAAAGCTTTTACCTCGACCGTATATGATCGAGTAATTACTCCCTCTCAAATAATAACCTCTTTATTATCTCCTATCATTCCTTTATAATTATGCCCATGGTAATTATTTGATCATATACGGGAATAAATTGGAAATAAATTGTTTATGGAAATAAATTGAAGGAAGTATAAAGGGAAAAGGAAAGAGAAGATACAGTCAGTCAAGATTTATGAGAAATCTCAAAAATCTTCAGTACCATAATAAAAAAATTAAATCAAGAAATGATGATTGTAATAAGATAAAGATTAGTATATTTAAAGAATTTGCCTTTAAATCAAGGCAATATTTCAAAAAGAATATTTGTACCAAAAATCAGAATTATAACGCATTTTCTAGGCAAGTTATTCAAAAATGCCCTGAGGCTATATTTACTTTATCACTAATAACTTTCTTTTATAAAGTCCGATCAAGTCGATTTTGGTATCATTCGACGCAGCTCAACGAGGCGCATCGAATCATGTATAAATTTTAATTTTAAGATGAATGGGGAATTTAAAAAAATTTTATTTCAAAAATTTTTTGTATGTTTTTTCTAATTTTTCTGGTTATTCTGGTACAAATATTGCAAGTTAAAATTGAAAGAGGAAGGTTTTTTCTGAAGATGAACACTAGTTAGAAGAAGGAAAAAAATAGAAAACCCAAAAATAAGTCAAAAAATGACAAAATTATTAATTTTTAAAAGAGGGCAATTTGCCCCAATTTTTTCCCCAAAAATAGGAGGTGTTTTGGTTTAATCAAGGCAGCCCTAAAAGGAAAAAGAATGAAAAAAATTTTTATATTTTTATTAAATTAATTCCTTCAGTTGAGGTTTGAAATTGCCTTAGTAGCTATTTTAATTGATGTATTCGTTGTGATTTTACAGCCATAACCCTCAAACTTCCATTTCATAAGGGGGAAGGCGACGCCCCCAAAGTTTTCAAAGGCATAGTTGATTTCCTGTAAGATAGGATTTTAAAAAATTAATTTTTGAAAATCTCCAAAAATTTTTTGAAAATTAAAAAAAATCTGAAAAATTTCGACAAAAAATTTTCAAAAAATTTTCAAAAAATTTTTAAAAAATTTCGAAAAATTTTCAAAATTTTCAAAAAAATTTTTGAAAATTTCCAAAAATATTTTCTGCTCTAAAAATTTTTCCTCCTAATCAGAATTCTGATTTTGAACAAAAATTCTGATTTTCTCAAACACAATTCTGATTTTTTTATCAGAATTTCACACCCTATTCTGATTTTTTATGCCAAACCAGAATTTTTCTGGGTTTTCTGAAAATTCTAAAAATTTCAAAAACCCTACCAAGTCTATTCCTTCATCAGGATCAAATTCAAAACTTTTTTCAAATTTTTCCTCCATCTTTAGAACATTTATTTTAATTTTATTTTTATCATTCTCTTCTCCAGTATTTTGTTTAATTTCTTTATTTTTTTCATTTTCTTTTTCAATTTTTTCTACAGGCTTTATCCCTTCTTCAGCCTCCTTTTCAACTTCAGAAATTTTATCGGAATCTTTATTTTCTGTTTTTACTTCAACTGGTTTTACCTGAAATAAAATAATCAGAATTTTGATTTGTGAAAATTCTGATTTACAAAATTCTGATTTTAAAATAATTCTGATATTTCTTAACATGTTCTGATTTTTTTAAATCAGAATTCTGGTTTTCTAAAATAATTCTGATTTTTCTAACATGTTCTGATATTTTTAAATCAGAATTTCTGATTCTGATTAATCATAATTCTGATTTTAAAAAATTCTGATTTTTAAAATAATTCTGATTTTTCCTAGCATGTTCTGATTCTTTAAATCAGAATTTCTGATCCATATTCTGTTTAATCAGAATTCTGGTTTTTAAAAAATTCTGGATTTTTTTTAATAATTCTGATTTTTTGGTCAGAATTTTGATCCCTATTCTACTTTTTCTTGCTATCCCAGAATTTTTTTCCGGGGTTTCTGATTTTTCTTGTTACTTTACCTCTTCCTTTTCTTGTTTTACTTCCTTTTGTTCTGATACTTCTTTTGCTTCTGTATCTTCCATTTTTTCCTTTTCTGATTTTTCATTTATTTTATTCCGATTTTCCTTTTCCTCCCTATTTATTTCATTTTCCAAATTAAATCGTACAGTTCCTCGGGAACGTTTAGCTTCATTTTTGTTAGTTTCCTTTCGATGATTTTTGATATTCATTGATATTCTTGTTGTAATTCTCTGGGTTTGCTGATAATTTATCTTGTTTCTGCCCTCCATTGGGTGAGAATACTTATCATATCCATGACCATAATGCTCATACTCCTCTGAATCAATTTCATTTGGTCCATGACCGTTTGGTCCATGAGCATTTGGTCTATGACCATTTGACCCATACTCATTTGACTCATACTCATATTGGTCATGCTCATTTGGGTCATATCCAAAATGTACACTATGCTGCCACTTAGAAGGGCCTCCATAGCCAACTTTTTGTTTGTGATAGAACTGTGGTGGGCGTTGATGTTTATACGGATATTGCCCTTTAACAGCTGCTTTGAAGTGAGGTCCCTTCGATCCTCTCATAGGGTAGCGATGATTTTTCTTGGGTGGATAATTATCAAAATGGGCTGTTGTCTTAACATTGTATTCATATTCCTCTTCCTCGTCTTCTCCACTCACAAACCACGTTGCGTGGGATTTTGGAGGCTTTTTCTCTCTTATGGGTTGCAAAATTGCTGGAGCACTCTTAACTCTTCTACTCTCTTGTGCAGCTCTCTTCCTTCGCAAATTAATGTTAACGATGTCAGTTTGTCTGTTACAAGATCCTTTTCCATCATCAACAGATCTGAGGATTATCTTTTGGCAATCAACTAGAAATTTAGACTTTTTAGTTCAAGTTTAGGCAAGAAACCTCACTTTTAGAGACCCTTTGCGGGTTAAAAAATCTTATCTTATAATGAGGGGTATATTAAATAGAAGGTATCGCTTAGGCGACTTGCCTTATAATGAGGGGTATGTTAAATAGAGGGTATCTAGGCACGCCTTATAATGAGGGGTATATTAAATAGAGGGTATCGCTTAGGCTTATAACGATGGGTATATTAAATAGAGGGTATCGCTTAGGCCTTATAACGATGGGTATATTAAATAGAGGGTATCGCTTAGGCTTATAACGATGAGTATATTAAATAGAGGGTATCGCTTAGGCCTTATAACGATGGGTATATTAAATAGAGGGTATCGCTTAGGCCTTATAATGAGGGGTATATTAAATAGAGGGTATCGCTTAGGCTTATAATGGTGGGTGTATTAATAGAGGGTATCGCTTACCTTATAATGAGGGGTATATTAAATAGAAGGTATCGCTTAGGCAACTTCCCCATCCAATGGCCGACCAGATTTTATGGGAAGTCTCTTATATAGAGGTGTATTTGGGGTATCTAAAAGCGAGGTTCGACTGCTTATCAATCATGTACCGTTTTTCGATTTTAACCAGTCCATCAATGAAATATCGTCCAAAACAAAGACAACATCAACATATTTTAGACTAGCCAAGAATTTTTCTGATTCTTTAGTTGAAAGGAAATTTTTAGAAGCTGAATCCAATTGAACTGCTAAAAATTTTATTTTTGAGACATTTGATCCCAATTTATTTTAAAATTACCAAAAATTCGTCTTTGCTTTTTTGTGGACTTTCCAAGGTTGGAAGCCTTCTCTGAATGCAATGCTAACAGAAAATCTTGTAAAAATTCGGCAAATGTGGCGCTAAAGTTTTGGAAACCGCCGGTTAGGTCCAAAATGAATCCATCATATTGTTGAGCGTTTTTCTGGAAGGAATTTTGTTTAGAGAATTTTGTGGGGGAAAATCAAAGAATTTTGTTCCCCCTTCCAGTTAGAAGGAGGAATTTCATGCTAATGACATTTTATTTATTAGGACATTTTTAACATTGCATCTTGTCCCTGGTCATCTTGTCCAGAGGCGTTCTGTCCCTAACCATTTTGTCCCTAGGCATTTATATTTTGGCGTCTATGGCATTTTTTAAATGTATTTATTCCACCTGTTTTTTAGTGATTGCCTCAATTAGATCAATTCTCGTTTGAACCCCTTTACTCTGTTTTTTGCCTCGTATTTTGTTTGTTAAACCTGCATTTTTTATCTGTGCATTGATCAAACCTTGGAGTTTTTCTGATTTTTCATTCGAGAATTTTACAGATGAGTAAATCTGTAAATTTATTTTTAAGCAAATCCTTTTTATTGGAGTGAGTCTTGCAATTAGAGAGTGCCTTTCAATTAGAGAGTGCCTTGCTAATAGAAAGTGCCTTTCAATTAGAGAGTGCCTTTCTATTAGAGAGTGTCTTTCTAATAGAGAGTGCCTTGCTAATAGAAAGTGCCTTTCTATTAGAGATGGCTTTCTGTTAGAGAGTGTCTTGCTAAGCGCTTTTCAATTAGAGAGTGCCTTACAATTAGAATTAAAAATGAATAACATACATTTTTCAATCCATTTATCTCAACGTCATAATTTTCAACATAAATCTTCCCATCCTTTTCATTCAAATGTCCACTATCAACAATATTATGTGAACATTCCTTGGTTGCTTCTTGCATCATTTCTGGACGAACCCCTATTGAAGCTAGACTGCAGTAAATTTTTGGTGCAGAAACTCTGGAGCATGTATTCTTAGTTTGCTTTTGTTCAACTACAGTATTCTGCTCTTGTACTGCCTCGTCTTGTTTTTGCTCCTCTACTACCTCGTCTTTTATAGCCGAATCATTGCTATCATCTTCCGTTGATCCCTCACTTTCGTCCTGAGTTTCATCATCCTTCTTGTGGTCCATAGAAAAGGCACGTTTTGGTTGTTGTTGGATTGGAGATAATGAACGAGGCAGTGACATGCTTCCTATAAAAAAGGAAAAATTAATCCGGGGGGGGGGGTGGGTGTGATGTATCAGGCCGAACAGTATCAGGCTGAACAGCTGCAGAGCCAATTACTCGAGCTCGTTAGGTCATGTCTTGATTCAGTTGTAGGAGTTCTAGGGTAGGAATTCATAAACTATTTAATATTAAAAATCACCTGCTCTCTCATGTTGCTTTCCTACTGCCACCTTGCTAACATCCAGTTTCCCTAACAGATCCATATCTTCTTGAGTCAGATTACTCTTTTGAGGCGAGGGTGGTTTTACACTTTCCGTTTTTATTTTTTCCACTAATCCAATTTCTTTATTGTTATCCCCCTCTTTCATGTCCTTCATGATTTCTATCGAATTTTTAACTAAAAAATATTTGAAAAATTTAATATTAAGTAAAAATCTCTATTAAAAGTCATCTCCTATAAGTGAGATAACGCTTACACGACACCCCGTAAAATGGTCAAATAGGCACCGAAAATCATAGAATTTTGCATACACGTCGTTAATAGTTATTTCTACGTCTTCTGAAAATTTCAGAATTTTAGATGCAAAATTTCAGAAGTTGTGCACGAAAAATCAGAAAAAATGGGAACTTTCATCGAAAATTCTGAGATTTCCGATCATAAATTCTGATTTACAAACCCAGAAATTCTGAAATTTTTAGAGATCCTAGTTGACATTATTGGGAATATCTAAGCAAAATTTCATGGCTCTAGAAGCTTGAATGACTTTTTTATGAGCTCGCAAACAATCGTTTCCTTTAAGCAAACATTAATCCCTCACCTTTACTTGAGTCAATCTTCTTCTCTTTATTTTTGTTTTTCTTTTGTTTCTTGAGTTGTTTTTTGTTGGATTTATCATTAGTACCTTCCTCTACCTCTTCCAAAGGTTTTAGGGTCTCGGATTCTTTAATTTTATCTTTTTCACTGGTTTTTAGATGCGCATCTTTAATTAATAAAACTAATTAGGTAATTTTCACTAATAAAATCTCCCAAGACCTCACATAAAAGATACCCCCCCCCAAAGATACCCCCCACTATGAGATACCACTAATACCTCACTATAAAATATACCCTATATCTCCTCCTCCACTGGTTGGGAAGATTGGGAAAACTGCCCAATAGAAACCCTCTATTTAATATACATCCCATTATAAGGTTCAATTTTAAGAGGAGGTTGTAAACTTATTTACCCAGAGTAATTATTCAAGAAATATTTTTATTAAAAAGCACCTTTCTTCTTTGCCTTTTTCGTTTTAGCATTAATCTCATTAAAACAGAACAATGCAACAAATGCTACAACAATCAAAAATTTTACATGCATTTTTGCATTCCCACTCTTCCGCGGAATTTTTTTTTATTTTATTAAATTATTCAAAGGCTTCGTTACCTGAAAAGCTTTTTTTTAATATTTCAATCGCCCTTAGTTATTCCAATCTCTAATATATCCTATAAGAGATATGGGATAAGACGGAGATGTATGGGGTAAAATCTTTCTTATCCCGTACAAGATATCCTGTCTTGTAAGGAATAAGACAGGATATACTTTGACATTAAAATCTCTCTCAGCTATCCAAGGGTATTCTCCAACTTATATTTAGTCTCCAAGATATCCCACATTCCCAGCTATCACAATATATCACTCATTCTCTCAATTATCTCCCCTGTATTTTTGGAGGGTTGTAAATAATTTTAATAAATAGGGGTTTAATTGACGCATTTTAGAGATAATTAGGAGATACTTAAGATTTAAAAAAAATATTGAAATATTTGAAAAATGAAGGCTAGGCTATAAGAATTTTAAAAAATTTGAGGAAATTTTTCTAAATTTTTTAACAATATTTTCTAATTTTTAATTGTAATCCTATTAATTAAACGCCCACCCAAAGAGAATTAAATTAAAAAATAAAAATTAAATTAACCGGATTATGCCCTAATCGGATTTAATTATTTAAAAAGGGTAATAAACAAAGTGCTATTCAAGGATGTTTTGGGCAGTCTTTTATAAGACATTGTGTCTATTAAAATTTATTTTTAAATAAAAATTTAAACAAGTCTAGCAAAAAAACTCGTGAGAGGTGGGGAGAATATGTCTAAAAAATAAATAAAAGGGCAAACTCGTGAAAGGAGAGGGGAAAATAATTTTTTGGCGAGAATCCATTGAGTAGACCCATTACATCGAAAATTTTTGGGGAAAGGGCATTAAATAAATTTATACTTTTAGAGTAAATAACGGAGAGATCGAGTACTCGATCGAGTTTTTAACAAAGAACTCGAATGATCTTCCTGGCCAATCTGTAATTCTGGAAGGATGTTTTCCGAGTTCCGTACTTGACATGTAGACTCCGTGGTCAGTTTCTAGTCCGAATACTTAAATATGGTACCTAGAATAATTTTTTTCAATTTCCAAGCTTGAGAGGTCTTATTGAGAGAGGTTGGTCTGAATTTTAAATAAGAATCCATAATGGATTTAGAAAAATTTTTAGTTTCCGGTACATATCTTCCTTCATCTCTTAGTATTACGGAACCACAGTTGTTTTCCAGGTGCCCAATAGTTCTGGGTATTTTTTGGCGAGAATCCATTGAGTAGACCCATTACATCGAAAATTTTTGGGGAAAGGGCATTTAATAAATTTATACTTTTAGAGTAAATAACGGACTGATCGAGTACTCGATCGAGTTTTTGACAAAGACGGTCCCTGGCCGGTCTAATTCTGGAATGGTGTTTTCCAATCTCTGGACTTGACAGGTGACTCCTACGACCAGTCTCTAGTTCGAATACTTAAATAAGATTAAAAGAAACAGATGACCCTATGGCCAGTCTCTAGTCCGATACTTAAATAAGTTATCTGGAAGACATGTATTTCAATTTCCCGGCTTGATAAGTCTTATTGAGAGAATTTAGTTTGAATTTTTAGGGATCCATAATGTCCCTAGAAAAATCATTTCGGTCGGATCATATCTTCCTTCATCTATTAGTATTTTAGACGGAAACAAAGCTGTCTCCCATGTGCCCATCAGTGCTGGATATCGAGGTTGTTTTGCTCGAGCTTCGACCTTTTCCAAATCTTGGCACCGACTCCTGCTCCGGTTGTAGCTCCGTTGGTAGCTACCTAATCCATTCACGGACTCATATTCACTCTATTATAGTGTATATTTGCATTGTGTAATCCAAACCTAGCAAGCTCAAAGTTTCGATTCCTGTCCCTTAACCGTTTTTATGTCTTTGTTTGATTCTCTTAAAATATACCATCATACGATGCACATTCTAATAATTATTCAAATTTCCTTATCTTTTAATCTTTATTTTCCATTGTTTTTAATCTCAACCCCTATATGGTGATCTAATGGATTTTGATTCGCAGTCGCTCAAGTCCCTTTAATCGGCTAAATTGTCGGCAAAAAACAAAAGTGCTAATGCCTGCCTAGTCTTTTGACTTGTGCCGGCTGTCGAGTTAAAAAGTGCAGCAAAAATACAATGCTGATGCAAGAAGGGGAAAGGGAAAATCATGTGAATTTAACAGGAAAAGCTAAAAATAAGACAATCATGTGAATTTACAGGAAATTTATTAGAAAGTGCAAAGATAAAAATACATTGAAATTGAAAAATATTAAAATAATACTCGATTTACCGTTAAATTTATTGTTATTTTTAATTAGCTTTTAAGTTTAGTTTGGGGCGGAATTTTAAAAACGAGGTAGGGGTTAACATACCAGGTGCAACGGTAGGGCTAACCTAGTGACTTATTACAAAATGCTGATACTACTATAATATTAACACCTAGCTTCGATTTATTTACTCAGGTAATAGACCCGCTAATATATGTAGAACTTTGTAAATTTACTCGATACTTCTGCCTTAGTTGCAGGGATCTTGTTTATAATTGTTGAAGAACGATCAGCTATTGAACAGTTTTTCTGTCATAACTTTTTTTCAAACTTGTTAAAATAATGCAATTTTTATTTTAAATAAATCTTGAATTTGTTAGCTATCAAATGGTATATGAACAACTACGGTCGCATCTTTGGCTAAAAAGTTATAAGGCTTCAAAAGCAAGTAGCTTAAACGACAGAACTAGAAGCAAGTTGCTTCCAAAATTTTTAACTCTGAAATAATCTTTCAAATCATGATAATTTTTATTTCATTAGAAAGAGCAGAAAATTTGCTACAAGATAGGTAAAAATCAAATTAAAATATTCATTGGCAAAAAAGTTATGATCAAAAAACTAGCTGTTTCAGTTAATTCGAACGGCTCTTCAAATGAGAGAAAAACAGTACATTTTAATTAACTCGGTGATGAAAGATCCAGGATAAAAAGCCAGACGATGAAATTATGGCGACAAAACGTTTTAAATTAAATTTTAATTTTTTCTCTGCTTCTCTAACTTACTCTCTCATTTTTAACGTTAGGCTCCCTTATATTTTCTCTTGAATTTTTGTTTTTGCGGTTTAAATTTTGTTTTTTCGAATTTTTTTTTAATTTTTATTTTTTTTAAAGTCTAGAAGAAATTTTCATTTAAATATGGCTGAAGTCGAACAATTCAAACACAATCATAACGTTATTAATGAGGAAGAGAAACAACAACTTGAAGCTTTAAATCGTTCTTTATTCGCTACAATTGCTGAATATACAAAGATTCGAAATGAACATGCAAAATTGATTGAATCACAATTATGTCCGATTAGGTGTGATATTGAAAGGCGCATTCGAGCAGCGGATTTAGGTTTTCGTTTGGATTTTTTGGAATTTTTATCTAGTATTAGGGTTGGGGTTTTTGAGCCGGGCCTACGTTTGAGTTTTTTTCGGGATTTAATTTTTTCGTGCCGGCCCGACCGAGTCTTTTTTGGGCCAAAATTTGATGCCCGACTTGATCTTTCGGACCGAGACCGGGCCTCTAACCTTACCTAGTATCATGACCAGCGCTTTCCTAGCTCGCTCTCTTGTTCCCAGGAAGGCGAATTAATCCACCCCTCTTATTTAAACAATTCTTGTTAGTTTCTTGGTCATTACTGGACTACAGGCCATTTCTTAGCAGATCCGGCGGCTAGGGTCAATTGTTTCAAGCATGAATCCAGTGGTTTTTTCAATTCCACAATTCTAAAAATTAAACCTTTTCCAACCAATTCTTCAAAAATTTATTTCCATTTATTTTTTCCTCCAAATTTTAGACATTTTTGACAAACAAAAACTGGGCACAGTTTGCAATGATTTACTTACTGGACTTCGTCAAAAAGGGCGTCAATTGGTTGATCTTTGTGATGCTATCAAAATGAGCTCGGAAAATTTGAAGCAATTAAAACTGTGTTTAGCTGAATGGAGTGTCGGATCTGGAAAGGAAACGAAAGGAATAAGGCCAATTTGCTCGTCTTTTGATATGGTGGGGCATTTTCAGTTTTTTTGGAATTTTGTTGGGTTTTTCAAAAATCCGCAAATTTTGTCCGCAAATATTTTTGTTAGTTATTTTATTTTAAATTTTTAGCAAAAACGTCTTGAACTTCTAGAAAACCATTATGAGAAGTCATTAAGCGATTTTGGACGTGCGAAAAATGATTTGGACATTTTGGACAAACATTTGGAATTTAATGGGAATTTGTTACAAAGGTGTGGTTAAATTTTATATTTCAATTTTGGTTCTTATATTAACTAAAAATTTATGTGAGGGCCAAAAAGAGTGTTTCAGACCTTCGTAATGGCTGACAAATTTTATTCGGACTGAATAAATTTTTTGCGGACGTCCGCAAAGTTGTCCGCAAGTAAAAAATTTTTGCGGATTTCAGCAAAATTTGTCCGCAAATAAAATTTTTTGCGGACTTTCCCACAGATTTGTATTTTTTAATTTTTTTATCTATTAAGCTTTAGCTCATCATCTTCACTTCAAACCGACGTTCTAACACCACTTGAACAGCACCAACTAATCCGTACCAACGACAACATTTCTAAAATGTGCACCAAATTGGAGACTAGAATCCGACAAATTCGAACCCAACAAGAACTCCAAGAATCGAAAAAATTAAATAAAAAATCTGAAAAGGTTGGGGCTAGCAAACTTTTTCGCTCTAAAAATTCTGAAGATGTTGCCTCTTTTTGTGTGCTTAAATTGGAGCAATTAAACATTTTTGAAGATGGGAAAGAGGGGAAGGTGAAGATGGAAAGTGAAAATAATTTGGCTAATTTTAGACAAAATTTGTTCAATTATATGGAGGTTTGTTTTTTTCTATTAATTTTTAAAATTTTTTAAAACCTTGGGGAAATCTATGGGGTTGTCCGCAAGTTCTAAAAAATTTGCGGAGTTTCCATTTTAATTCTTCTGATTGCTTCTCTTGCTTTTATAATTTGAATTTTTTGTTTTTCGATAGTAAACCAAAATTATTGTTTCGGAATCTGTTTCTGGACTCCAAAATAGACGCCAAAAGTTTGGCTTACACCTTGCTATGCTTCCTAAATTCACCCCCTCTGTATATGTTCTTGATATGTATGTACTCTGTAAATTTTTAATGTAAATACGTCCGCAAAATCGTTGTCTGCAAGTTTTATGAGTTTGTGAGGATTTTTAAGATTTAAAAAATCTTTTGGGTTTTCGAATTTGAAATTTTCATTTTTTCTTAAATTTAAAAAAATAGAAGAAATTTTTTTTTACTCCTCTCAATTTTTTTAGAATCACAATTTATACAAAATACCTTTGGAAGGTAATGGCATTCGTCAAATTCAACCAATTCGGCCGTCCTTTCCCTCTGTTAAAGATAATCAAAAGAAGCCTAAAGATGTTGAAAATGATGAACAAAAATTGAAAAATGCCCTTTTGGAAGGTTTAAAACAACCCAAAAAGCAATTAGTTTCTATTGGTGTACAATCACCCGATTTTATGGCTTTAACTCCTCAAAAAGGTTTATTTTTGTAAAAAAAATTTTTTTTTGGGAACTTTAAAGGTTTAGGTTTATTCAAAATAGGGTCGGGGAGGGTTTATGAAACCAAGAAAAGAGCTCGATATCTGAGAAATTTTGGGAAGTATAGTGATTCATGTGTCTATTTTTTGATTTTATATGGACTGTCCAAAAGGGACGACTGCTTTTAAAATAACTTGAATTAATATACGAACTGAAATTTTCTTGGTTCAGGCTCTTCAGCTAACAATAAGCTTTCTAAAATTTGATTATAAAAAGGTATGGAGGTATGGACTTTAACGGGTTTAGGTGTATTTCCGTTTGTTAATTGAATCCGCTTTGTTAATTGTCATTTACTTTACCTCAAAATTTGAATGACTCCAACAAGACACTCGTTTGAGTGAGAAAGTTTTCATGTTGTTTTGTCAATAACGTTAAGCGAAAATTTAGGTCATTTAAAATTTTTTACATGTGTATAATCGAATTTTGTGGATTAATTGGGTGACCTTGAAGTTTTTTTTAAATTTTCTCAACCTTGACGAGCTGTGGTTTATTTAAATTTTCTCATTTTTCAGCTAAAAAGACTCCAACAAAAACACCAAAAAAGCCTCAAACAATTATCAAAACACCAGAAACACCCAAATCTACATTTGCTCAAACAAAAACAATCGAAGCTTTACCTAAAAATTTGGTTGGATATTCTAAAGATTTTACTACACCAACAAAAAGTGTTGATGAACCTTCATTTACTTTACCAGAAAATTTTACTTTTAATCAACAAAAACATGTTGTTACAGAAGGTTTTTTATATTTTAAATTTGAAAAATTGGGAAAGGTTTTGGATAAATATAATTTAAAAATTGGGGAGTTGGGAATTTTTCGAAATCCGCTTTAGTAAGAAAAAATGAGAGGGAGACTTAGCCCCTCCAAAAATCGGAAACTTTGAAACCATATAATTTTTCGATTTGGAGGTCAGGGCAAAAGAAGCCAAAAATTTGGCATTCGGTTATATCGACCCTGCTTTACACACATTTATATGTGTATTTTTTGTCATAGTTCCCGTTGGTTCTATGTCAGTTTTGAAGAAATGGCATGGGTGTAGTTGTATTGTTTTCTGGGGGATTATTGGATATATGGTGCTTTTACTGAAAATCTTTGATAACTGTTATAATTTTTTGTGTTCTAAATATTTTATGATGAACCCAGGACCTTGTTGCCAACTCCAAAAAAATTTTTTAAGTTTTTTTTCTTCAATTTTAGCCTCTACTGATACCACAACAGCTACATCTCCAAATCTTTTACCAACATTATTAACTACACCTTCAACTACTTCAATTCCTACATCAACAGTTTTAACACCAGCAACAACAACAACCCCAAATATTGCTTCAAAACAAGTTGATACTCTTTTACCAAGAACACCCCCAGCATTATTAAAAGAAAATGAAGGAAAAGAAAAAACGGCAGAAAAAGAAGAAGAAAAATTGAAAGAAAATTTAATTTTGGAGAAGGAAAAAGTTGAGGAAGTTGAAGAAAAACTGAAAGAACAACAACAACCAATAATTAGTGTTGGGGGAGATGAAGGAATGGAAGATGAAATTATTGTTGCACCACAACCAGTTATTAGTAATAGTAATACTTCACAAGAACAGTCTAGTATATCTAGTGTTAATTTCAATTTTAATATGGGGTAAGGTTAAGAAATTTTTTTGAAATTTTGGGAAAAAATTTTGCGGACATTTTTACGGACCTTTCTTATTTTGCGGACGTTTTCTGTTTTTGCGGACATTTTCTCATTTTTACGGACATTTTCAAAGTAAAATCTTTCAGAACCTCCGGTCACGGATAGGGTTGGATGATCTGGATCCAAAAAGTCTAGATATCCGCAAATTTTCGCTTTGGATATTGGATCCGGGGATTTTTTAGAATTCTCCTACTCTGGTTTAGGAGCTTGTTAAAATTCTTAAAGTCGCAAAAAATGTCCGCAATTTTTTTTTTAAATTAATTTAAAAAATTTATTTTTTCATCAAGAGGATTGGGTGCAACATCAACTCCAGTCAATGCAAGTCGAAATCCTTTTGGTTCAATTCAACCAAAACCTGGCGGCCTTTTTAGTGGGTCTCCACAAAGTGAATCATGGAGGTCTCCATTCAGTCCTTCTGTTAATACAAATCAAAATAATAGTGGAGCTTTTGGATCTTTTGGAGCAATAAGTAGTGGAGGAGGTGGTGGTGGTAGTTCGGGATCTTCAGGTGTGTTTTAGTTGACCTTTTCCAATTCACTACTTTTAACACTGCTTTTGAGTTGTTTGGTACTACCCATTGCTACTATACCTCAATCGAGTCTCTATTGTCTAATAAGATTAAAAAGTATTAAGAGGTATATCAGGGGATTTGAGGGACTAAGGTGTGTATCAAGAAGCCTGTGTGACATCGAGGGGTCAAGAGGGATATAAGTGGATTTGGAGGGATATAAGCGGATTAAGATAGATATCGAGGGGATAAGAGGGATATCAAACGATATCGTGGATTTGAGGGAGTTAAAGGGTCTATCAATGTATTTGATGGGATTTAGTGGACCCACTTTCTTTATAATAGCAAAATGGAAGAATTTTCAAACATTTTTCCTCTTTTTTACAGGGTTTGGTACTTCTCCTTTTGCTTCTGCTCCAATAAAACCTTCAGTATTTGGAGCAGCCCCAGTTTGGAATAGTCCTTTTGGTGGTGGTGGTATGGCTAGTAGTGGTGGTTCTTCCGGTGCTGGAAGTGGTGGAGGAGGTTCTATGTTCGGTGGTGGAATTAATAAAAGCGGTGGTTCTTCAACTACTGGGATTGGAACAACTGGATTTTCTGCGTAAAAAAACTATTAATTTCTTCACAAATTTTCTCTTCTCCTTTTCTAATCTACCTCTTTTCTATATAAAAAACAGACATGTTTTTTCTTGGTATCCGGGTTAGACCTGGAATACGTCCAATTTTGAAGAAAACATTGTCCATATCTCCAGCCTTATCAGTGGTTTTTCGTGGGTACCTGTATATTATCCGTATCAATGTGCAGTATGATCCAAATTACAAACGATCTAGTTTTATAAGGAAGGAGGGTTGGAAAGAGAGAAAAGGGCATTGAAAGGAGTTAATTTGGAGAGTACCTTTTAACAGAAAATTAATTTAAAATTTTTTTTTGTTTAGTTTTGCTTCAAAATCATCAGCCTTTGGTCAGTTGGCAAGTCAAGCACAACAACAAAATGAACAACAAAAACCCTCTCTATTTGGTGGGGGTACTGCATCGTTAAACACTTCAGGCGGTGGTGGTGGAGGATCAGTTTTTGGAGGGTAAATTGCAAAGAATTTTATATTAAAAAATTGAGGCTTTTCCATAGACTCTCATGAAATCTGTCGAACTTCATTTTTAAATACTCTCGATATTGGATACTAGGGTTGGGGTTTTCGAGTCGGGCCGACGTTCGAGTTTTTGGTTTTAAATTCATCGGGCCGGCCCGACCGAGTCTTTTTCGGGCCAAAATTTGATAGCCCGACTCGATCTCTCGGACCGGACCGGGCCCCAATCCTTACTGGATACCCCATTCAATTTAAGACATGTTAAGCTAGTTAAAGTTCGGTTGGTTACTGGATTGAGGGAGGTCTAAACGATACCTTCCATTACCGTCTCTATTTAATCTACACCTACATTATAATGTTTTAATTTTTCGGTTCCAAATTGGGTGTCTTTTAGTCAAGTCTAACACTGAAAAATTTTTGAAAAATTTTCTGCAAATTTTCAGATTTGCTGGCTCTCCAACGTCAAGTACTGGAGTTAAACCTGCGTTTGGTCAAAAATCGTGAGTGAAAAAAATTTTTTAAATTCATTTTTTGATTTTTTTAGATCGGCCTTTACAACATTTCGAAAATGAGAAATTATTTAATTTAAAAAATTATTTTATTTTTGAAAATATACGAAAATTTTTTTGATTATTTTATTTTAAATTTGATATTTTTTTTTGAAATAAATTTTCGGCTGTAGTGTAGTTCACCGGAGGTAAAAGTTCGGGACGAGAGATATGTCATTCGATTCGTCTCGGCGAGCTGAGTCGAACGGTACCACTCCCAATTTCAGGAAATGATTCTGGACAGAGTTACAGGTCCCGAAAAATCGAAAAACCAAAGGGGGGACCAGCTGATTTTTGGGGTCAAAAATTCGATTATACAAATGATACCTCATTCGAAAGAGCTCCTCGAGCTGAGTCGACTGACACCAAAATCAACAAAATCCGACTTGATTGGACAAAGTTATGATCTTTTATTTTAGCTCCTTACCTATGGCATCTATGGAGATTTTTGCTGCTACGGAGGCCCCAAATACGTCCAGAGCAAGGGATTTAGGAATAGGTTTATGTTACGAGCCCAGACCCATCGCCCGTAGACTCCCCGCGAGGCGCGTGCCGCAAAACCCCGCGCGAAGCGCGGGGTTTTGCACAAGCGCCTCGCCGACGCTCCATAGGTTTAGGTTTTTTGTTTTTTGGTGTCATAACTTTGTCTAAACTTGTTCAATCACGGTGATTTTGGTGTCATTTGACTCAGCTCGTCGAGCTCTTTCGAATGAGGTATTATTTGTATAAAAAATTTTTTATTCCAAAAATCGCCCCTTTGGATCTTCGATTTTTAGGGGTCTATATCTCGGTCCAATCAAGCCGGATTTCGTTGATTTTGGTGTCATTCGATTCAGCTCGACGAGCTCTTTCGAATGAGGTATAATTTGCATTTTCGAAATTTTCACCCCAAAAAAGTGCTTACTCCCCCCTTTGGTTTTTCGATTTTTCGGGACCTATAACTCTGTCCAGAATCATTTCCTGAAATTGGGAGTGGTACCGTTCGACTCAGCTCGCCGAGACGAATCGAATGACATATGTCTCGTCCCGAACTTTTACCTCCGGTGAACTACACTATATCCAAATTTTCTTTTTTTTGACGATAAATCCTTCAAAAAAAATTTTTTTTAATCAATATTTTCCTCTAAATGCTAATTAATGCATGTTTTATATTTTTGTTTTTAAATTTAGTTGTTAACTTTTAAATAATTTTTTTAAATCAGTTTCCATTTTCCATACAACAAAGGAAACGGACAAGCAAAAAATCAATATTTATCCAGAAGATGTTGAACAGAGAAGTCTTCGAGTTTGTTGGATGCTTGTGGAGGAAAAATTTGTTGGTTTGTAATTTTTTGAATAAAGTTTTTTTTTCGAAAGAATTTTTGAAAATTTTTGTGAACAAATTTCTATACATTAAAAATTCCATTTTTTTCTTTTAGGACGCCAACATCAACAGTTCAACAACAACTCTTCAACAGCAACTCAAGTCCCCCTGCCTTGTGCAGGGGGCAACTCAAGTCCCCCTGCCTTGTGCAAGGGGCAACTCAAGTCCCCCTGCCTTGTGCAGGGGGCAACTCAAGTCCCCCTGCCTTGTGCAGGGGGCAACTCAAGTCCCCCTGCCTTGTGCAGGGGGCAACTCAAGTCCCCCTGCCTTGTGCAGGGGGCAACTCAAGTCCCCCTGCCTTGTGCAGGGGGCAACTCAAGTCCCCCTGCCTTGTGCAAGGGGCAACTCAAGTCCCCCTGCCTTGTGCAGGGGGCAACTCAAGTCCCCCTGCCTTGTGCAGGGGGCAACTCAAGTCCCCCTGCCTTGTGCAGGGGGCAACTCAAGTCCCCCTGCCTTGTGCAGGGGGCAACTCAAGTCCCCCTGCCTTGTGCAGGGGGCAACTCAAGTCCCCCTGCCTTGTGCAGGGGGCAACTCAAGTCCCCCTGCCTTGTGCAGGGGGCAACTCAAGTCCCCCTGCCTTGTGCAGGGGGCAACTCAAGTCCCCCTGCCTTGTGCAGGGGGCAACTCAAGTCCCCCTGCCTTGTGCAGGGGGCAACTCAAGTCCCCCTGCCTTGTGCAGGGGGCAACTCAAGTCCCCCTGCCTTGTGCAGGGGGCAACTCAAGTCCCCCTGCCTTGTGCAGGGGGCAACTCAAGTCCCCCTGCCTTGTGCAGGGGGCAACTCAAGTCCCCCTGCCTTGTGCAGGGGGCAACTCAAGTCCCCCTGCCTTGTGCAGGGGGCAACTCAAGTCCCCCTGCCTTGTGCAGGGGGCAACTCAAGTCCCCCTGCCTTGTGCAGGGGGCAACTCAAGTCCCCCTGCCTTGTGCAGGGGGCAACTCAAGTCCCCCTGCCTTGTGCAGGGGGCAACTCAAGTCCCCCTGCCTTGTGCAGGGGGCAACTCAAGTCCCCCTGCCTTGTGCAGGGGGCAACTCAAGTCCCCCTGCCTTGTGCAGGGGGCAACTCAAGTCCCCCTGCCTTGTGCAGGGGGCAACTCAAGTCCCCCTGCCTTGTGCAGGGGGCAACTCAAGTCCCCCTGCCTTGTGCAGGGGGCAACTCAAGTCCCCCTGCCTTGTGCAGGGGGCAACTCAAGTCCCCCTGCCTTGTGCAGGGGGCAACTCAAGTCCCCCTGCCTTGTGCAGGGGGCAACTCAAGTCCCCCTGCCTTGTGCAGGGGGCAACTCAAGTCCCCCTGCCTTGTGCAGGGGGCAACTCAAGTCCCCCTGCCTTGTGCAGGGGGCAACTCAAGTCCCCCTGCCTTGTGCAGGGGGCAACTCAAGTCCCCCTGCCTTGTGCAGGGGGCAACTCAAGTCCCCCTGCCTTGTGCACGGGGCAACTCAAGTCCCCCTGCCTTGTGCAGGGGGCAACTCAAGTCCCCCTGCCTTGTGCAGGGGGCAACTCAAGTCCCCCTGCCTTGTGCAGGGGGCAACTCAAGTCCCCCTGCCTTGTGCAGGGGGCAACTCAAGTCCCCCTGCCTTGTGCAGGGGGCAACTCAAGTCCCCCTGCCTTGTGCAGGGGGCAACTCAAGTCCCCCTGCCTTGTGCAGGGGGCAACTCAAGTCCCCCTGCCTTGTGCAGGGGGCAACTCAAGTCCCCCTGCCTTGTGCAGGGGGCAACTCAACTCAACTCTCATGAAATCTGTCGAACTTCATTTTTAAATACTCTCGATATTGGATACTAGGGTTGGGGTTTTCGAGTCGGGCCGACGTTCGAGTTTTTGGTTTTAAATTCATCGGGCCGGCCCGACCGAGTCTTTTTCGGGCCAAAATTTGATAGCCCGACTCGATCTCTCGGACCGGACCGGGCCCCAATCCTTACTGGATACCCCATTCAATTTAAGACATGTTAAGCTAGTTAAAGTTCGGTTGGTTACTGGATTGAGGGAGGTCTAAACGATACCTTCCATTACCGTCTCTATTTAATCTACACCTACATTATAATGTTTTAATTTTTCGGTTCCAAATTGGGTGTCTTTTAGTCAAGTCTAACACTGAAAAATTTTTGAAAAATTTTCTGCAAATTTTCAGATTTGCTGGCTCTCCAACGTCAAGTACTGGAGTTAAACCTGCGTTTGGTCAAAAATCGTGAGTGAAAAAAATTTTTTAAATTCATTTTTTGATTTTTTTAGATCGGCCTTTACAACATTTCGAAAATGAGAAATTATTTAATTTAAAAAATTATTTTATTTTTGAAAATATACGAAAATTTTTTTGATTATTTTATTTTAAATTTGATATTTTTTTTTGAAATAAATTTTCGGCTGTAGTGTAGTTCACCGGAGGTAAAAGTTCGGGACGAGAGATATGTCATTCGATTCGTCTCGGCGAGCTGAGTCGAACGGTACCACTCCCAATTTCAGGAAATGATTCTGGACAGAGTTACAGGTCCCGAAAAATCGAAAAACCAAAGGGGGGACCAGCTGATTTTTGGGGTCAAAAATTCGATTATACAAATGATACCTCATTCGAAAGAGCTCCTCGAGCTGAGTCGACTGACACCAAAATCAACAAAATCCGACTTGATTGGACAAAGTTATGATCTTTTATTTTAGCTCCTTACCTATGGCATCTATGGAGATTTTTGCTGCTACGGAGGCCCCAAATACGTCC